TAATTGAAAAGAGAATAGCGAGATTCTGTAAAATAATTTAACCGCAGCGAAATGAAAGAAAGAGAGAGAGAGAGAGTGAGTATAATATATGACGTGCCATACTTCGCAATTAGCAGGAATCAATTTGCGTCGGAAACTATTAAACACCGCTTCCTTCCGTCCTAATTTTCCGGCATTATTCGCCGACGATCCCGAAGACACGCCAGCCATTGTGCCGCATAAAATACCGACGACGCGAACAACATAAATTTTGAAGTCGACACGTGTCGCCGATAATCAACAACCTGACAAGTATATATACGTGAAACGCGCAGAAATAGCCAAATGTAATTCTCGATTTTACAAAATCGACCTCGTTTTACGCGACAAATCACGTGCGCTCGAAACACTCTTTCATCGCTAACTGGAATCAATCCTTTCATTTCCAGCTGATTTTCGAGTGTAATGATATATTAAATATAGAAAATATATCTTTGAAAATACTAATACTAAAAATTTGCATGTTGAATTTAAATAACAAACTTCTCTGTTCGGCAGAGTCGCGCGAGCGACTGTCGTTGACAGTCGCGAGAGTTCATTACGATCCCCGAAGAGAAGGCGTCGTCTGTAATTTCGGCCAATTTTCTCGGCATTATTCCAGTCGCTTGGTACACTCGGCTGGAGTGCCCTCGTAAATCTCACGATCCGCCGGCGAAATTATTTCCTGTCAAAAAAAGACCGTCGTTTCTGGATGGTAAAGAAAGGAGAGAAGGGCACGAACATGGTAATGAATAAGGAGAGAGAGAGTCCGACGACCGGGTATCGGTATCGCGCTGCGTCCTATGCACTGCAAGAATCCTCACGAACTCGGGTGAATTATATGCTCACGCTATGCCGACATACGTATCTCTTTTTACATTCTCTTTTTCTTTTTACACAAAAAAAAAGAAAACCACCGCGACTACCGACGACGACGATTTTAGGAGGTGAGATACAGCAGATTTATCATTAATCTGCTGAAAATAAACTTCATTAGTTTAGAGCCGCAGTTTTCCTGCGTAGATAAACTTTTTCTGATTTTTTTTGACACGTCAGTGAATTTCGCTCGTTCATAGACCGTCACATATGCAGTGAAGCCTTTTCACTATAACATTCTCGCACGGGAAACGAAAAAGCTTTCAGAAAAAAAGAGAACGGTGAAGGACTTTTCATGTCCTCGTGGCATTGCGAAAACACTACAAATTTCCTGGGCTCATTCTGTACTCAATTTTTTATTTATTTATTTTTTTTATTGGCAGTTACTGTAATTTGCCTTTTTTCGCAAAAATTCGTTGCTTCTTTTATTGTTTATTCTTTTTGGTTTGTATATAATATTTGTGAGTAAAACAATATTTTATTAAAAATAAATTTTGAAAGATAAGAGCCGAGAATTTAAACTTGAGAGCGCTAACAGCTGGGGATTCGAAGTTCAGTCGAGTTGAGAATTCAGAGTTTACATGTACGCAAGTTCGCGAACCTTGTTCACAATTGCATTTTAAGATCCTGATAGTGTTTCATATACCTCTCTAGAGGCATAATTCTGGCGCAGCTTTATCGCAACGAACATATAGCTCGATTACGAATGCGAATATATAGAAGCTTATCGCTAACAAATCGCGTGTTCGGATTCTTGCAAAATGATATCATGACACACAAGGTCTCTCGGCGAGCTGTCGTCGACAACACGCGCGTTTCATTTTCGGTCGTCTGAATAGTATCAAAAAAACAAATTCGCGACACATACCTGTACATATGTGTATCACATCTTCTCTTCCGCTCTTTTGATCTCGACAACAGTAACGACGACGACGTCACGCTGTGGGTTCAGTGCGAATTTTATTCATGCCGTTTGCTCTTCACTCGTGCACATATTCTGCGCTGATGAAACCAAGTGGGATTTGGCGAGAACGCGATTCCCAGAAAGCGACGCTTGTCAACGAACGCTTGTCAAGAAGCAATAAATATCGCTCGCTCGTAAATATCACGGTTAGCAACAATAAATCCCGCGTTTACTTCGGAATTTTCACACACGGAGTAAATCTCGAGAGATTGCGAAAAAAGCGCTGCGTCTCCGCTCTCCCGGCTACACGTGTATTAATCTCATGTCGCTCGCCGCATTTAAATATGAATAGTCTTGAGAGTAACTTTTGTAAAAACCAAATAAATCACATTAATAAAAACAATAATATTGTTCCGGATAACTATAGTTATATCTCTTTCCAAGAGTTTCTTCAACATTTGTGCTAGTTTCTTAGATAAGTGATTGACACCAAATTTATATATCTAGTGTGACCTGTTAAACTAAATTTTCATATCACTTTTACGATATAATTTAGAAACTTCGTTTAACGCAGAAAATACGATATATTGTATCAAGTATAACGTCCTGAGAGATGTGTACTGTGCTCTCTGAAATTCAAATTTCCACGCATATCGTGCAATCAAAATTAGGGGAGTGGACAGACTATAGAAATACATGTATGTATGTGAAAGATACATATTTTCTGACCTGAGATAGCCGAAGTTTCAAACAAAACCAGTAGAAGATTCCTGGTATCATCTTGTATTTATATTATATATATATATATATAGATCAGTAATATAAATTCGTATGCGTTATGTTTCTTATGCGACCTCATACACTTGAAATAATATTTTTGTATGAAAGAAAATAAAATGTTTAAAGTAAGATGTAAATATGATATCATCGTTTTTGCCATCTATTCGTATGAAATTTTTTTACTTAGTGATGATGTACGTTTCTGACGTTTGGCTATTTCAATCTGAAGAGGGATGTTATATGAACACGTTATATATAACGTACGGAAATATCACGAACGATCATAGATACTTTACTGTCAGCACGCGCTACGTGCAGCATAATGTAATCTTCCAGTGCGCTCGTAACGCCATTCGGAGATGAAAAGAATATTTCCTCTTCTGCCTGCTCGTCTAGCGGTGACATTTTTTACTGAATCGAAATTTTCCATAATTCAGACTTTATCTTGAAATACTTTCGTTCAGAGAGAGATCACGTACACAAAAAAGACAAGAACTGAAAAGACTTTTTATTGTAGTTTTGTAATCCGAATCGAGAGACACTAAAGAAAACTCGATCGGCTTTGCCGTTTCTGAGATACGAAAATCTCACCTCGTCTCAGTTTCGCGTAGAAAGAGACACCACCGTGTCTCTTGATGATCTGTCAAAACACCATAAACACTTCGCTCTCGAGAGTCGTTTACCAGTTCAGGAATCGTTTTTTTCTTTTATCTCAATCGAGATACGCCAGCTGGGTCAAGCCAGATAAATGGACTGTCGAGGACGTTCTTCCTAAAGCAAAATCTACTCTCGACCTTGTTTGCCCAACGGATACGGCATAATCGTCACGCACGATCGTGTTTCTTGAATCAAATCGCACAGCAGAAAATTGACATTACGTATTTAAATTGCTGCCAATTCTGTTCTACGTCCGAAAAGTAAAAGAATCAATATTATCTCCATACAATATTGAATTGGTTTGATTAAATTCTCCGCTTTTTTCAATTTTTTCAATAACACTGTCGCAAAAAGAATTTTGCATAAAACATTCAAAATTAAAAAACAGTAAATAACATAAAGATAAGAAAAATAACTTCGAGTACGTAAAACTCGCAGTATTCGCGTATCTAATTCGAAAAAGAATTCGCCATCACGTGCCCAAGTCAAACTTGGTTTACGCAGTTTGAGGTTCACGTAAATCTTACATGAAGTTCAAAAGTAAGGCTAACTTATTAATGAACGCACGCGTCTAATGTATGGCGCGCAAACTAAGCGAGCAGGCAGCTTCCGCTTACATAGTTTTCCACGGAGAAGTGAGAGCACTCCCTTTTCGCTCTCTACTCGCTCCCGTGAGATGTACTCGCTCCTTTCTGCGCGACGATGCTCCTTGCATAATGAAACCGCTCTCCTTCTGCTCTTCGCTCTCGGCATCACTAGGATCGAACGAGCGACTTCGTCTTGCTTCTGGATCCTTCATTTAATCCTTTGTGTTTGGCGCACGTTTCGACGGAGAATCACATGACGATGTATTCAACGTGCCTCGAGAGAACCATTTTGAAGAGACGCAATCTTGAAGAACACTTCGAGCGAGAATTCTTTTTTAATAGAATCTTTTTAAAAAACAATATTTTACTTAGAGAATTTGTTTTCGCCAGCGAAAATCTTTCGTCGATTCGCAAGAGACGACTTACTCGGCTCTCTTACGAGCGGATTACTCGTACCTTGTTAACCCTGTGTTGTCGGCTTCCCCAACGATGCACACAGCGGCGCCTGTATAATCCACGGTTGCACGGAGCTTCTCTCTCGCCGTCTTATTGCCGGAATAACGTAATATCGTCGACGTGTAGTCGACGACGACGACACGCTCGAGCTAAGACGCTCTCTATCCGACTTAACGACATTCCCGTGGCGGATTAGGTCGAGTGAGAGGGTAGTTCTGGTATAGGAAGCAACGAGAGCGCAGCAGCACACATCGGCCGGGATATAGGATTAGTCGGGGTTCTCTCTGACGGTGAAGATGAGGCGCGGATGTTGCCGTCGCGCGACGGCGCTTAGAGCGCGTCCGACGAGATTTTCAGAGAGGTCCGTTTACGCGCGATTTAGCAGAAGCGTCGCCCACTTTGCGCTTTTAACATAACACCGTGTCGGATACACATCGGCTGTATATATCGAGTGTGTTTGAGTTTGTAAGCACACAACGTCTTATACCGACCTCACACAATCAATCATATTGTCAGTATTAACAAATATATTTGTTGATAGTATTATTAATCATGCAAGGTCCGACTTATGTTTACAACTCTCTCCCTTTTTCTGTCAACAACAGTTACAACAGTCTTTATAATATTATTGATATCAGTTTTAATATTGATAATTAATACTGAAGTATAGTATTGTTGACTGTTTACTGTTAATATCACGTCATTTTGATGTCTTCTTGCAGGAATCGGATAGTTTAGCGGTATTTTCCGAGTTGCTGAGATACACGAGCGTGCGCGAGCTGAGTCTGTGCAATGCGCGGTTGCATTTAGCAGTGCACGAGGGTCCTTTATCAAGATTAGGACGTCGCGATGACGCTGGCGCAGAGCTCCTGCGAGCTGCACCACCTCCAGCCTGTCCCGCGATCGTTTTCCTGAGACTAGCCGGATTCCAAGTAAGTACTTTCCTCGAGTATATCTTCGCAAATTTCGGAAGTAAAATCCAAGAAAATAGTTATCGAAATTTCTTGAAAAGTCTAAATTATAATTTTCTTATTGTAAAATTCGAATTTTACGATTTTTTCTTCACACAATGTCCATCATAAGCATTATCGAGCATTAATGTATTAAAAAGTGGTTTAATTTACAAATTTGTTACAAACACATTGATTCCACAGTGTAACAAGCGTATAATGACGTGTGCAAACCTATTATTCCTCGAATCACCGTGCGAAGACTATCCGCTGGCGCGCAGTTACATGCCTTCAAGTGCAGGCGCGTACCATTACGAGAAGATAACATACATACACGGTATCGCGCTTCCAGTAGACGCAAATGTAAACTGTCCGTTTCTCTGAGTCGGAGTCTCCTCCCTCGCTAGACTGAGACTGCGTACCTATCGTGTTCCCGAGACCTGGCAGGACCCATTAGGTAGACACTCGCCGCGCGCTCTATCCAGAGCGGAAATCAGTTCGTGATTCGAGTTCTCCATTCTCAGCAAAAATGATTTCGTCTCGCTTGAAAAATGAATCTCCGCTACAGTCTATGAAACACGCCACGAAGAAAATCGGTTAACCTCCTGAAATACCGCGAATATTGTTCTCTTCGTTCTGTTTAACATTGTATCTCTTTGTAATTCTGGTTCTGGGCCCGGAAATTGTGGACGTGCCGGTAACATCCGCGTAACATCTCGGAAATATCTCGTCTTCTCTCTCAATTTCGTCCGGAGATCTAATTCAGGTCGCCGAAAAATCCTGACTCAAGAATCTCCGAAAATCCTTCAGATTCGGGATCTAAAACTTCTTCGGAAGAACAGAAAAGTGACAAAGAATCAAGTATCAGTAGATTTTATTTTAAAATGTTTATAAAGTTTTTAATATAAAAAATGTGTATCCGTAAAAATAGCACTTGATTATATGTTAGTTACTATGCTCTTGTCACTCTTCGTAGAAAGACACGATATTAGCCAATCCATTTCCGGAATGCCAATTTCATATCCGGAGAAATGCCCGCCACCTCTCTCGCGTCTTTCACTCTTATCTCTAACTCGTATATTTTCTATTACACGCGCAATTACAGTCTCAGTCGCGCCAGAACGACGGCGATAAATAAAGGACGGCCCAGACCGACATTCGTCTTCGTTGTCTCCGCTCGATTCTATCTCTCGTACTGTACAGGGTGAACCGTAAAATAGATCACTGAATAGTGCAGATACATTTTTTATCTTACAATATTTCAAATATTGCAATGTTTTTCAGATTCTTAAGCAAAATTGTTACATCAAATGCTTGATCGAAAAGTTCCTCTTATCGTCTGCCTCGAAACCTAAATTCGCGCAAGAAATCATGTGATTCAATTAATCTCCGTTCTAAAATATTATAAATTTAAAATCCGCATGAGATACAAGAATCCATTTACTTCTTTGCACACTTACAAAAAGAAAAAAAACTTGATGAAGAAAAAATTGTTATGAAAAAATTCAAGACAAGAAACTTGCCGTCTGATCTAGAACACCCTGTACGTCGCACCCTATCTCTCAACCCGAAAGCGAGCGAAACAAATTGCGTCCGATAAGGTCTGCCGAGGGAATTATTTCTGATTGCAGGTGACAGTGAATGATCGCTTGGCACTGCGCGGGCCGTTGCTGTTGCCGTTTCTGGCGGGTTTTACGTCGTTGAGCGAGCTCGACCTGTCGCTGGATAAGTCGACAATTGGCGGCAACAGCGGCTCGCTGCTCTTCATCGACGATAAAATCCTGCAGCAGTTCTTTTGCTGCTTAGCGGCGCACTTTCGTAGTCTGCAATCGCTTAGGATCAACTTCTGGCGAGTCACTCTGGAAGACAGCGATCGGACGATGCGACAGATCGCCAAGTATCTTAAATTGTGCGGTTTGAGCTTCCTCAGGGCGAACGGACTGATCGTCACGGACAGCGCAAAGCGGGTGCAGATGGAACACGTGTTTATACAAACGATTCTCACGCACTTGCAATATCTCACCTGGCTGTGCCTGGACGGTGTCGAACTCACCGAGACACAGTCCACCAGTATCGGCAAGTGCGTGCGCGATCGTTTCCCTGGTACCACTCTGGAGATCAGCGCCAAGGATGTGCACGTGAGATCAATCAAGGCACTGGTGACCGCGGCCGAGGATGGTGGCAGAACGGAAGTAGTGTACACCGGCGGTTCTAGTTGTCGCCTGAAGATCACGAAAGTGCAGAAGAACGGCCGGGGCAAAAAGAAATGAATGAAAATATCTCGCGAGTAACATAATTTGGAGGAAGTTTATTCTGGAATGGTTCGTCGCAAAGCACGGAGAAATAAAGAGTAGATTGAGCGAGATGGATCATTCTCTTCGTGATAGAGACTGTAAAACTAAAAAAAAAAAAAAATGATAAAGAAGATAAAAGGAAATGAGTTGACGGATTGTGCCGAGAAAGATATAGAAAATCACATGAAGAAAGAAAAATTGAGGAAATTAGATAAGAGACGGAAGATGTAGATTTTCTAGAAAGAATGAATACCAGAGAATATATCAGTTTCAGCCGCATGAGGCATAAGAGACAAAAGGTAGTACGGAAGAATGAGAGAAGAAGAACGGGTTAAACTTTGTGGATTTTTGTCTTACTGTGATTTCATTTCCTGCGCATTGACGCGCTCATCTACGATATAGATTATAGATTATAGCGATTATTAGCGAGAATAATTCGTTGGGACACAATGGGAACTTAGGCGTTTTTCGCTCATGTAATGTCTTTAAAGAAACTAACAAAATATCGAAACGTGGTGTTAATTAATAATACTAGAAAGTTACTTTGACTATTTTGAATTCTAACAAAGTAGATGTCGTTTCTTTTTCTATACGATTTTTTATGGAAACAAACTTTGCACTTTTAGACACAAATTACCTGCATCATCATCGCGTTCGTCTAAAAAATTACATTATTAACATAATTCTACAATCTTACGATTCTAACGAGTGAACGAAAATCGAAGTATCCGTATGTGATTAACGAAGAATCTTCTCGACGTTTTTCGAAAACAAAAAGAGAAGAGAGCGAAAATACTTATCGCGAAATGAAAAAGATATTTAAAGAGAAAAAAAGAGGCTGTTGCGATTACATAAGTACCGTTCGTTGTTGTTAGATGGAGATGTAAGATACGATTCAGAGTAATATATTATTAGCGATATATAGATCACACGATCGTCATATTATTAAATGTTACAACCGATCGACATTCGCGATCGGTGAGATGATAGACCGAGATGCGATGGCTTTACCGAAGAGAGAGCGGCGCGTTGTTGGAGACTTGGAAAAATTTTATAGAATAAATTTTAAATGGTAGCGCCACACACAGTAAAACAAAAACACATATATACACGTGCGTGAATGCGTGTTACGTGAAAAGAAAGTCGAATACTCGTAATTAAACAATAAGAAGTAACGTAGGCAGGTACCAACGCCAACGCTATTGTTGTATAAAATAATTGATTACTGTAATTAAGATAAACTGCCAAAAAAAATCGTATAATATTTGAAGATCCACATTTTTCCGTGTGTCCACATTTAGCACTAAACTCTTTTGAAAGATGTTAACTTTTAATTTAAACGAAAATATATCGTCTCCAACGTAATCGCAGACAAAAGTTGACCGACTACGTTTAGCGCTGAATGTGAACCGCAAACGCTATAATATTCCTTATCTATGTCGCAAAGACGTTTTTTGCAATCTTGTGACAAATCCAATAAATCGCGTCTTGTGTGAGCCAAGAACGATACATTTACACATGCATGATTTACGATCGATTGATCGTGATCAGTTGCACCAACGATAACTGCCATTCAACTGGAACCACCGATAAAAATAAAACAAAAGAGAACGATCGGCCAAATGCGGAAGAGTATTTGTTGATTTTTGAGTTTTGCCTTAAATGGAGAACAGCACTTACACGATAATTCCCTCCGTTTTTCGTGTTTTTTTCCGAGAAAATATACAGACACACTACCATCTCGCGCAATTTTTTATTATCCACCTAGATATACGTAAGTGCTTCCGCTCAAGCGTGCGTACGATGAATTTTGTCATTTTTATATAGTTTGCTATGTACATAAAAATATCTCTCTTCTCTCGATTATATCGCGCGGCATGACAGAGAAATCCGCCGATTTGTTAACATTTGTGAACCTATTTTATGAAAAAACTAACAATCTTAATCTTCGCAAGACTGAACCTGATGTCACACACACACACACACACACACACAATTAAACGTACATCTGCGTACATACATACATACATATATACAAGTATACATTGGTTAAGTGGCCGAGTGAACACTTGCGAGATAAGCGCCCGATATAACTGCGTGTGGAATCAACTTGAGTAGTTTTATTATAAATATTTATGTATTTATATATATGTGTACACATATCCTCTCCAAATAAATATAATATGTGTTTGAAAAAACTTTACCTGGATCATTGCAATTCATGAGAAAAAAATCTGAGCATAAATATATCACAACATAAATGTTAAAAAACAGAGATTGTTAAAAGATTAAATAAAGAGAAAGACGATTAAATAAGTACTCTCTTTATTATTTACACATGTTTTTATTTATAATAATCACACGCATTTCCCATTCATATATAAACTTTATGCAATGAAGATAGTAGAAAAACAAAGGTTTCGCAAGAACAATGCACCTGTTTATGTTTTATATGTAGCTGATAACGCGAAAACATCCAGTTTTGTTTTTTTCTTTTTTTTTATTAAATCCTCATTTATCTAAAAGTACGTTAATTGTCGCGCCTGAATTATCACAATAAACACGTGATAAATATTTCTTCATCCTAAAGCCGAATGATGACAAAGATTATTTTAATATATTTGTTTAACACAATATATATAATTTCTATTTTGGCTTGCGTCATCACAATTGGAAGTACCTAATGTTTCGGTAGTACATGTGTGTTTTAATATGATATAGATGGAATGGAAGTGTATGGTGTTTACTGCTCCTTCTAACTTTTAGAAATGCGATAAAATTATTGTATTGTTCTTCTAAATCTGAACGAATCGTTTATTCATTCGTCTAAAAATTAACTAATTAATCATTTATCTAAATAATAATTTGTAGAAAGATTACGTAACAAATCGAGAAAAACATTTCCAAAACAATTTTTAAACTTTGTGAATTCCAGCCCAAATACTCTTACAAATTTCGATTTGTCACAGTTACATATTGACGCTTAACAAATTATAATTTATATATATTAATTATACATATTATTTATAATTATATACATAAATATAATACGCGTTGTATAACAGATACATATATATGTATATATATATGGTACATATATGTATAACCGATGTATTCTCAACAAAGATATTTCATGCTAAGTAATTAATTCAATAAACTGATGGAAGGTACTTAGCATGAACAGAAAATAAATTGCGATCTTTTTTTTAGATATATTCATACAAAGTGATGATTTTACTTGTAAAAGTATTTTGTGTAAAACTCTGCTCTTTCATGTATGCTTTTTTTACTTTTTTTACTTCTTGCATTTTTTATGTGTTTATACATGTGACTAACTTCTTTCAGCTGTCTCGATTGCTATAGCCACTTATGATGTTATGTGTGACATTGTTTGAGAAATATATTCTTAAAAATATGTTTGAAAATGCACCTTGAAGTATTATTGTAAAATTAAAAAAGTGTGTATAGTATATATATTATATATTATATATTATATACACACACATACACATTACATTAACTATAGCTAAATTATACTTGGACGTGAAAAATATCTGATTAGATAAATAGTCAATTCAATACAATGTTTGAACAAACAAAAGTAGATTTTTCTTTTTTCTTCTTTTTTGACAAAACTAGATTCACAAACGCGATTGCATTTGTCATTTAAATTCTAGAATGAGAGAAAGTAACTGACTTTTTGTTTTTAATACGTAATACCGAGATGAAAAACTGGATTGTTTGCCGTTTATTGTTATTTTAAAAACTGATTTAGTTACTTAGTAATTAATAATTCGATTTCCTTAGAAATACTTAGGAATTGTTGCTTAATTATCCTGTGTCAGCAGTTTTTCCATATAAGGCATGCACGATTCTCAAACGATTTGTAGTCCCAGGCAATATTGACTGCAGTCCAAAAGTGCACAGTCGCAGATTATGCATAGTCCGCAAACAGATACACTGTTAGTACTTTTGTAACGTTCTATGAAGCATGGCGCATCTTTCGTAGATCACATAGGGGCGTAATCCAATTGAACCGTGAGCTGTCTCACGCCCGCCGATTGGAAAATCTTTTGCGTCGTTATCACAACGGATTTGGGATCCACTTCTCTTGCTACTTCAAGTTTCAAACATCCAACGTACACGTCCGAGCACAGTGTCCAGAAATGAGGCTCTTGCACACTGTACACGCCTGGCATTTGCGTAACTTTGTTGTAGCACTGTGGTAGAACGTGATCCAGAGCCGCTGGCTGTCTCTGCATAAGCACTTCCCACGATTCTTTCATCAACGAAATTATACTTAACACTATCAATACTGCTATGAGCATGGAGCATATCGGGTCAGCGATCATCCAGCCAAACATTTGCATCAGTACCGCCGATATGATTACACCCACGGAACCAAGGGTATCCGCCAGAATGTGCAGAAATACACCCTTCATGATTTGTGAGTTCGTACCACTGAAAGACGTTTCCATTTCAACGTGATCGTAGTCGTGATTTAGGAGAGAATATTCATGATTTTCATGGGAGTGATTATGATGCCCTCCCATGCCATGATTATGACTGTGGCCATGTCCATGACTGTGTCCATGTCCATGCCCATGTTTAAATGCACATATTCCTACTAGATTTACTATAAGTCCCAATACAGAAACTAAAAACAGTCTCTCATGTTTGATTTCTGGTGGTTCAATAGCTCTCTCAACTGCCTCTGACATAATAAACAGAGCAATGAATAACAAAAGCAATCCGTTTACAAAACCACCCAATACTTCAGCTCTGACATATCCATACGAATATCTTTCATTTGCCCTCCATTTTGTAATAACAGATGCTGCTAGGCCAAACAACAAGCCAGTACAATCAAAGAACATGTGAAAACTGTCAGAGATGAGGCCAAGACTGTTAGTCCATATTCCATACAACAACTCCACAAAAGCAAAAGACAAGTTGAGAATCAGAAACAGGAACAAATTCCGAGTGTTCTGATCAGAGAAGATAAGGCGTATCAAGCCCAAAAATTTTTCCTTGACTTTGCTCTTAAAGTTGGAATGTGGGTCACGTGGATTGTGGAAAACCGGCAGCATTTTGCGATTGTGCCAAAATCAAATCTATGGACCACAATCTGCACTGAAAAAAGAAACAAAGTATTTTTATAACAAAATACAGAACAAACAAAAATATACATTAAAATATATATGAAAATATACGTAAAATCTCGTTAATACATAAAAAAACTTAAGAATTTATATTACACTTTTCCATACACTCAAGAAAAAAAAACCATTTACTCCAATATTACACGTTATATCCGCCGAAGATACCAAACAATTAATAGAATCGGTTGTGAATCGCAACGTGAAATATTTCCAGCTGTTGACAACGCATCTGTAATTGTAATAACACGTATACATACAAAACTGTATATGTGTGAGGGTCGCGTGCGGCAAGTGCAGTGACACGTCTTACGAGTATTAGGAGTAGCTTAACCTACAATTTGCTTCTTCCGATTTACCTCTTGTCGTAGTTGAGATCCGAACGGGCAGCTTGAGTTTCGACAAATTTGACGTTCAGTGCGTAATATTAAACAGCTTCTTGATTCATGTTGGCTGTCAGAAACACGGAAAACCGGATCGCATACGAGATATTTGACGGAGGAGCGCCATGCTTCGTGAGGCTTCGACCACTCCTGCGTTCACAAAACATTACTCGTCCTACTCGTCATGACATATCCTGGATCCTGGGTTAGGGCTTCCGCACAAACCAGCACAAACCCTTTCGTAACGCGTTAAGGGTCGTCTACAATGGAGAGTTGTAGGCCGTAATAGTAAGAAATTGACCAATCACAGGCAAAGTACAGAAGAATAATCGATTGTGATTTGTCAGTTTCTTACTGTTACAGTCTAAAACTCTCCATTGTAGACGACCCTTTACAAAGCGTAAATGCTAGTAGTTTTTCATATTGTTGTGATTGCTCTGAGGGCGACGTCCCATTGAGCGGAAATCTATAGCGGAACGGAATGTGTGGAACCAGCTCGACCAATCATAGCCATTCCGTTTTCTTTCCTTCGCTTTTTCTGTGGTTACGATTGGTCGAGCTGGTTCCGCACATTCCGTTCCGCTATAGATTTCCGCTCAATGGGACATCGCCCTGAATCTTCTCTCTGATTTCGTAATAAACTTTCTTCCGTGTTCGATCAACGTAGTACCGGATATGTCTCCAGATATTTCTATCATCGTAGATGGAGTTACTGTTGTGAAAAGAAGTCGTATCAGTATCATGGTGGTTGGCTAGCTTCCTTTCTGTAATCGTTTTTGTAAGATTAGCATCATGGTAAGCGTTCACGAGTAAATTTTATGAGGTTTAGAGAATATTTTAATGTGATTGTTGTGTGTGCGATTTTAATGTAAAAAAGAGAACAAAATGGTTAACTTTGATCACGATACGCTGAGTAAACACATGTATCTTGTTCAGAACAAAGAATGTAACCTGTTTGTATTCAAAGGTTCACACGTGTTCTATACAATCTTAAATTTGTAATTGTTTTACTTCAGCTTTGCTTTTGATGTTAGATACAACAGTTTAGTGATAAAAAGAATATTTTGCATTGTTATTATTCTACGATTACAAAGTATAAGCTACATATCGTGTCGTATCAATAGAAGTATAACCTGTGTCTTTATACATACGGTATTTTATACGCATGATGATCTAATTCTTCTAGATATGCTATGACAGTGAAATACTGATTTAATGAGTCTGATTACTTTTAATATATTTTTAAATGTCAATCGAATTCTTATTTTTCTAAATGTACTTAATATATATTTAACTCTTACTATTATAGCCGCCTAAAAAGGATACCAAAAGCTCTTCTAAGCAGCCTCAAAAAACCCAGAAAAAAAAAGAGGGTGGATCTGGTGGAAAAGCCAAGAAGAAGGTTTGTTATGTTTTTTTAATAATAAGACACAATAAATAATTTCAAGCAACTAATGTATATGATGTATACTCTTGAACTTGACTTTTTATGGAAGCAAAATCTGATTTAATGAGTCTGATAAGATCTACATTTACTACATATTATATTGTGTAATGTTAGATTTTAGATTTTAATACAATATTTATTTGTTTTTCTACATGTAGAAGTGGTCCAAAGGAAAAGTACGTGACAAGTTAAACAATCAAGTTTTATTTGATAAACAAACTTATGAAAAATTGTTGAAAGAAGTCCCACAATACAAATTGATTACACCTTCCATTGTCAGTGAAAGATTAAAGATCAGAGGATCTCTTGCTCGACGGGCATTGATAGAGCTTCAGCAGAAAGGGCTGATCAAGCAAGTTGTTCAGCATCATGCACAATTAATCTATACAAGAACTACTAAGGGAGATGATCCAGCAGTTTGAATTGTAAATTCATTTTAATAAAAATTTTATAAAACCATAAAAATGTGTATTTTTGTATTGTATATAATTTTATAATCATTTCTATTTCTCCAGATATGTGCTTAAATTTTGTATATACTTGATTTTATTTGAGGTATTTTTTTGTTAAACTAAAAGTAGTATTTGAGAAAAGTTTTAATTTATTTAGCAAAGTATACAAGCATAAGTTTACACATAGAGTGACAGAAAAGAATGACATTGCTATGAATATGTATAACATGATTTAAAAATGTGACAAATTTAATTTCTTGATATTTAAGATACATTTAATTTTCGCAAACTGATGTTATATACAATTTGTGTACTATTTTAATGTACACAAAATAAGTAAAACAATTATATTAATCACATTAAGATTTATAATACTTTCGAGACGAAGAGCGAGGATAGATAACACTGTTCAATAATTTTGTATTCTTTTTTTTACATAAAGAAACGAGACAAATTTCTACAAATAAAAATAATGATTGTAAGGGGAGTTCATAACTTGCATATGTATCACTAAACTTTGCATCTTGAAAGAGTAAGCAGAAAATAACAGAAAATAGATTTACATTTTTTATTATATGTACACTTTATTTTTAAATAATTTTTCAAAAGAAAGGAAGAAACCAACTTATTATACATTTCCAATATTTTGCCACTTTTGTATACATATTAAATAACTTACATTCAAAAGACAAATTATTTTCTGCTTTACTGTCTTCATATATATGTATTTTTCCTTTGTACATTTATGAAATACTCTTCTGATATTTTTGAGATGTGTGGGGATGTCAAGAAAATATTTTATATTTGTCAAATGAATATAAAATACTTTAACTTAAAAAAATATTTATCTATCTGAATTTGATTGAAATTTGACAGTGCAACTCAATATTTTCAGATTACATGTAATGTGATTGTGTAATACATATTATCACATTCCTTTATCATTATAACCTTACTTGTTGTTGAACAAGATCAGTTTGACTGTGTGACCGATTCATTGTGCATTTACGCCGTTGATCACCATTACGTTTGTGTTTCGTAAATAATTCCGGTTTGGAATCGATCAAATTCCGTATTTTACACAAATCTATACTGACTTTGAGACAATGCTTGATGTTATTGCAATTAAAAACATTTTCGCTATTTGAAGTATTATTTACATTATCGTCGCAAAACTTTGTGCAATGAATAAATTTGCCGGAATCACATGCGTCGATCTGTTTATTTAGAATATTGCGCTCGTTGAACGTAATATTCGAGACAGACGCGGCGCGTCGATTATTTTGAGCCTTCAGCATTATAGTGTTTGCAATGTCTAAAGTTTTACAACTGTTCCATAACTTCGAATAATCAATTGTGTGCCAATTTCTGTTATCACTGTCAATTTCTTTATCAACATTGTACTGATTTGCAAAAACAGAAATATTATCTTGTGATAGTTTTTCAACGTTTTTATTCGTGTTAACAAAACAACCTAAGTCATGTACCATTTTGTTAGTATCCTCGTGGAATAATCGAACATTAGAAATTTTTTCTTTTGTATACGATGGCATCGTATTGTGTGCAGACGCTTGTTTGTATTGTTGTGTATCTTCCAAGCTGATCCACACATCTTGACTGCGATCGTTCGATGCAAGTTCTATATTATCCGTTATGTTATCTATATTTGTATTGCAAATAGTTCGATTTAATGTGTTCAAATTGGTATTATTTGAACTAAGACGTACATCATCGTCATTCTCGCTACGTACATTTCTCACAAACGCAGTATCGTCGACATTATTAGTCAGATTCACATTGTTCAATTTACCGTTACGAGAAATTGTCTTTGATCTTCCCGGATCTAAATTTTCTTTTGTATCATCATGACCAGGCATGATGTGTATAATTTTATCGCTAATTAAGTGATTGTCGTTTATTAAGAAACTAAAGAACTTGTCCTGTTGCTCCGCAGATGTATAATCATTGATGCAGTCTGAACTCGACGAAGCTTTATCTTGTGTAGAAGTGACAAGTGTATGCAGCTTTCTTGACTCTCTTGGAGCTGTCAATTGAATCTTGCTCTCTTTGTGATTTTCCGCCGGGATATTTATGGAGAATGTATCATATAATATCATCTGTGTGCAATAAAAGTTTCATTAATATAAATATTTATATAAATATTTATATTAATATAAATATTAATATAAATATTGCTCTATTAAATTTTTGCTAAAGACAATTATGGCAAATTAGCTCGTTATAGATCCATACGATACCTGAACATTATTTGATTCGCGAACTTGAAACTTGAGATCGTCCAGATACATATACTGCGGTATTAATCTAGGTTGACGACATGTGGTGAGGTTGTTCGTGACTTGAGGGAAGACACTATGACCTTCCATGGCGGCAGAATTTTGTGAACTGATGTCGACGGCGTCAATACTGCGCACACACACACACATACAAACATTGATAATACTACATCAAGATTTTACTTTTAACTCTATTTTCTCAGTTTTGTACATAATCAATTTTTTATTTTTTATAAATTAATAATGTGTTAATACAGTTGCAGAGAGCGAATATCATCACGTAAACTTTAATTTTTTTTATTTGCACTGACTTGATGTATAACTAATAATGTCCTTTTTTTTTCTTGTAAAACTCACCAACAATTATGTCCAGTTACAGATCAGCTTGTGCAATAAATGTTTTAAGTTACTATTTAAGAATTCGTATGTTTACAAGACTCACCTGGAAGATTCTTTTGATCGATTACTTCTGCTCCACTTGGTCGAGTCGGTCTTGGCAGATTTGGAGCTTGTGTCTCCGTCACACTGTTAGAATCGCAAGATTTACACTGAAGAGGAGGTACGGGGAAGTTTACAACACACATATAATTTCTGCATCATATTTCTCATCGGAATCAACCATGTTTATCATATTTCTACTTTATCGAACGTGAACGTGTCTTATAGGATTTTAATGAACACTTATAATACTATTTTATATAGCATAAAACTCTAATCGCAATAAAATATTTTTAAGTTTTTTTAAACTTTTTTTTGAAATCCAAACTTCAATATACATATACATATATACTTCAATGTATATTATACCTCACAAGTTTTTTTATATTACTTACGGATATGTTGTCCGCGGTTTTTCCAAGAACAGGTATATTAGCAGATGACGTTCTCTGTTCATTTAACGCTTCCGTTATTTGATTATCATTTGTATCGATAGATATAGTTCTTGTGTTTTGCAATTTGGGCGTAAAACATACAACATGTGTTGTGTTGTCTGAACATTCCATTCTCGTTGAGTTTTTATTTCTCTGTGATGTATTCAACAACCAATTGTTTTCCAATAATTTGGTGTTTGTTTTCAAACAATTTGACTCAATTGAACTCGATCCAAGTAATCCTTCGTAAGATAGTGATGTAGATACAGATGAATCAATATTTTCATTATTAATTGAAATATCGTTTATCTCGCTTGTATATGCCATTGGTGAGCGTTCTAAGCAATTTCCAATATTCTCTCCAATTTCGCTAAATCTTGAAGACGTTCTTCTATTTGGCCGTTTATTCATATCACATGTAACAGTAGTCTGAAGTGTTTGACTAACAGAAGAATGTATGAGAGAATTTATGTCGGAATTCGCGTGCGACATATTCCAGCAATTCTCGATTACAACAGGCGTTGTATTCATTTCCCAAGTATTTTTGTTAAAACTTTGTTTGATTCTTTTATTATAATTATTTGTATCATCAGTCGCTGAAATTTAATGTAATATTATGTTATCAATTGTATTGTATCAGTTTTAAACTTTAATTTTCAATTTTCTTACTCAATTTACCTTCTAAGCTACGTTTTGTAGGAAATAAACTCATGAAAGAATTTTCAGTTGGTTGATTCACAAGAGGATACGTGAGAGAATTTGTTTCCTTCCAGCAATTCTTGCTTACATCAGGTACACTTTCGAATACTTCGGGCGGCAATGAAGTAACATTTGTGATTTTGATATTCATGACAGATTCCTCGCTTGCGTCTGCCGCGTCGTCGTTTAAATCCTTCAAATCGTTGTTATTCAAAGAAACGTTATCAGATATAAATTCTAACGGTGTTGCTAAATTGAATTGTTCTACAGCAGTAAATTCACTTTTGTTTAGAACTTCTTCAAATACAAATTCCTGGCTATTTATATCATCTGTTGCTATTGCATGAGATGCTATATTTGAACTATTAGAGTTTGCGGAATCTTCTGTTGAATTTAACAATTTAGTAAAAGGAACCGTTGATGATAAAGAAGATATTGATAAGTGCTGCAGCAAATTTGGAATCTCTGTTCTTTTTGTTTGTTGTTTTAATGAAAGACACTATAATAAAAATAAAAACTTAAATATAAATCTACGAGGTATATAATGTAAAAAAGTCAGTTTTTTATCATGAAACTAATCTTACTAAATATTCTGAAGATTTGATTGTGTTTTTTTTTCAATATATTTCAACAATATATTTTTTACCTCGATCTCATCTTCATCGCTTTCGATTGTGATAACATCCGTTACGTTCGGCGTGGAGTGAGTTGGTTGAGTTTTTAACAATTCTTTTTTGTCATGATTCTTCAAATATGATGTATCTTTCAGAACAGGTTTTATATTGGCATTCTTCTCACAAGTTGTTTTCACTTTTCTTTTAAGTAGAAAGTTTACTATTTTATCAATATATTCTATGGAAATAAAGTAATATGTTAAAGAATTATTGTCATCTAACCGTTTGATTGTATCTTTTTGTTGCCGTAACTTGAAAGAAAGTGGACCAGGTCGTGCTGTAACATTTGAAGTAGAATCCTGTGACGCGTTAGGAGATGAAAAACTAAAAATAGGTGATGAACAAGGTAAAGCGGGAAATTCAGTTCCCACTGAGATGTCTGTATCACTGTCTGAATCTAACTCAGAGTCTGTACTCAGAAAACTAGAACTAAAAGCAAATAATTAAAATATAACGCATTACATACAGATCTTAAAATAATTCAAAATAGTACTTCCAAAAGCTTCTTTTTCATAATATACTTCAGAAAAAGAGACTAAAAAAGATTCGATACATACCTATCCGAACTAACATCTGCCTCTTGAGTCGTTTCAGAACTTTTATTTTTACCTTAAAAAAACCAAAAAAAATAGATTTAACTATATACAGAAATGTAATATATTTTTTTTCTTTGCAAATTCGCGAGATAATTTACCTGATGTAATAGAAATACATTCCTCACATTCCCACACAGGATTACCCCATTTCAATTGTCCACAAGCCATGTGCATGCCTTGCGAGCCACAAGTTCGACACAACACCAATTCCCATTTTCTGTGATATTTTATATGCATCATAAAGAAAGTTCATATCTTAAGCAGCATATAGTTCTGATATTATTATGAGCGACGCTTTATCACTTACGCATTGCTGCTTATGTGATTTCTTCCTTTTGGACAGAGACAGTCTCTTGCATCACACTGATTGTGCCTATACAAAAGCTCTTCAAATGCATTTGGTACTAGTTCCCATGAAGCATCTCTGTTAGAAAATATTTATATAAAGAAAAATATTGTCAAAACCTTCAGAACAAAAAAAAATCAATTTTATTTCTATACTCACTGACTAGGAACAAAAATACCAAATTCAAGCATAGCTTTTTGGAAATCTTTTTTATTGTTACAGAGAGGACATTTGAAAAAATACCCTGCACTTAAAGCAAGTTGCTAAAACGAGAATATATAGTCACGTTATGGGCAGAATAAGAAACATTCCAAAAATTTAGAAATAAAAAATAATCAAGTCACTTTTCATAAAACTAAACATATGAGATTATCATTAATACCAACTTGAATACATTTACGGTGAAACCAGGCATCCTTTTTACAACACGGCGCCCACAAAGTTTGTAGCGTATCCATAGGATTCACCTTGTCATAACAAATATAACACAAAACATTATCTAAAGTGGCAGCTTGTTTTACAACATTGTTATCAATCTTCTGTTTTGGTCTATGATTCACACAGTATGATCTGAAATATTTCAATAAATCATTTGATGATTTGTAAGTTTTAACATACACAACATTAAGTAACACATTGGTACACTTCTTACCTAAATTCACCAAAGAACTGATGCAAGGAACCTGCCTTCAAGCCACAGGGTAAGTGAAATATTCGTTTACATCTTGTATTGCAGCATCCTAAAGTAGCACCATGTTTTTTACAGTAAGAACATACCTACAAATGATAAAAATCAGTTATTAAAATAAACTTATTATATATAATATTTAAGAAGCATTTCCTAAAGTAACTTCTCATTTCAAAAATATTAAAATCATCTAATATATATACCAATCTTTTTCCTCTACGAAGTTCTTTTAGTATATCATCTGTTAGAAATCCAAGTATACCTTCGTCATCATTTCCTTTCTGTTCCATATTAGAAGAGAGAAGCTAGAAGAAAATTATATAATAAATGAGTAAAATGCAGTTAAAAGAATTCAATATTATTCACATGCTTTAGCTATTCTTTAGACAATTTTCTTTTTTAGTGAATTTAAAATGAACACAAGTTTAAATGATACAAGATCATTTTGTAAACACTTGAAACTCACTAAACAGTAGTAATGTGTAATGATTCCATTGTGTTCATAGAACTTTCCATATTCCAACTCATCATCTTCTGACGAGTTGCAGAAACAACAGACCCTGGAAGAGAAAGAGTTGCTTCCGGCAGACATTGTCTGAATAAACAGATTGAATAATTAGAATGTCAATTTAAGATGCTGTTACTTAAAAGCGAGTGATAAAGCAACAAAATTTACCTGTCTGATGTGTCAAGACGCTTCTTTTCATACATTAAGACAAACGAGAATCCTGTGAGATCGTTACCGCGCCAATTGGACAAGCTCTTGCCCGCGGTTAACTCTATAGTAATATCACATGCGACACATTATGTTTTCATGTACTAAAAACAGATATTTTCAAATTTTTTTAGATTAAGCGCTTTTCACTGTTATTAACCTTGAATGTCGTTATGAGAAACTCAGCTAGAAATATCACAAACAATCTCTCTTCTCTCTTATTACATTTAAATGTATATTATGTCTTAATATATATTAAAGAATCATACAACTGTGTGAACTGATGTGTCAACAATTTTTCTTACAATAACAAAATTTTTTACAATATTTACTTCAATTTACTTTTAATACACGCATGATCGTTTATACGTACACGTATTTGGAGGGAAAATAATCGCACTGATCTCTTCTACACTCTACGTCTGCTGATTGTGCTCGTTCCCATAGCTCCTGCCCACAAGACGCAGCGCGGCAAAAGACGAAGCAGTAGCCAATCAACGTCTCGCCTTTCTGGAAATAATAGATACAACAGTGCCTCCTTTGAGTAAACATCTCTTGACTCAATTTGTTCTCTTGAGAGAATAATGGTGATTCTAGTAAGTTAACTCTCCTCTTGTGCTATCATCTCATAACTTTACTCGCTATTTCTTTTTTCCTTCTGTTAAGATTACAACATACGATAGGTCAATGTTATTTCTCTTGTTGGTTTAATGATAGTCATCACAGGACTACGCAAGAATAATATCCATCTAATCTAATTTTATAATAGCCTTTATTTTATTTTTCTAGTTGAAAACTATGTATGAGAGAATTTTGAATATTTGTTGTAGCATTCGATCTTTTGTGTCAATAGATATTCTATGTTTAAATGTTTACTTTGCCACAAAAAAGGCTTAGATTATTTCCGCCAATAAATTATTCATGAGGAAAGCATAGTTTTATAAATGGTACAATTTGTTTATACAAGGAAATATGCGCTAAAACATTTAAATATATTTAATATTTATAAAAATGTGTATTGAAAATTTATTTTTTGCAAAACACAATATGTAATACAAAATTAAATTTTCTCATCACAATTAATACCAGTCAGCAACTGCACTTAGCTTTTTAATTCCTATGGAATTATTTCCGTAAATGATATTATTTATACAAGAAACTTGCGCAAGCTCTTTACGAGCTTGAAACATTCGATATAAAACAGGACAGTCCAAAGATATACATTCTATGTTACTTAATCGTCCAGTACAAGAATGACAAATCTGAAAATAGAAAAAACATTTATTATATTTATATATTATATAAAACTGATAATTATACTAAGTAATTTAATTTTATACATATCTTAGACAATATAGTTTAACTTCACATCTTACATATATTTATCTATGAATAATTGTTTTAATTGCTTACAGAAGCTATTTGCTGATAAGTTGTTTCAAATTGTTTTATCTTCTCAAGAAGTACAAGAATGGTCCGAGTTGATTGTGAAAGACAATCTGAACAAATTTCTTTACTCGCTTGTTCCCCACAAGTAAGACACGAAACAGAACTGAAGAATTGGCGAATGGTAGATTTTGGATTGTTCTCTCCTATATGCACCATAGTATCGAAATTCGAGCGATGAGGCATTTCTTTGTACCTTCAAAAAAAAAATAGTATCGTAAAATATTGTTAGTGTAAGTACAATACTGCATATGTATGCGCACACGTGTGTAATAATAGAGAAAGAGAAAGAGAGAAAGGGAAGGAAGGAGGAAAGAGAGAGGTTTCACGAATTTGTATAAAACATACCATGTATTGATGTCGATTCCAAATAAATTAAAACAACGATTGAGTGGCGGTATGATAACTTTTGTTATATAGTACACAGAATTTGGAGCTAACGCCGGATCGGTAATGACTTCTATTGGTGTGCGTACGCAATGGATGAGCGCCTGATTTGGTGCACCGGCAACGATGATGTAACGCACACGCTCGCTGTTGCGCGGTATTGCACGAGGATCTTTCTTGATCAATCTGCGTGTTAACTCTAACGCTGGCACGCAAGCATTTGGTTTGTACCCACGCATCCCGCGAAACTCCTTCGCAAATGTTAGATCTTGTATAGACACTTGTCGGCGAAAGATCTTGTCAAATTGTTTGGTAATATACAGTTTAACCAGGGAAATATCTTTTGTGTCAAATAAAATCTTGAGTGCTTTTTCGAGTATCTGTAACATAAGAATATTGAATGACTTAGATTATGCATAAAAAACAGAGTCTTTTTTATTGCATTCGTTGTTTTTTTTTTTTACCTTAGCAACTGCGGGACATCCGTCTCTGCGAACCGTTTCGATTCCTTTTGCCAGAAACTCAGGCTTCTCTTGATCGCGAGTTTCATACATATATCCGCAATATCGTTTTTTTGTCTAGAATAATGATGAGTTTAGCACACACAATTTGAATATCGGTTTTCTTTTTCACTTATATAATATTTCTTAATATCTTACTTGCAAAATAGACGGATAAAGAACTTTTTCAAATTTAAGCTTGACAGGAGGAGGATTCATCGCGGTAACAGCATCCGCTATTTCTTCGCCGATAATGAACGCTTCTTCTCGAGATTTTCCAGGTAAAAGAACAAATATAGAATCGGTATCTCCGTAAACTACTCGACCACCCCATTTCGATGTAGATTCCACTAGTTTAATCGCACGTTCCAAAGTTTCTCGTCCTTTACTAACTACGCTATCGCCTATCTACAAAGAAAATCATGTGGTTAAATATTACAAATGACACACAAAACAGAATACAGATATTAAAAAATTAAAGAGCTTCAAGAAACTTTAAACATAATGCGCATGCATATATGCATGTATTATGTTTATTTATTATATCCTTTTTAATTTTTATATATATCCTTTAAAAATATATACCTCAATACATGGCATTCTGCCGCTAAAATTGGCGGATGTGTAACCGTAAGTAACATTTGCAATTAATTTGAGACCTAATTGCTGTGAATGAAGAATGCGCTGCAACGTACGATTTTCCGCCGGATGTAACTTCATAGATTCCTTCACCATCAATCGTGTATTCAAAATTTCTGTTAACATACGTGGTAAAATTCCCTGACAAACTTCTTTCTTTACAAAGGCTACGCCGCAAGGCGAGAAATTCATTTTTTCTTGTAATTTTAACGCAGTATTCTTTTTTATTCTTAAAGTTGCTGCGCCAAACTCGAATGGTTCATACCTTTAAAAAAATTGAATAAGTTGTATCAAATATCCGCAACAAGAAAAGTTTAATTAAAACATTCTTCTTTTTTTTCTGTGTACTATAGGTGCGCACGTTAGATTTACTCACTGGCCTATATGTTCTATTCTTCCTAAACACGTAGAGAAGCAATAATTGTAAGCAATGATCATACTCGGATACAGACTTTGGAAATCGAGCACGATCAATGGATCTGTGTAAAATTCAGATTCGGGTTCCATGATTAACGGCAGACATTCCGGCGCTCGCATTTTCGCTCTTTGATGAATAGACGGTGAGATAGGAATGTAATTCATAGGTTTCGCCAATCTAAGCATCATAGACTCTACGCGAAACTGTGAGCCTCGTGAGAAAACTTCATAAAATTGTATACCAAAAAGCCGAGCATGCTCGCATGTGCGACCTATAATGAAGAAGTTTAGAAAAGAAGAAACGCTAACAATTGCAATTATAACTAGTTTCGAATTTTCTTTATCTCACCTATGATATCCAAATGGTTCAGAAGTTTAAGAGTACCCACAACTCTGATAACGTAATGATGTATAACTCTGCTTTTTATTATTATACTTTCGTGTTTCCACCAAGTGGATAGTGCCTTAAATGAAGGACACGGTATTCTTTCGTGCAAAACATGATGCATGACGTTCTCAAAAGTATATGTCAATAATGCTAAACATAAAATTGTGCGAATAATTTTGTGTTTTAGAGAAATAAAATAAAATTTTTTATTCTGTAAAAATATTGAAAACCGCAACTCACCTGCTTCGTGTCTCATTATTCTCCAAACATCGAGAATATTGCGACCGGGTACTTTTATCTCGCCCAAGTCATCCTTTTCAATTGTGTGAGCGTCGAACTTGGAAGGTATTTGCATATGTGGAACTTTCGAAATTTTCAGTGGGAAATTATTAATACGAAGATGAAGTGCTCTCTGAAAAACGTAGCCCCACGAAAGCGCTTCCACTTCCCAGCCGAGCAGAATATCTGGATTGTGTAGTTCGATCAATTTAACAAGATTGTCTAAGACATCCCATTCTGTCGCAACGTATAATATTGGACACATTGCACTGGCAGAATGAATTTTATTAAGTCTTGCACTTACAGGATTAGAATTTACAATTATAACACCTAAAAAATATAAATTTATATTTTGAGAGTTAATCTTTTGCTAATATGTGTGTATAAAAGTTTGTTATATACGTAGCAAAAGTAAAATCTTGATAATAACCATGTTCTATCTGTTTGTCGGTATCCGTTGAAATGTCACTGTAAACCGCATAAAATAAAGCAGCGATAGAATCGTATTGTGGATCAGGAATGAGGTCTTCCCGAGTAACGGCATGTACTTCGAGAGACAATAATGTTAAATATTGATGCTGCAAAAAATTTAATACAACATAAAATAAATTAAATTTGCTAATGCGTGTATGCTTATGTAGAATTAAAATAAACTTACTACAGTTATTGCTCTAGCTTTTTGAAGATTTTCATTTGAAATGTTGCTTCCATAGCTTTCTTTAGATAAACATTCAATTTGACCATATGAAATGCCTAACGGCTGGTGCGTTTTGTTTTCTGTATATAACAACGGATTTTCCAAAGCTTTCCGTAAGGAAGGGTTTAAACTGTTTTTAGATAATTGAGAAGTATTATTTTGTGTGAATTCGTATTGTTTTGTTTCATTAGATATTTCACTGAGCATGCTCTGGTCAAGCATTAACGAATCGGATCTTCTCATTAAATTATTAGAGGATGTTTCTGGCAAAGGTTTACGCTCTTTAGCAACGACGTTAATCGACGTACATTGTACGTTCTGTACATTCAACGGGCTTTTCTTATCCTGTTTGTGCGACTTGGTTTTGTGATTTTCTTTCGATAAATATTTTTTAGCTCTTAGCCAATTTTTTACATTGGTAGGTGATGGTGGTTCCATGAGAGGTTTTATTGTTATTAAATTGTATCCTGCGAGTGCTTTTTTGATGTGACCAGTTTTTATACTCGCTCCTGAGGGATAAAATTCGTTCACCTTCATTCTTCGCCATAATTTGATACTCGTAATCTCGTCCAAGCTAGATTTAAACGCAGGTACATCAAAATTCGGAGCGTTTTTGTTTGAAAATTCTTTCTGCTTCACAAGATCGAGTTTATTGCTAAAAAATGGCTTTTGTGATCTACATTTTGGAATGCCATACAATGACATAGTTTCTACAATTCTGTCGTAACTAGGAGGTTCGCACATTGTAGTAATTGTTATTAATCTATTTAATTGATGAATACTCCTTTCTAATAAAAAATTTTGACTATTATTCTCTATTTTTTTACTGATATGCTGGCTGAAAGTTGTATTATATGCATCTTCTTCATCCTCGTCGACATCAGTTTCGGGAATAACATCGTGAAATTTCATGGAGCGTTTCGTCGAGTTTCGTATACATGACGCATAATTTCTTTCGGGAGACAACGTGTCATTACTCTTTTCTGAACGTTGACTGCTTGGAACGCCATCATCACCTTCTTCATTGCTAAAAGAAAATATAGTTGCGTCTGCATGTATTTGGTCGATCGAACGTCCAGGTACAATTAAATTTTCAGATCGACGATCTGATTCTGCAAAAGTAGTACTTTCTACATCGTCGTTGTTCAAAAAAGACAATCTCTTACGAACCTCTTCAGGTTTTCTTCTAACTGATGAAGTTTCATTGTTTTTTGTTCTTTGTTTGTGGTCCCGTTGGATTGCTGTTATTTCACTAGCTTTTACAGTACTTGCGCTATCAGTAATCTGACTACAAAAATGATAAACATTTTTCGTTGCAATTTAAGTAATTTATACTATTCTAGTATTTCTAAATTATCTAACAAAAATGTTAAAATCTTACATAGTGTCTATTTCATCAACTAACTCTCCACTAATGTTATCGGTGTTGATATCTTCTGAAAAAAAACATTTTTACTTAAAAAGAGAAAAATTAATAAAAATTATGAAAGTATCTAATACTATTTGTGAAAATATTATGTCTAAAAATAAATCTTACTATCTAAATCGTAGTTTTGTAAAAGATTTGTTGCACGTTTATCACGAAGCAATTTTACACGTAATGTGTGTATTTTACGTTTCGGTGTAGTTGAAGTTGAAGGAGCATTGGATATCGATACATATTGTTTCGGAGATTCGCATTGTCGAATAGGACTTTTAGCAGTTTTTGGTGATGTAATTGTAATGTTAAGAGGCGAGTAACTTCCTAATGCTTGTGGACTTTTTAACTCTTTGCCTAAACTATATTGTCTCTTTGGCGTTTGAACTATATTGCTTCGTTTGTCTGGTGATTTGTAATCATCGTTTTTAAAATTGCGTTTTCTCTTTGGTGTGACTTGGATTCTATCCTGTGCTGCAGTTTTTTTACCAGATTTATATTCGCATATACGTGTTTCCTGTTTGTTCACTGTAACATCAATTTCGGATTCAGAATCGCTAGAATCAGTTGCTGTTGCTCCATCAACACTTGATACTATCAACTTCTTAAAGTTGACTAACTTGTTAGGTGAGTGATGATTACTATTTACAATTCTATTTTGAAAATATGATTTGGAATTTTGTTTACAACTATATTTATCTTTGTATTCTAGTACGTGACACTCGTCATTAATATGTTCTCGAGTGTCAATTTCGTTCAAATCGAAAACATCTAAATCTTGATGATCACATTTTTTCGTTGCATCAATAATAAAAGCTGAATATTTATTACGTATAGGAAGACGTTGACTTGTATAGGATGCTGTTATATCAGCCTTGCTGTTTGAGTATTTTATAGTTTCTCTGTCATGTTCCAAAAACTTTGTATACAAGTCATCAGCCCCATCAAATTGTGAAATGTTCGTAAGTGTAATATCATTGTCTTCTTCGATAACATTTAATTCATCTAATTCAGTATTTTGTTTATCACGCACAGCTTCGATTGTGCTGTCGTGTTGATTTGATCTCTTACACTCTGATTCCCAAGAGCTTAGATCTAGATCTAAACTTGTAATATTCAAATCCTCGACATCGTCTTCTTCTTCTTCCTCGTTTTTAGCCGGTTCGCTGAATATAGAATATTGAGACCCAAGTACACTATCATCATCTACATTACTAACGGTCTCATTTTTTTCTGCTAAGTTGGCTAACATTTCTACCAATTGCATATCATTTGCGTCCACTAAAAACAGCAATACACCACTTTATATTACTCTTTTCTTTTTATCATCATTCTAATATAAATAATATTATTTTGTACGAAAGGATACAATAATTGTACGTAATCATACTCACAACTGCTAGTATCTGTCATATTGCTTTGACTTCGAGTTACATCTAAAACCGCTGATGAAGCTATTTGAAGTAATGTGCGATTTTCAGAACATGTTCTCTCAAGAGTTTGTTCCAATGCGAAAGATTCATTATGATTTAAAATATGAGATGCATTTAAGACATCTTCATTAACTCCTGCTTCAATTGGATATGAAGATTCGATTGTATTTGAAACGACTGTTTCATTACTCTGACAATAAAGAGAAGTTTGATAAAACTTATATACACACATGCTAAGTATATATGAAAAATGAGACAGAATAAATTAATACTTGTGATATATCGTGCAGCCTTTTTAACAATTTATTCTTCTGATAAATATCATTGCTAGTTGGAAGAAGGATTTTATCAAAAGATTCAGGATATAATAATTGTGATTTTGTGTTTTCTAAACCAGCTTCCGCTCTTCTTATTTTCTCTTCATTCCAGATTGCAGCGAGACCAGGATTTAATGTCAGTTTTTCATTGATACCTTGTCTGTTTAGTATCTCCGAAGCATGTGCATCAACCTCCAATTCGCACATGCTTTGCTTAGTTACTGATATTGGTAAGAACATTTGCGAGTCTAACAAATCTATTGAAGACTTGTTTTGACTATTTTCCATCGTACACACTTGTAAAGATTGTCTGTATTTTATATTGTTTAAATTTATTAAATTCATGCCATAGAGATTGTAATCTATCATAAATTGTAGAATATAGGGAATATGTGCTTCATATGGCTGCAAAACTTGATTGAGAATAGCACCATTCTGAAAAAAAACCAATATTTTTGTTAAAATAACACGCAGAATTATGTTTGTACGCAAAAGAAAAAATAATTTACCTGCAATAGATCAGCTGTTCTTTTAATTATAGCTGAGTTATAAAAATAGATCTTAAAAAATAAGTGTTTTTTCTCATGATAACCATAAAAAGGTCTGAAATAAGTAACAAAAAGTATAAATAAAATATTGTTACATAAAACATAACAAATTAATACCGATTTATTAACGTGTAATTATTCTTACATTCCTGATACACGTTGAACTTTATACACATGTTGATTGGTAGATAATGTTGAACCAAAAGATGTATTTAATGCTGAATCAATTGATGCAGCTAACTGATAAGCATAGCTGTCCATATTCTCCTCAACTGTGCATGGCACATAAATATAAGGAAAAACACCATGAATGTGCAAACATGCTTTTTTACCTGAAAAATTATTGTATAAACTTTTTAACGATATGCTACTTCAGATTATATTTAACATACGTCAAAAGCGACAATACTCGCTATTTACCGGTAGCAGTTGATCCAAATATCCTAATTACTGGCACTTTTTTTATTTCCGAACCACGAAATTCGGAGAATGTGACATCAAGCTCAGGAATCGGAGATGCTTGATAAGTGTCAATATTCACCAAAGTGATGGAAAACATGTTTATATATAAAATTTACAATAAAAACAATGCATGTAAACTTGAAAAATAAGTGATGACGTTCATTCAAAGAATAATATACTAATATGCAAAGTACTATACAAAACGTAGAAGAGTAAGTATTCGAACTGATTTAAATGACGTAAGATCACAAAACAAATAAAGTGTAGAAAGTACATACAATCGAACACAATTCTTGAGAAGAAAAAACAGCACGCATGCGCAATTTTCTATTTCGCGATCTTTTGAATTTTATACACCTGTGACATCATAAGAGAGAAAAATCGTCAAAGTTTATCGTGAGAATAAAAAAGTATTTCTGTATAAACGCATATAGAGCATACTTGTAAAATATATCGGTTTTTTATTCAATACGAAACCATATATGTGACACGCCGCAAAAATTCTGTATTTGTTAACTTTTTGATCTTGTTGATAACTTTAAACCACGGGCAATTAAAAACAAAACATAAGGACAAAGAGATATATATATAATTACAGATTTTATTTCAATATTTAGTCACAATGTTTATGAATAGCAATGATAAGTAGAAAAAATAGCACATGAGAATTACAACCATTAAGCTTGTATTAGAATACGGATTAGGATTGTGTACTGAAATGTACAAACTCAAAGATTAAACTTGAGACTGATTGGTTTTGTCCCGAAAGATTAAATTTGAGTACAATCTCAGTCCGTAGTCTGATATTAGCGAACAACCTAAACAATTGATTACTTTGCGCAATATAAAACTCGAATAATAAATAACGTCATTGTTCAGCTTGGCATCCTTCCAAACTCAAAGCTCGCGCTAGATTACGTGCTACACCTATTCGGAAGATGGAAACTTTGTCTTTTTGAAATTTTGGATCGTCACCGTGAGCTTCTGCACAGCGAAGCAGCTCGTAACAATCATTGGAAGAGAAGATCACGTCCTCTGCTTCCAATAAAGGTATGGCGTCCGTGAGCAAAATTGACCAGAAACTGAAAACAAAAAATTAATGTTGCAACTTATACATACACATACATATATAGCAATTTTTAAATGAATGAGACATTAACTTACTATTTTGGCGTTAAATTTGATACTAAAAGAGACACTAATAAATTCGCTGCTTCTCGGAACTCACCCATTCCATAAAGTTTATGAAACTCGCAATATTTGCCTAAGTAAAGTAAAATTTTAATAAAAATTCATTGTAACTCCCAGTTTTTTCATTATATATTGCAATTTTTTACCCAAAAATGTAAGTCTATCACTGGCCAGCATACAGGAACCCAGGTTCTCCAACAAATCGCGACACTCTAATTCCCCGTGCTCTGCATAATGTTTCAGGAATTGATCGGCGATGTATGTGATAAAATTGCTGTCGTGTGCCCTAAGTGCCCATGTGAGAGCGTTACCTAGTCTTCCTTGTTTTATACTCTTCATTCCTTGAATCTTGCATATACTAGAAACTAAGATATTTTTAAGTTATCTTGATGATATCTAAACACAAAAAAAAGATTAAAACTGAATTTTACCAACGTGCGGCATGCTATTTTCCTGCGCAACATCGATGATTTTGTTAATTCTCGCTTCCGTGCCTGTGGGCAGCAATTGCAACAAAATTTCTAATCTGGCCAAACCTTGCGTGGAACAATGCACCAAATAACTCCCACCACACTGCCACAATGAGCGATGACTCATTAATGTAGTACCGTACTCCAATATGAGTGATTCGTGAAGCTGTGCAGTCACACTGTAATAAAATTACAAACACTTTTATTTTCTCTTCATTAATAATTTATCAATTATTTAATTCATTCACTTCACTCACTTGGTCCTTTCTTTGTTCAAAATATTTAATTTTCCACATTTGTACAACAGATCGATCAAATGAGCTGCGAACCAGCCATTGTCGCTTATATATTGTATCTCTTTGATGACTTGATACAAATCGTTTTCCATTAAAGCGAGAATCACGCGATCCAGATGTTTATTAGCTTGTGATCTTTCCGCAACATCGTTAGCATAGCGTGAAAGTTCTTGCTGCTTGCAACAAGGAGCTGAATAAAGCAATTTTGCTGCTAATAATTCATACCATGCTTCCGTATACATGGAATATTCCCACAATATTGACTCATCTCCTGCTATTAACTATTGAAACAAAATATTGGCACACTTTACACACAAAAAACGGATTGATTAATATTGTTTTACTGACCTTCATAAGCATCTCTAAATTATTATCTATAACAAAATAATTAGCCTCTAGATTTGAACAAAGATCCATCTGCCAGTGTTTCCATCGCATAATAAATTCGTTTACAGAATATCCGCCATATACATTATAAACTGGCATCGTTCTAATAATATTATCCGCAGTGACAAATGCTGAATGGTCAGCTTTGCTGTGCAATGCTAACAGGCGACAAACTAAATTTAATTTTCCATGAAATGCACAACCTATAACTGCTTCCCAATAATTCGAATTTTCTAAATCAGCGCCAATAGATTTCTGTGCTAAGATTTTTGTTGCCGTTAGTTCTCTTGAAGGAAAGTGAAAACTAATCCATTCAAGTAACTGAGATAAGACAACATCACCTGTAAATCAAATTTTTAATACATTTGAAACTAATAATTTTTCTTGAAAAAAACACTCTAATTATATAAATTTTGTAAAAAAATATTATGTAAACATATATTTTAACTCTTACCTGGTATAGCATCAACATAAAGTATTTCTGTCAAGTGCCAGACACATTCAACCTGATAAAATATTGTGAGAAAATTTTCTATCATTGTTTTTTCTTCTGAGAATGTCTCTTTTGGTAATATCTCTTGTAAATTTTCAACACAAGCTCTCAATATAGATCTGTACTGTTTACTGTGTTTAAGAAGTTCTGGCCTAATGTCACCAGTAACAGAGGATTTCAGCTTTTGAACTGAGAGAAAAATACCATTACTCTCATTGACCAATTTACGTAAAAGTGGTGAAAACAATATAATTTCTGGTCGGAGAAAGTGTACTTTATCATCACAGGGTGCAAACTGACTCGGACCATCTGAAACAAATTATACCAACAGGATACTATATACAATTGTTTGTAAATATAAAAGAACTTATATATATATATATCTTTATATCTATAGTAACCTCGTGACTGTCTATCCACATGTTTGTATGCATGTATTCCAAATCTGTTGCTATTGATCCAAGTTATAGTGATGCCTGCTCTTCTACAAACATCATCTGCAATAACCTACCAAACAATAGTGTAAACCAATTTATTGTTTGAATTATACAAAAAATAATATACTTCCTTTCTGTCTATTTAAATTACATAATAACGTACATATGAGATAGTTTATAATACAAAAGTAGTATACAATTGAAAATTTAAAATTTGCGTATAGGTTAAATTCATTTAAATAAGCTCTCAGTGTAAAAAAATATAAGTTTTTAAATAAATTACTCTAAAATACTCTAAATTACTTTATAAATAATTATTTATCTACTTTTATATAAATTTTAACAAAAGTTTTATCTTAAACATAGTTCAGCAAATAAAATCTTATACATAGTTTAGCAAATAAAAAACCTCAACTAACAATTATTTGAGCAGTATCGACTTCATCCATGATTAGTTACGATACTTATGACACTAGTACTTTATTATTGTAAATAATATTTTGTATATTTGTGTATATGTAAATATGCAGTAACACTCAAGAGAACTTTAGAGCTCGCGTTGCCGGTACGTGCCGTGACCTACCATGCTACTATAGACTGTGTTCCGATATTCACTGCCAGTACTAGAAATCTATACTTCAAGTCACATGTGCTATAGATTTCCAGTACTGGCAGTGAATATTGGAGCGCAACTATAATTATTTGAAATTAACAGCGCCTTCGTCGTCAGCAAATTGAAACATGAATATATACACGTGCAAAATTTGCACTGCAAATAGAAAAAAGATTGACGACTTTCTCACCACGTTTCAAAACGGTAACTATCTTCTTACGTGTCAATAGATACACGATAAAATATGTTCAATTTGTTATTAAAAAAAACTCGGAACGTTTTCGTTTTATTAAAAATCCACTATCGCAGCGATGCGTCCGACCGCGAATGACATTAGTGCCGAAATTATAAGTGTTATTTTTTCAACTTTGTCTTTCAAAATACACATATTTGCAAAAAATCAAAACAAGTTGATTGCATGAAATAATGGTTAAGTTATAAAACTCGTTAATTAAAAATCGTAAAATTATATATTAAGAATAAACTTCATGTACCAATTACACAAAAGCAAAGTTTTAATTGCAATGAGGACAGAAATAAGGTATTCTTTTTTTTACTTGTTTATATAAACGTTTATTTTGATATTTTTTATGTACACATATTTTTGCATAGAATATATTAAAAGTGTATTAAAACAGAGTACAAAAATATATTCTATATTGTTTTCTTAGCTCGGAACTTTGTAATATATTGATTGGATAAATATCTTTAATATGTCATATAAAAATAGCACCACAATGAATGTATCTTGTTTAATGATGAAACAATCGGAAATTGGTGTGAACCAATACTATATCATGTTCATGGCAGGCCGCAATTATTGATGCATCATTTGTAGAACCGGAAGGACTTGCAATATATTTGACACCACTCTGTATTGAGAAAAAAAAAGTGTTATATGTATTATAATATAACAATTTCATTAAGTGATGTTGATCAAATCTAAAAAAGTCATTTTTTAAAAGTTATTTTAATAGGCAAGATAAAAATATTTTATACACATACGAGTCTAGCTCTATCGACGTTATCTCTAAACGGGAAGAAAGCATCGCTGCTCAGAGCAACGCCATTTAATTCTTTGAACCATTTAGTTTTCTCGTTTTCTGATAACTTTTCAGGAATTTCTTCGTACATTTCAGCCCACAAACTTTCGTCCATATCTTTTCCTATTGAACCATTGACATAATTATCAATAGCATTAGAGATCATTGATCTTTTAATATCTTTCTTAAATTTCATTCCTGTCACTTTTGGATGTTGACGAAGCCACCTATAAAATTTGAATAACATATAATGCACTTTATATCAAAATATGACCATTTCTTGTATATTTATTTTTATATAAAAACTATAACGAACCAGTTATCAGCCTTATCTCCAGCAAGTCTGGTGCAATGAATTCTGGACTGCTGTCCAGCACCAATGCCAATCACTTGTCCATCTCTAGCGTAACACACAGAATTGCTCTGCGTATATTTAACAGCAATAGTGGCTACAATCAAATCGCGAATAGCATTTGTTGGCAAAGATTTTACTTTCTTTGTTACAATGTTATTAAATGTCGACTTGTTAATAACAGCGTCGTTACGTTTCTGCTCCATGACCAAACCATACAAGGTCTTACGCTCTATATCAGATGGTTCGTAAAACGGATCAATTTGAAGTATGCAGTAACTACCATTTTTTTTCTTTTTCAGAATTTCAAGTGCTGCTCTCGAATATCCAGGCGCAATAATACCGTCTGAAACTTCTCTGAAATCAAGAAAAAAGAAAAAATATTAATATAAAAAGCCTTTTTTCTATTAGTACTATAAAAATTATATTAATATCAAAAATTGTTACATCACATTGTGTACCTCGAAAGTATCTTCGCCGTTATGGCATCGCATTCACCGGACAATGCGACAAAGTCGCCGAAGCTGGACATTCGATCGGCGCCTCGGGCACGAGCGTAAGCGGTCGCTAAAGGTGTAAGCTCATTATAAAGATCGTCTACTTGACACAACTTTGCTTGTGTAATATCCAATGGAACGCCAACCGCAGCACCAGCAGGACTGACATGCTTGAAAGAAGTAGCTGCTGGTAAATTTAGCGCAGATTTTAATTCCTTTACCAGCTGGTAACCGTTCAGAGCATCACACAGATTGATGAAACCTGGTGATCCATTCAGAACGGTTAACGGTAGCTTTTCCAAGGTAGTAAATATCTGCGCCGGTTTTTGATGAGGATTCATCCCGTAACGAAGAGAAAGCTGAGAGACTCCAGCGCTGTATTGGTTGCGGAAATAATTCGAAATAGCATCATCATATTGAGCCGTGTGCGTGAATGCCTTCAGAGCCAATGTTTGTCTGAAAAATAATAAAAATATCGAGAATTAGTTTCATAAGGTTTACAAAAATGTTTCACACAGCTTTTCTGTAACACAATATTTATTTGTTTGTTCTTTTTTCTTTATTGTGGTTCTTTGTTGGAGAGTGACCAAAGTTATGTCACGTTACACTCACCTAGTCTGCAAAGTGGTATCTTTATTACCAGTATTTTCCATTTCTTCGATGATCTTTATGTAATCAGTCGGATCACAAATAACCGTAACTCTAACGTGATTCTTGGCGGCGGCACGTAATAATGTCACACCGCCGATATCAATGTTTTCTATTGCATCTTCGACTGTCACGTTGGGTTCCGAGATGGTGCGTACAAACGGATACAAATTGCAAACCACTACCTGAATAAGATTATAATTCTGCTTTTGAAGATCTTGAGTGTCCGAATCGGTTAGTCTTGCGAGAATTCCTATTTATTATAACAAGAAGAATAATAAAGATGTTGCAAGTAATACTTTCTGATAAATACAGATAACTCGTGCATCATAAGTATACCTGCATGAACAGCAGGATGAAGTGTCTTGACACGTCCACCGAGCATTTCAGGAGCATCCGTAATTTCAGAAACATCTAGCACAGGTAAATTAAACTCTCTCAGTACTTTGGCAGTCCCTCCAGAAGCAACCAGTGTTAACCCAAAGTCATTTAGTTTTTTTGCCAGTAATAACAAATTGGTCTTATCAGACACACTTATAAGAGCTAAAAATTTAACAAAAAAATACAAAATATCAGAAAAGATAAACAAAAAAGCAATATAGAACAGTGAAAAATGCATTTTTGTATATTTGTTGGAAATACAAAAATTTTTTAAATAAAATATAAAATTATTATTACACGCTATTATTACATACACACACACATACATGCACACGTGCTCTGTAATACATGCAACAGGTAATGCAACCATTTCACGCATCTAACTATATAAAAGGTTAATTTTATCGTATAAAACCAATATAAAAATCATTATATTTTGTTTCAATCCAGTGTTTCAATTATACACTTTTTAAATTACAATGGTCGATCATACTGGTAGAATATCGTGCGACGACTTCTAAGTTGCGTGTATCGTATTCTTCGTACGAAATTTCGCAAAATATGTTGTAGGGGGTTACATTGTCCTTCTTTAATTTAAATTCTATAAACTCGACGAAAAATATATAACTCACCTAACTTTTTAGCTGACATTTTCAGAAATTAAATCCAAAATAAAATACTAAGTTGCGAACAGGTTTCTCGTTTATTTGAACACACTCGATTCGTACAGGCAATAAGAGCTCGCTTTGTAAGAACCGGTATTTTAATGTCGGACGATTACTATACATGTACACTACTAGGCTGCGGTCCGTTTCATGCTTAATCGCGCATTTATCTGTAGTATATGTTACGTATACTATAGATAAATGTGCGCTTAAGCATGAAACGGACCGCAGCCCTACATGTCTACACAACAGATAGACCGCGTAAACATAAATGATAAGGATCGTATTGACGTCAAAAACATCTCGCAACAAGAATGCTAGAAGAACTTTGGTCAAATGTCATAATTTAGATAGTATATGTTATACATATTTTAAACTTGCTAGCGTGAAAAAAACCTTTTAACTAATCTTAAAATATTTTAACATAGCAATTTGTTAGTTATTTTTGTTACACAAATTGATTAATTTTGTCCAATTTTAATTTGAAAATTAAAATTTCACATTCCTTAATTTATAGTAGAATAAATGTAAGATAAACACGTATAAATTTATTCTACATAAATTTATAATGTATTCATCGCTTTATCATGTTTCCAGTATCGATATAAAATATTTTTTGAACTTGAAAATATAGATAACAGAAAAATATATATTCAACTTTTTTGTATGTTTGTTGAGATTTAATAGACTTCTCATTTCTCTTTCCAAAACTTGAGACAATGCTTTAATCTTATCTGTAAAAACTGACTTTTTTAAAGTAATCTTATAGATTTGATAATGACATATGTATCTATTTGCTAGGCACAAGAAAGGTTGAAACAGATTCTATAGAGAAAACGATATTATATTTTCTTTTTGTCGTTTTTTTAGTTTCTGCTGTACTTATATACAAGTATTTGATAAATCTAGCGTGATGTTAAACACTTTGACTTTACTGTATATAGTTGAAATCGAGTGATTATGTCGAAGTGGGGAGATTCGTTGAGAGTTATTAGATACATAATATAGATCTGACATATGGAAGAATGGAAGCCAAGCAGCATACTCAACTGTGATAATCTGATAACATGGCTGACCCGACATTACAGACATTTTGTTGTCATCATACAAATCACAGTGACAGGGCGATAACAATAATGCAAGAGTTTAATACAGATGCATATAATACGGTGTGTATGATTTCGTCAGCTATGGGGATGCTCGGTGCAATTTATCAGGTATGTAATTGCCTGAAGAAACTCTAGTACAAACTACTCTTCACACTGGTTTTTGTCACTCTTTTTTTTTGTTAAACTTGCAATTTTATTGCTATATTTAGACCAAGAATGAAATCTGATTTTCCCTTTTTACAACGTTAGAAATATAGATTGAAATTTTAAAAAATCTTGATTTGTAGTTAGAATTTTTATTTAAATACTGTGATATATATTTGTTTTAGCACTTTCGTGCACTTTCTGCACTTAGTTTTTGTCTCTTTCCATTTCAACGTGTATATACACACAATTTATGTATTATTATTATATAAATATGTATGTATATAATGTAATAAATATATATAATACGTATTATATACATTCTTTCCAGAGAAATGGATTTATAATTAAATTTATAAAAAATGTGGAATTGATGTAATAGTAGTAACCAGTATCTTTTCTTATTAAAAGTGTAGAAAAAGAAGTAGTTTGCAAGGCTCTTTAAAATTAAAAATAATTTTTTTTACAGATACTACCTCGAGCAGATGCGAATATTTCTCATAGTTGGAGGAGTTTTCCTAGAGGACGTGATATCATTGTATGGCTCGCTGTTGCCGATCTTTTAGCGTCCTTAGGTCTAGTTTGTTATCACAATCTGATTCTGTCAATAAGTTTTAGTAATACATAAAACATCTACAAAGTCGTTAACACTTTATTCGAATATTGTTCTAGTTAATTTTGCTTACTAAATAAATAAGAATATGATAAAGAAAATGGAATAAATTCGTTACTCCATTTTCTGACTGTTGCATACTCAATCAGGTGTATTTGTGAGATCTGCATTATGGAAAAATTTCAAATCTATCATACCAATGGAGGGTGATATATTGAGTGTTATATTCTGTGCTGTATCATCGGTACCATTCTTATTTGTTTACCACTTGCATTTTGTTTTACAAGTGTGTAGACGGCAACATTGAATAATGATCGTTCGCAGGCGTGGACTCAATACTTTTACATGGTTACGTGGATATGGACTCTGTGCTACGCCGTGGATATGAAATTATTATTAGGTGATAAAAACGGACATCCAAGGTATTATCATACCTTAGCCTGGGTTCTTCCAGCCGTTCTTACCTCACTCGGACTGATTATCTTATATATCCCAAATGCAAAGTCAGATTTCACAAATAATACAATTATTCTTATATATATAAATTTTTAAGAGATCAATAATATTTTATTATAGTTGTCACAGCTTAACGTCGTTATCCAGTGCCATAGTGCGTATTCTTCCAAACTATTGCATCACGTATGTAGTACTGGCAGTAGTGATGATCGCAAATCCCATTCTATATGTCGCGTCTACTCGAGATCTTCAAACAGCAGTGCTGCACAGCATGGCTCAAGTAACCGGAAGAGAACGAAGATTGATACAGACGATTAGATTGAAATTTGCTCTTATCAATGTAGTTTACTACGTGTGTTGGATGCCCAATTTGATTAATGGAATATTACTGTGGACTTTGTGGTTTGAATTACCCATTAAGTCGATTATCACTTTATGGTATATAATGGTAAGTTTGTGCAATTTTCGTTTAAGGTGTGTGCGTATGTTGTAACCAAGAATTTTTTGAACAGGCTGTAACCAATCCTCTTCAAGCATTTTTCAATGCGATTGTTTATCAGTCGTGGACTAGACGGGAGAAAATACGTCTCAAATGTTGCCAAGATATCACGACAAATACTAGCACAAAATTAAATGCAATCAATAAAAGAGGCATGCAATCTTCCGAATCATCTCCTTTACTGAATCCACAAATAAAATATGGAAAGAAAATACCACATATTAGTATAAACGGATCTTCGTCTTTATAAAAACTAACTTTACTGTCAATATGAGAAAGATAAATATAATATGTATTGTGCGCATATACTATAGCGTATAAAGTTATAATTCATAAAGTTATTAATACATCTACATATCTGTTACAACTGTATTTGCGCGTTTTTCTTGCGCACACAATTTGTTCTGTAAAAGTCTCGACAAGAATATAAAAGAGTATTAATATTTTTTGAAATATCTTTTTTATGAAAAAAAATTTTAAACATATAGTTTGATAAACTATATAAATAACATAAAATGTTATACATTGTTTACAAAAATGATAATTTATGTTATATAAAGAACATATATAAATGAAAAATAATATAAAAAGATTTTTAGAGAAAACAATACAGCAGAGTGATTAATTTTATAAGTTACAAAGTATAGTAGATCTGCGCTATAGACTGTTTAATTTAGAAAAAAAACAAAACAAAAAAAATAGAATGCCAGTAATATTAATTTTTCTGTATTATATCTATGTAATGATGTTTTATATATATTTGTATATAGATAAATAGGTAAAAAAAGACAATAAAATATAGAAGGAAAGCGTATATATATGTATATATGATACAAGTTTCATTATTAATAATATTTTGTACTTAAGTATTACGTGTTATATGCTAAATAATGTTAAAATATAATTTTTTTTCTATATCATAATATCACGATCAACAGCGGTCACATGCATTATTGTATATGTACAAAGACATACATTGTTTTCCTATTCTACAATACTAAAACAATATCGTTTATATAAATCTCAGCAATGAAAAAAGTACAAAATCTTACGAATTTATTAATATCTACATTAGTTATCGTCAGAAGTGAGAAAAAAATCAACACAATTAACATCAACAATTTATCCTTTCATAGATTAAAAAAAATATGAAACTAAAATTATTGATAAAAATAACGAAGAATACAAAAAATGAAGAATTTGTATAAAATTATTCATTTATTTAATCGACTAAAAATTCTCACATAAAGTCATCTATACAAGTACAAACATCTGTGAATGTTCTTTATTGTTGAGGATGACTAATGAAAAAATTGTGTACTTGATTAAATATTTTCCGTTTGAATATTTTTACCGACCATTGTGTCATAAATTAATAACGAATAAGAAGATCTTAATAGTTACAAAAACTATTAGAAATTATGCTGCTTGTAAGATTGTTACAAAGTGTAAGAAGATATTAAAATATATGTCAGTTTTGAATAAAGTTATTTACAATGATTACAAATTCAAACAAAATCTTCATGTATATCATCCGACATACACGGTAATAATCTTAAAATATAAAAGTATAAAAACAAAGATATAAGGATACATTTTCCTTTTCAATAATTCTCTGCACTTTTAAAATATGTCATACATGTTTGTGTTTTACGAGCTTAAGTGAAATTTTTCATTTATATTGATTATTCAATGTTTGGCACTTTGGCAAAGTTTGCAATATTGTTGTGCTTACGTTCGAAACAAAAGAACAGAATTACTTACACACATGTACAATGTAAGAAGAATTTTCTTAAGAATTTAAGCTTAACAATTGTCATGTCATATTTGCACCATCAAGAAAGATGATTTGAAGTTCCGAGAGTTAAAGATGTAATTTCACGTATAATCATCTCAGCGATTCTCCACGCTAATTCCTCTTTAGCCTATTATAATAAGTTAAGAGAAAAGAAGTATAATTAAATTGTATGTAAACAAATACATATACTAATAAGTGTATATTTTACATGTATATATATATAAATTTCTTTCAACAAATTGTTATTGTTTATAAGATATTAAATAAAATATTTACCTTATCTTGTTCTATATTTACAAATCGTTTTACAACACGGGTTAGACGAGATTCTGAAATTTGTGATACATGATTTTACCACATCTCAATCTCACATATATTACCAACACAAAGTAATTGAAAAAATATTATGTACAACTTACCGTATTTTCTATGAGGATCGGGTTCTATTTCAGTAATAAATCTACCTAAGTTGTCAATGTAACCAATGCTTAAGCTATAAAATACATTGAATTATTTCATAATTTACAACTTAGTTGATTATGTTGTGCACTAGTGTTGAATGAAATTGTTAATTGCGAAATACCTATATTTATTACGTCGCCACAAGGAATCTGGATCGTAAAGTTGTCTGGTATCGATATTCAAGTTACTGTTAATGTTCTTTTTATTATCAGGTAATCTGCCGTCATTAATTCCTATTATAGAAGTATTTGGCATGCTAGTGCACACAGAGCTTACTTCACTGCTGCAATCTGAACCTGCGGATAATTTTGCAAAATAATTGTGATTGTAATTCTCCTACAAAAAATTAATTATTTCTCATCTATATTATTTATATATTAAGAAAATATTATTACATATTAAAAGAAATAATATCTTCTTGTGTTTAATACTATTTCGCAAGTGTGTTATTTGAGTCAACTCTATACACCAACCTGTCCTCCTTATCTTAGAATGTAAACTTGGACATGGACTGCTCTGAATCGTGCTGATTAGCTCTGATAAGTATTTATAATACAGTTGTGATGATAAGAACGCCGGGAGATAATGCTAAAAGAGAAATTAACGCAGTTATCGATTTTAATTACTTCCAGCTATAAGAATCTTTATAGTGAGTGTGTTATATAAATTTTAATTTATGAATCTGTGCAAAACTGAGTGCAGTACCTTATTGAGAAAGTTATATACAATTTTACTGGGTTTATCGAAGCAATCAGGTTGCGGACCTCTTTCATCTTCACGACATATATTTTGTTCTACATGAAAACGAATTTTATCGCTAAATCCGAGAGGCATGGTTGCTTGCAAACTGAAATATCTAAACAAATAAACAAAAAAACATTTGCATCAGCTATTTACGTTTCCAATTGTTATGGAGATGTCATCTATATATTTTCAAAATTACTTCTCGTAAATAATAACAGCATCAGACTGCGCCTCTTCGGGATCGACTGCACCTTTCTTCTCTAAAAGATTCTGTTTATAACTTATAGCCGACATCCAAAAGTCCAACAGTTCTCGTTTATTCTCGAGTTCCATAAACTATAATATGAAGAATGATGAAATCCTCTAATCGACATTTTCATTGCAGAAATAACAATCGGAAGCAAAATGCAAACCTCCATGAAGTAAAAGAATGCTGTCTCATTATACAATATATCTACTAACTGTACATTGCCACTGGTGAGCACATCAATCTGATGTTTACAATGAAATTCACTTCGTAAAAAATCATTGATATATCTGCAAGATGGAAGTTTTTAAGTGTTTGAGTTTTTATGATACTCAAGTAATGTGTATTATTAGTGAACATTTATCTCACTCACTCATTCTCTAATATATCGTATACTAGGCTTTGAACAGTAGATAGGCACCGTAATATAGGCTCAATGTTTTCTTGCACCATAACCTCCTCCATTTCTGATCGTAATTCTTCAGATATTTGATTTGTACCAAGAATTCCTTTGAGAATGTATTTCTTGTAAATTCTCAAAGCATCTTGCTTAGTCGTTGTCATGTCGTGTCTCTTATTTCCACAATCGTAGTTTGATTGTCGTGTTTTATTTATCTCTTTACTAGTCTTTGGCATATCATTTAACACAGATGTTGTGTCGTTGCTATTATCCACATTTTCATTGAACGATATTTCTTTGCTCACTTGTATATTTACATTGTTAGCTTTGCAGCTAAAATTCTCATTATCTTCTAAGGAAGTAGGCATAGCATCTAATAGTTCCTTTTGATTAGTACATTCAGATTTCTCAGAATCCTTATTTGTAATACCAGATGCACTGCACAGGCATTCCACCTCTAACCAGAATTTTATGAGAGCTATACTTTTCCTGGTGTCCATAAACTGAATGAAATAACCGAGAGCACTCTTGTCTGTGAGTACTTCTCGTAGAGTTTTGGATAACCGAGAGCTGAAGGCATATGCTTCTTCAGCATCATTGTTGAGAATTTTTTCCTCTTCTTCTTCCTCGAGATTGCACAATATACCTGAAGGTGTTTGAATTTGCAACGCGTTACCATTGAATGCATCTGTTAGAAAGTTTCCCAAATTCGTTGATTTTATGGGTGAAGCTTCTAATCCGGACTTATCCTTTTGTCCTACAAACAAACACGGTTCAAACAAACCGAAAATATTTCAATGTGAAATAAAGTCATACGAAATATAGAAAGATAGACGAACTACAAAGAAGTTGAAAAAGAAGAAAACACTTATTTCACGTCATTAAATGTTAAAGGATCTCTCGAAAAGGTTATACAGGTTTCGATGGAAAAGCGACTTTTCTAGTCGTAAAAACATTGATGGTTAATGAGATACAAGGAGATAATTGGCAATTACCAATCTTCTTAAAAAATTGGAGCATCGTTCGTGTTTGCGCGTAACATGATAAGATTCGCCGATGATGCAACGGTCATCGAAAAATATAAACAGCGTAGCTACAAGCGCATTCTATACGGAAGATGAATGGAACACATCGGTTTCTGCGATATGTCAGAGTGTGTCGCGTGCACGAGACAAATTTGGCTGACAAGCCGAATTTCGCTGATCTTCTCGACGATGACAATCCACACCCCTGTTACGCTGAAACGCGACGGTGCGCGACATTTCGCAGTGGCGTCATTACGGACGTAAGTGACAGATTACTGTTGTTTATATCGCCGTGTGATTACAACAGATCGCGAAAGGTGCAGGTGCAGCAAGTCCGAAAAAAAATTACGAGCGTTTTACCACGACGTTACTCGAGAGAGCGCTTTGATACTCGCAAAACTCTCGAGGTCTACTATTTGAAACTATCTTCACACAGAACGCGTCTCATACACTTTTTTACACTTAATAATAATGAAACGATGCAAATATAGTGCACGCTGATGAAAGAAAGAAGAAAAACCGATGGAGTGTAGAAAGTACACGCGCATGTAGCCAACGAAACAGTTTTAACACTAATATGAATGTGCGTGATTTTCGTTTAAGAATACTCAACGTCGTACATTACATGTATGCAACTCGATTTTTTTCTCTTCAAGTTTCTTCTTTTCTATACGTAACGCCAAAACATATCATAAATTTTATATAATTAATTATTGAAATTATCTGCCATGTCTATTCGAGTTTTCGTGTTGTCCATTTGGTTCTCATTTGGTAATTTTTCAACTAATCTTGAAGGTTTTAAATTAAATATTTTATCTTTTAGATGCGAAGAATAGCAGAATAAAAATAAAAATTGTAAAATTTTTTAAATATTACATCTTTTATTTAGCAGGGTATTTTACAGTTACATACGATTTATGATATGTACACACGTATATATTATTGCAGTTATAACTATTCTTATTTTCTCTGCGATTATTTTTCCACTTGATATTGTGTTAGCGCACACGTGCGCAAGTGAAGTTACACGAAAAGATTGATGATTAAGTTGAAATCTCAAAAGATTTCTCTTATCAATGCCGGATCTTTTAACGAACTAAGATTATAATCAGTAGCAGTTACAAAAGGATCATGTTTTGTTACGCTTATCTTCATTAAATTCAATGGAAAGTTCATAATCATCACATGTTCAAACACACATATTCTTCGAAACATTCGTACATTTAACACTACATATGAAAGTACAAATATACAGATCTTTCGAAACTTTTTTTCTACCAAGAAGAAATTATAATCTTTATTCCAATATTTTTGTATACAAATGATCGAACTTAACATGTTTTTTTGTGTGATTTACAGTTTACAATTTACATGATGCAGATTTACAAGACAGAGTCAATTTCTAAACGTGTGTTAACCGAACAATGTTAACGATGCCTATTTGAATGATGACGTGATCGGTAGGCATGCGAAAATTCTTGATGACTGAAGCAAGCAAGTAAATGTATCATTGATTTCTTTCTCTCTCTCTCTTATTGCGTATATACATATAAAGTATATATATATATATATATATATTTGTGTGTGTGTGTGTGTACATCTACGAGACGTGCGTCTTGAAAGCTGATTGTCAAGGTAGAACGCGTAGAATGCGAGAGGGCAACGGCCGGGCATCGTACTCTTGGCGGAGCCCAATCGTGAAGCGATGCGAAGCGACGGGAAAGCACTTTAAGAGGTGACGGAGAAGCTGTCTCCATACTGTGCGTATACCGGTTTGTCCACGTGAATGTGGACAAACTTATGTCCGTCTATACGGACTATAAACCGGCCCGTTCGGAAGGCCGATGTAAGTTCCCATGTGTCGGATCCCCGCCGTAAGCAAGCGCCGGTCTTAACGGGTCCGTAGCTTCCGTCGTTGTGCATTTTTCAATTGCCCCGCGTGAGGATCGATCGCGAGAAATCACGACGATGATGACAATCGTCATGCTCGCTCTACTCGTTATCGTAGTTAGTTATTACATCGTCGCGGCGACGCCCGTGCAGACCAAGGTTTACGATCAACGGCAGACAGGTGATCTGAACGTCCAGGTAGATCTGAAGGACGTGCACGTTGTCGCGCTGATCAACTCCGAGCTCTTGGAGGATTACATGGTAAAACAGATTCTTCTGAATCGTATTCTGTTTTTATTTATTTATTCGTTTTTTTGTAAAAAAATGTTTGTGCCTAGTTTTTCACACAATTCTTTATTATTTCTTTTATATAACTTTATAATTTGTGTTTTTTGTTTATAAAGTATTGAAAATTAAAAAATATATATGTTGAAATTCTTTATGTTACGATCAACGTCTCATTGTCTTTTGCAGGATTACGATTACTTCTACGACTACGCCGACTTTACCATCAAACCATCGAATAACGACAAACCCGGCGCGAATTTCACAACCACCGAAAAAAATGATATTACGGAAATTTCCGAGCTTTTTTCGTTTTCGAAAAATTCAACCGTTTCAATATCTCCGGATACCACAAATTCGACCGAGCGATTTATAGCGGACGCTGCGAGCTCGACATCAAACGCAAATAATAATAATAATAAAGATTGGTTGAGTGAAGAGAATAACAATCAGTCTTCAGCAGTAGTTGTCGTTTCCTCGAACATGGCAAAACCCACACAAGTGCGATCGCAAAAGCGTTGTAAATCTGGATACATCCCTACCGGCAACGGACAGTGTCGACGAGCGAGTCGACCATTGTCGTGGTTGTTACCGTGAGTACTACCGCAACACTTAAGTTTTTTCGATTGATCAATCTTCCTCAATAAATCACATCTTGTCGTTTGATAAGCTAATAAGTTAGATGGCGCGAATTTAGCAATGTAATAAGTATATCCTTCATTAGAACAGTGCCATATCTCAAGTTGACGCCACATTTACTTTTCATGCGTAATAAAGTAAATTCCATATTTATTCACGATACATACTTTTGAAACGCGGTAATTCTTTCCTACGTAAACTTCCTTTTATCATTGCAATTAAAATTAATTTCGACATTGGCTCGAGCATCGAAATCCGAAGATGTGACGAAAGAACTTCCGTTCTCAAAATGCAACACGTATAGTCTGATAACTGTAATTACAATTATGGGAGAAAAATAAAGTCTAATATTTGTATTTGGTTGCAAAATGTTGCAATTTTTCTTTTAATAGTATGATCATCGTTTAAGTTATTGTTCATCTGAATTCTTAATTGTAAATCAACTTTTTTGGGACTTTACCTGTCGAAACTCGCGGTGTTTCCGCCGTTGGTAAAAGAATTAAAGTACAAGAGAGACCATAGAGTCTTGATCCCACGCCAATCCATGCGTGATGTCCCATAACGCAAACGAGATGGATCCCCCTTTCATACAGATTCCGCGTACCGGTTCGCGCGACGGGCACAAGTGTGGCAAACTCGCTACTCGCACGGTCGTCGCAGTTGTGAAAAGGACCTCGCTCGTTCCGCTCGCGTTACGTCGACGAGCGTCAATACACCGTCGCATCACGCGCACATCAACTATCACAATACACCAAAAGGATGACGATGGTTCGGATGTTGCTCTTCTTCGGTTTGGTGATGATTTGGATGTTCGTCGAAGTCACCGCTGCTCCAACGAGGTACGATCAGCGCCAGGAAGGCAACTCCAACGTACACGCTAAGCTGGAGAACTTCCTCTTCGTCATTGCCATTCCTAGCAACAACGAATTTTTCTCCGACCTGGCGCTTCAGGCTCTCGAACTCAAACAACACTTGAATTCGCGATCGAGTTCATCGAAAGAGCAAGAACTGATTATATCCGGTGTGGAACGTCTCGATCCTTCATCCGAGCTAGTCTCGACAAGCGAAGAGAATGAGAGTTCGATGCAAAAAGCGGAAGGAGAAAACATTCCGCTCAGCAACAAGCAGACCGAGAAATCAGAGAGCGCCGAGAGAATCCCAAAGAACACAAAAGGTTTCGAATTCCCGAAGAGTCGTCAAGTGCCATCTATTTTAGGATACTTGATGGATGCGAGAAACACTATCAGATCTAAAACGGAAAATAGCGGCCGGTTCCGGAACGTGCTCGGAAATGTTTGGGATCCCGAGCTAACAACGTCGGGAACGTTATTGAAAGAACAGCTGCTGCAGAAGGAGGAAGATGATGTCGCGCTGCCTTCGACGGACGCTGATAAGAACGATGTGGCTTCGTTCTCCGAGAAAAAGCGACAGGAGCTGACGTTATTGGGCGACGGTATCGAGAACTGCGGCCCAGGAAGACATCGAGACGCATCCGGCATTTGTCAGTCCGACGAATCAGCTGATTCACCGCTTTAACTCTGACTTCCTATGATTGTAGTTCTTCAATTTCACGATATATAGAGTTGTTGTCGAAATGAGATTGTTTCTTATACTGCGCATATTTTTATACCCTTTTTTTAATATTTAGCTATAAACATTATGTTGGTCTTATTGAACGAAAGATTAACGGAGAAGCTTGGATCAAGTTTAATACTTAAGACACATTGAAAACATGATATATTATTGCTTCATAATAAACTAATATATGTGAAGGTCATATATCGTATGTATATTCACAGACTATGTCGATTAATAAACTAAAGAACAACAATGCAACTACACGTATTTCAATATATAAGTTATTTAGAGAGGTTCTCTTCTATAGATATTGTTTTTTTTTTTATTATATATGACATATTATCTTAACATTTAATTATAATTAACAATGCAGAATTGCTTGGTATAAAGATTGTCTTTTGTATTATTTGAGAAATATATCTTTCTTGAATCACACAGAGGACATCGTATAATAAGGCGTTCCGGAAATCGTTGGAAACGAAGATCGTTTCCAGAAGCAAGCGGTGGGGTGTGATTCTCAGCGCAGAGGCGGAAGCGCGATGAAGAGAAAGAGAGAGCAAGGGCAAGGTTACGGTAATAGGCGCCAGGCCGCAAAAGATCGGGGAAACGAACTCATCGCAAACGGCCACGGTAGGACATTGCCCTTTACAAAGATCGGTTACTACGGATGTGTGCACACTTGTATACACTCGTGTCGTCGCGCAATAACTATTGCGTTCTGTCTTTAACGTCTCATCGTGTTCTCCGTCTCTCTTCTCCTGTTGCTCTTTTCTCTCGAAATAAAACTGGTTATCGCAACGGAATAAACACACAATACACTTCGCTGGTAAGAAAGTTTATCTGTAAAAATTTTATATAAATAGACAAGTGATGGAAAACTAAAACTGAAAACAAAATCCTATCACATCGTCTGCGTTTAATCATCATCAACTATATCAAGGTTTCATCGAAGTTAGAATTAAAACTTTTGTCACACATGTCTTGATAATCAATTTTTCTCAATGTTTGTATTCCTTGCGAATTTATGATTTGCGTGAACGCTTAAATTTGTGTGAACAAATTGCCTCGAGATTTTCATTAATTACAATGATTTCCCGACACATCAAGAATAGCCGTGATACGACGCGATGCGTGTCATTAGCGGTGAGTCGAGGTTCTTGAACCTTTCCGGAGTTTTTCGTTTCCAGAACCGACCGGAGGAAGCCTCGAAGGTTCGGATCGCTCAGGTGGGGGATCGGAATCGTCTGCTGGAATACGAGACATCGCCCGATCGTCACACCTCGGGCATCCTCCGTGTCGTCCGGACACGTCCCACGTTCTTCAACGTCGTTTCCCTCCGCCCTCCACTGAAGTGATCGGTTCGACAAATAACCGAACGAGTTCGCGATCGGTATCGAAATTGAATACGAAGCATTTTAGCGAGAGTTTGCATTGAGTTTATGTTCGAAAATACAGTAAAAGATATACTTGGACGGATTTTGTAAGCAAAAGTATCGAATAATAAAAAGTGACCTTGACAGATTCGCTTGATTTGTAATTGAGTTGAAGAAACAACTCGCATCAGAGCAGCCGTTCAATGTTATCGATCAATATGCGCATTTTTAAGACCGTGTTGCTCATCGCATCTTTCGCGAGCGTTCGGTGCTTACCCGTCACCGAGTCCACGGTCGGGACAACCGAAACCAAGGTTGAAGTCACTTCGCTGGTTCCGCAAGAAGAGACAGTCGCGACTACGACAAACGGACCGCTGCCCACGCCTGCCGACATCACTGATTATTACGATCAGCGGCAGAACGGAAGCGAGAATTACCGCATCCACGTAGACGGTGTGGTGCTTGTGTTCGCACCGGTCGAAGCGCTGCTTTTGGCTGGTGCCGCCAGCACTACCGAGCCTAATTTATCAATATCCAATCTGTCAAACGCATCCTCGTTACTATCATTCAACGAACTGACCAAACCCGGATTTACTGGCATCCAGAACAAAACCGATCCGGCAATTTCAAAAACTATTAATAAGTAAGAACTCTATTGTATTATTTTACTGACAATCTTTCAAGTCAAGTTCGTTAATTGTGTTAATATAATAAGAAATGTAATTTATGTTAATTAATAGTATCACAAGAGTATAAATGTTTTTAATTATTTAAGTAATTCGATCTTTTCTTCTAGATCGGGTTTACGATTGATGAATTTCTTGACACCTTTAATACGTCGCATACGTCATGATCGAGTCACGAGCGTGCATTGAACTCTTCAACACTCGCACCCTTGACACGCACATTCTGCACACAGTATATATTCGAAATATGGTATTTTTTGTATTCTCAAAAATAAATAATCATTGCGTGTAGGTCGAAAAAAACTTGTTTGCACAGAACACAGATATGATTTTTTTAAGATGAAAATTAAAAACAAATTATGCATTGCAGGGATAGAAATCTGCATTTACAGGGATGACGGTTATGCATACGTAATATAAGGTATATTTGATCGAAGATCGATCTGATGTCGTACCACATCGCATTTATATAGTGTCTAGTATCTCATCAAACAAATTGATTTATTAATGTAATTAAGCAAAGTTTTTTTTGGCTCATTTTAAAATGGCTTTTTTAGTATCTTAAGAATAATTTTGTTGACATTTTTTCTTTATAACAAAGCGCTCGATTAAATAATAATCTCCACATATATCTTTATATATATTAGAATATTGTGATTCTCTTGCATCGGAGAGAGAAAACAATTGAGAGCGTCGCGCTTGCATGGTAATATTTAATATTGTGTTATGTGTATATAAAAACAGTTATGTATACACGTAATATATAAATACGATGCATTTGTGTCTTGATATGAAAATTTATTTGATTAAACGTTAAAATACATATGCGTTTCTTTTTGGTATATCATTACAATATCTCTGATAAAATGCTTAAAACTATATATTCTTCGCGTCCCTGAAACCTTTCGCTCTTTGATTAAAACAAAAAAAACCTCATCTAAAATTATTACAATACATTTTAACTTTGGTTTCACTCTCTGAGCAACTTAGCTAAGTTCTATGAGAACAAATATAAATTCTATAAATTCCTACAAATGGTAATATGTATATTTACAGGTTTAGATAAAAGAAAACAATTTTGTACGTCAAAAAGTACTCGTCTGAGAGTTTTGATATTCTATATTCAATACTTTTAATAAAAATAAGTTGTATACAACAAATCAACTAGGATTTTGGTAAGTATTTTTAGGAAAATCGGTTACTCGACACTTTCATTGTAGTTCATAAAGAAACAAAACCACAAAAAAATTTGAAGAAACTAACATAGAATATTTAAAGTCCTCAGATGACGATATATCTGCTACATTTTGTCAAGCATCTTTCTATCATTTCGTTCTGTATATTCTGAAACTTTTTTTTTTATAAAATATTTCATTATTTTTTCTTATTTGTCACATTGTGATTACAATGATATAGAAGTATTTTTATGATTGAAGACACAAGATAAAAGACTCCAAATCTATATTCTTTCTTATTTTAAATTATGTCATAAAAGTATATATATATGTGTGTGTGTGTGTGTGTGTATATATGTGTGTGTATAGGAATACCCTGTTTTTCTCTCTCGACATGAAAAATGTACTACTTATTTATTAACAATATTTTGTGTGTTTATGATCAATTTCAATGATTTTAAAGTGTTGGGGAGCTTTATGAAGAAGGAACAAATTTTTATGATAAAAATGTGCTTTTGGTAAAAATCAACAACGAGTAAAACATGCACATATTGTATGTATAATTGGCTATAGTTGAATGTGATTTTAACTAGAATTATATTTATTTTCTTTGGACACACAATCATTTAAATGTACAATTGTTTCAAAAGAAATTATTTGATCCAATTATTTTTCAATCTCAAAAAATGTACAATATTTTATATACATATGAAAAATATGCCGTTATGAAGACAGAAAGATGTGCACAAATATGTGCATCGTTAATATATTTTTTTTAAATATTCATTTATCAGAAATAAAAACTTTAGCAAAATTTTTGCGATTGACAATAAATCACTTGTCGACGCTTAATATAAGAACTGCAGACATGGATGGATATTTTTAGAAATCAATATTGCTCATAATTGTTAAATAATAATACAAAACTAATATAAAGCAAAACATTAAGCGGAAGTTGTCTCGTTCGCATTGAGATCTTCACAGTCTACTTCACCGGGACTGCTATTAATAGCAAGTACGGCTTCGTCAAATTTTAATTCCTCGTTACCCGCCTACAGAGGAATTATTTCATTTGACAAGTTTCTCATAAGGAAAGTTAACATTATTTTATATATTAAAGACATGGCAGGAGCAAGAAGGGAGCACACTATAAAAATGTATCGGCAACATCGCCAGCTATTACCTCTTTGAGCAGAATCCGGCAATTCTCTACGACGCTACGTCGCCGATCCGATGCGTTGTTCAAGACTTCTTCCGGCGATTGATGAAGACTATCGACTATCTTGCGAAGCTCGTTCAGCTCCGTTACGGTAGCTTCTAATTTCATTTCCAAATTGGACCTGGCAAATATAATAATATTTCAAAAGATGTTAGAATCTAAAGTTACATAAATTTCTGAAAATTTATTTTTATTGCTATAACATAAAAACATACCTCTCTTCTTTCAATTCTTGTATACAAGTATCGTTGTCGAGCTGTATGATTCGTAACACCTTCAAAAGCTTGGTTACAAGATTATCTACCTCAATTACTTGATCAACGAGATCTACAGACAGACAATAATCAGTCAAAGGCACAGGACCGTCGTTGGTGTCAGATTCGCTTATAGAATCACAATCATCGTCACCCTCATCTTCTACCTGTAAATTAATACATTAGTTATTGCTAGATCTCATTTTAGTGGTAACATAACGAATTCGAGTTTCATCACTCAATACTTGCCTTACGACGATGCAAAATTGCCTGAGTGAGATTCGTTAGACTAGTAGACTCATCGCCGATTTTTGTTTTCCTATTATTATGCTCGTCCGTCGTTTCCGGAAAGCTCAACGCTCTGCGAAGAGAATCGCTGCTCGATATCATATTGTGTGAGTACGTGTCCGGCAAGGGAACGTCTTCCAAAACGCTTTCCATCATCAGACACGGCTCAGTCTCGAAATCAAGCAGATCGGAAGACGATTCCATGCTTAACTCTACATGAAAAAAATCATATTAAATAAATTCAAACGTAATATGTCTGTAAATCGTTGTGTTTGCACTTCTATTACCTTTGTAAATCTTGGACGAATCCAGACTGGATTTCTTGTCGATGTTTTTCGTTGCGAAGGGATGCGTCGCGGCGTTTCGAATCGCGCTAATTACCGCGGAAACGAAGGATCCGCTCTTCGGACTCGGCGTACGTTCCTTTAGACTCTGCTTCGAGCTAACTGGACTAGACTCCACGCTACTGTTACTTCTGCTGTACGCTTCATTATGATATATAACGTCCTTGTTTAGAGAAAGAACATTTTGATATAATTTGATAATAATAACTTTCGCACGTAAATAACTAAAAATGCTACAATTAGTGACATACAATCTGTGTTATTGCGATAAATAATATATATTTACCTCAAGATCTTTTACAGAAATATTATAGGAAGAAATTAATTGATCTACTAATCCTTCTAATCTAGTGCTAAGTCCGGAGAGAGCAACAGCCGCTCCGGACATGGCAGCTCCTTGAGTAAGTAAAAGTTCCCTACTTCTTCGTTCGACAGCGTTCAACTTCATTGTCATCGATAAATTCTCTTGTCTAAAGTATACAAGTAGATAATATAAAAACATATAACGTAAATATATGTTAAAGAATTAAACCGTTTATCATAAAGATATAAAAAAGTCTGCGTGTGAGATACGCACCTTCTTTGTTCGCTAATTCGCACCAAGTGCTTACACTCCTCGGTTTGTCTTTCTAATTCTGCCTCTCGTTGAGTTAGAGTTTCGTTTTTCTTCTTAAGCTACAACAATCAATTGAGTGTGTAAGACAGATATATCATATGATAAGAGAAGCGTGAATTTTAAAAGAAACGCACCTCTAATTCGGCGTCCTTCAATGCATCGGCCAGGGTTGCTTTTTCTTCTTGAAGGAAATCTTGCATCTCGGCTGATTCGGCTTCTAATTCTTGCTGCTGTTGCAGCAAGGCCTTTTGCGCGGCAAGACTTTTATCCAGATCCTTCAACAGAGAAAAATATACCAAACATACATATATCTTAATTGTTGTAAAGTACATAAAACAATATTCTTACCCTGCTCAACATACGACACAATGATTGCAGATCGGCTATTTCGATTTGTTGACTGGCGACAACTTGTCCCGAGGATTGTATGTGACTCTCGAGCTCGAGGAAGCTGTCGCTGCCTTCTAAATACAAATTTTACAAAAACATAAGAAAAAGAAAATTATATAAATACATGTATGTACTATTTACTTAATAAAAATAAACCATTTACAAAACATTATTTTGATAAATTACCTGTATGCTCCGATTGTGGCGTGCCAAGCATAGCTAATACTCGTTGCGCGTTCCTATCGAGTTCTTGACGTGCAAACGCGTGATCGGCTCGTTCCTCTTCCAAGAGATGATTTGTTTCAGCCAACTGAAGTTTCAGTTTCTCGTTCTTCTCTCGCTGACTGCTGTTCTCCTCGTTCAAACGTCTCAAATTATCCTGCAAAACTTGCATATCATCCCACGTATCCTCCGTTTGACAACTTTTATGTAATCTTTCGATGACTTCGGGTCCGGCGATTATGCTCGGTTGCCCGGACATTGCGTTCTCAATATCTTGCCCAGTCAAGCCGGTTTGCGCACTGGTCTCGTGATAAATACGCGTTCTCTCGATAATTCTCTGTCTAGGATATGGCGGCAAACTTTTGTGGACGGAGGACGAATCTTTTCCGATCACCTTTTTCTCGGCTGCTCTGCTAAGACTAGCGTCTCGACTTCCGGATCGACTTCTCGTCATCTTGTCCGTCTTCTCTCCAGTTTTCGAGATTGTCAGTTTGCCTCTAGTTCTACGCGGTAAAGTCGCATACGTGTCCAACGCTTTGTTATCTTGACCAGTGACTTTGTTAGAATCAGTGCGCGACGTGGTTTTTCCGCAAACAATGCGCGAAGTCGGTAGGGACGGTACCTTTGTTCTCGTTTCCTCGGACGGCGTAGACGCTGGTGTGCGAGACGCACCTCGCGTGCTAGACACGGTTCTCGATCTCGAAGAGTCGCTCCTGATAGTTCTCCCGCCACGCTGCGCGAGATCCTTGTTGATCTCTGTTGTCAGCACAGACGGCAACGAGTCAGGCAACGGCCTTGTCCTCATCCTCGGTCCCGAAGACGAGGATGGCGTAGTCGTCGAATTGGACGCAGTGCTGCTAACGGATCGACATCCGTACGTCGTTGTACCGCGGTTGCCAACAGAAGTCTTGGCCTCCGCAACGAGCGAGGAACTCATTGACTCTCGGACGGTCGATTTCTCCCGCGATCTCGGTCGATCCCGTTCTCTGTCTCTACTCGCGCTTTGCACCTTGCTTAGGATATTTCGAGGAGTCGCCGTTCGCGACTTAGAGCGCGGAGTCGTCGCACCCAAGCTTGTGCTCGAAGTCGAGCTCGTCGGTTTCGCGCGAACAGTCTTTTGCGATTCGGCGTTGTTCGAAATCTTCTTTTTGGTCGTGTTCGAGGTCGTTGCGGTTCTCTTTACGTTCATACGACTCGTTCGCACGGATACGCTGCCAGCAATGGACGAACTCTCACTGCCACCTTCGCTCGTACCCTCACCGCCGGTCGCACCCAGTCGGACATCGTCCGGCAATGTTGATCCGCATGGATCTTCGTACACCGAGCAGCAACTTACGAGACTGGAGTCGCAGGAAGCCTCATCCAGACCGCCGCAGCTACTCGTGTAGTCGACACTGTTTCTGCGTATCTATATAAAAATAGGAAAAAAAAACTTAAAGCTTAACTGTATTTGATTTTAAATAACTATTAAAAAAATTTGGTATAAAATTGAGCAATTGTATAAAAATAAATTTATAAGATTTTTATACCCGTGAAACTTCCGTCGCACAACCTTCCACACCACTGTCGCTGCCATCTTTGCTGTCTTTGTTCTCGGCTAGCGACTTCTCGTTCGCTTTGCGCTTCTCAAACTCGCTGACATGGATCACGGTGATGTTACACTCACTGTTTATAGTGAGATTAGCATCCTCTTGTTCGTTGAGAACTCGAGTTTCTTCATTGATGGGGGATGCGAGATCTTCCGGTACTCCCGAATCCTGTCGCGCCACGTTCGGCGACACTTTCAAACAATTTTCGGATTCGAGGTACGTATCCATTGCGATAGTGAGTGAGCTATTCATTTCGATCTCATCATCTTTCCACTGAAAAAATGACAAAAAAGTATAGGCATCAATATAAAAACATGACTTTTAAAAAATCATATACAAATAATATTGTTTTAATTATATTGCTTGATTAAATTAAAAAAACATACATGTATATATATATTTAAAGTCTGTATCTGTTGGAGATTAAGACGATAGCTTATAGCTGAATGTATTTTAAGATCTTACAAATCTCTAGCTAGTCTTACCGCCTTCTGGCATTCCAGCCAGGAGGTTCGGCCTCATGCAAGCCAGCGTGAAATAAACGAGGCTTTTTGCGCGACTACGCAGCGCGACGATGCAGCAAATACATTGATTTTAAGTCTGAAAGCGAGATAGCTCTCTCTGACCTTCGCGCGCGGACTAGATTACTTTACAAATGTCGTTTGAGAAGCGCACGATTGACAAGTCACTCGACACATGTAGGAGAGTTTGTGCAGTGGACGGAGGATGTAGATAGGAGCAATTAGCTCGTATATACGACGCCGAGTCGATAAAGCTATTCCATTCCGGAATTTCGTTTTGGCGTTCCAATCACAATCATATTGAATTAGCAGAATGGCATACACGCCTCTTGCGAAGCAAGTTATTTTGAATGAGTTTTGAGAGACCTCGACGTTTTTGCACCTTGTGCTGAATTAAGAGGAGAAGATAAACTTGACCTATTAACAGAAAACAAGAAAAATTAAATCAAAAGCAGAGCAATTAAAATTAATGTCATTTTTTTCCTATCAAAGTCAACTTTTTTGAAGAGAAAAATTCAGGGATTTTATCTTTACACTTTTGATGCGGCGTCAACGTATATCGATAAAGACCGATAAAGTTTGGTCAAGTATTATGCAGATACGAAGTCGTGATTATGCGAAGAGATACAACGAGGTAATTCCCCTCGAATGCATATTTGCATGTTGTACATTGCACAGGACATAGTAATTGATATAGTAAATTGCTCGCGCAAATGTTGTCAAACTATTATATATTGAGTCACTATAAATTATTCCCTCTCGATTATCAGATGACGTAGCGCATTTCGCGCGTGAATTGCGATCTACGAGAAACTGAATGACCGGATAAGAAAGCGGATAAGTGAAAGCGTTTTGTTAAATATGTATTTAAGAGATAAGACGCTGATATCAACGCTAAACGTCATATTATAAGGCGTTTGTTGAAGATGCAATGTTAAAATTTTGCGGAACTTATAAAATAAAGACAGAATATAAAAGATTATATAAGATTTCTCTTCGCAACGTTCCAAATGGACAAACCAATTTGTCCTTCGCTCGATTGTGACAAACGATCGTGATAAAGAGAAGAGTGACGTGCCGAATTACACAGAAAAAAAGGAGAAGCGAACAGAGTCGTAACTAGACAATGTAACAGATTTCTTTATCAAAAAGTTTTTGCTAAATATATATGAACAAACAATGACACACACAAAAAACAACTTTGGTGGAAAAGAAGATGATAAGAATAAAATATAAAAATGTAATAATTTTGCAAGTAAAATTTCTCAAAGACTTAAAATTTAATAGAAATCAGAGATTTTAAGTTCAACTTGACAAATATGCAGAATAGAAAATCTAAAAAGAGTGCGACAAACGCACTTAACTACGCATATATAGCTGTGGTTTTCAGGCCAGCTGTTTCCTCTATAAAAATCCATTACCGCTGATTAAACAGGAAACAAAAGAAAAATACTGTAATATCCCAAGGCTTTAATTTTGTTAATGTTCTCAGCATGGTCTAATTAAATTCTTCACGATACGTAGGAAGCAGGCATGCAGAAAGTAATTCGCTATAGGTGCCGCAACTCATAGTTACAAAACTGATGGCAACGAGTGCTGCTCAGTGTTCGGGAAGGTCTCGCGGGAAGTCCCCTGAGGAGTGACGATAGCTGAAACCGATTACTCGGTGAAGAACCCGCTGCCACGCTCACCCACCACCAGACTGTCCGTTATTACGCGGCCACCGCGTAAGCATCAGCATCGTATCACGTCGCTCGTTGTAACGTAAGCTACTATCTCTCGTAGTACGTCTGGGAGAACGCAAGAATTCTTCTTTCCGACACTTGTCGCAGAACACATCTTGCGTGCACATCTTCCATTTCCCGTTGAAGGACAGAAGCAATAAGAGATAGTCCCCACATAGTAAATGAGAAAGAAGATACGGTTGACAATTCCTGATCAACAGTTTCTGCGGATGAACAATTAACGCAAGTTAACGCAACAAGCCCGGACAGCGTTGTATAATAACAGTTTGCGTTATCGTTCTTCGAGACATCTGTCAGAGATATCTGTCAAATCGAGCTAAGTGTTTTATTGAGTAGAGTTCGCGAGTGCCAATGACGATTATTCGTGTTGACGAACAATCGAAGAAGCAAGACCGGAAAAACAAGAACGGATCCATGAAACGTTGCGAATTTTATTCCAACAAAGGTGGCAATGAGAGCGATGTCGACGACGGTGTCAAGCGGTTCCACGGCGACGGGCTCGTTGTTAGGATGCACTCGAATCATCGTACGCTCGAGATTACAGGCGATGGCTGCTGGATTGTCCTGTCAAAGAATTCTGGCAGTGTGCATGTCGTCGGTGATGGTTGCCGGCTGCACGTGAACCACAACGTGGGTGACATCGAATACACCGGCGACGGAGGTCGGGTGCTTCTCGGACCGGAATCCTCGAAAGAGAAGGTAAAGTTTGTGGGCGACGGGGGAAAAGTGATCCGCGACTCGAGTCTCGGAACGGAACCGATCAAGTTATCGAAGAATCGAAGAAACAAGGAAACCATATGTGTACAGCACGTCACACGCAAGATAGTCAGAAAAACTCCGAGATGTGAAGAGTATAATGACAAACGCGTAAAAAATCAAGAAAGCTTGGAAAATATGACGAATGAGGGAAAGGAGACCACTCGAGATAAATGCAAAATTAACGAGGAACAGCGAAAATCTTCACGACATCTTCCGACTATCAAGAAGATCATTACGAAGATTCAAAGCAACGATCCGTGCGTGAGAAAACGCATGGGCGACTCTTCGTTGATCATTAATTTTCGCGGTGACAACTGTTCCAACAGAAAATACATTGGCGACTCTGGACACAAATGCGGAGATTCAATAACGTAAACTGATTCTTAGACGACGCTTGAATGTTTAGAATGTGTCTGTTCTTTAAAGAACAAATGCAATTTGATGCGATTGCATTTGATTGGATATAAGTGATTGAAGATTCTTTTCTTTCTGTTCGCCTGCAGTTCATAATTTATTTTAATTGTATAATGCATTTTAAGGCGTTTTGTTTTAGAAGAATTGATGACAATTAAAGTAATTAATGATACAATATTACAATATTTTAATTTTGTCATCAATTATAGATACGATATTATGTATGTTTCCTATATTTTTTGTAATAGTTTTTATTTATTGCAAAATATTTCTCTAAAATATCTTAAGCTTTCCATGTTATTATCATGTAGAAATATACATGTTTATCATTAAATAAATTATGTAAAAGAATTTTTAATTTGCCTTGTTTTGTTTTACGCAAAATTTTCTTTTTAGATTTATTGATATCAAAATCCTTTATTATCGTAAGATCGCCGTTAAGATAAAACAATCTGCCTTGAACTCTTTTAGTGTATCAGAGCGAAACGATCTCAAAGATCTGATCTAAGCAAAAACGAAATGAAACAAACAAGATAAAAAAAACTGTGACACTGACGGAGCCATTGTAATGTGTTTTTGCGTTACTACGTACGCGAAACAAATGTAGAAAAACGGCGATAACATAGAGCTCTGATTTATATTTAGACAAGAATACAGCTGATATTATCTTCAAGAATCAGTGTGATCGATAGATGGGATATCGATTTCCAACTATTTTTGACAATCGTATAAAAAACTTAGATACCAGAAATCACACTCATGTGATCACTATATATTAAATTATGATTACGTCAAATTATGACGTTCAATCGCAAACAGTAAATATTATTACATAATTTTCTACTTAACTTATAGTTTTATTTTATTTCCGCGGCAATTTTATAATTTGAAAAAATTCAAACAAAAATGAAAAAAGTAATTTTCTGTTAAACTAAATTTTGAATGTGTTTGTCATAACAACTACGTGTATAAAACTCGAGTTTGAGAATCAAGAGAGATTGGTGTCTGGCACTCTCAACGTAAACTACAACGACTACGACACATGCTATAACAAGTACAACAGTTTCCAGCCACTGAGATATTTCAGTAAATGAACAGTGGCAGGAACACATGAGGCAGTTACTACGAGAAAGATAAATTCTATTTATGAACGAATAATTTTCTGGCATGTCTGAGAAAATCACACTTCAGAAAAAGAAGATAATCTTGTCATTTGATGAAATTTCTATTTTAAATTTTTATATCATCACATCTTATGTGCAATAATAGTTATTTTTTGTTGACAAAAATCCTAGAGGAAATAATTCAAAGAATCAGGATGTGGTTGTCGCAGGAAATAAAGAGTGATATTCTCGGCATGTTTAGCCAATCGGAATGCAACGTTGCTCGCGTTGCACGTCAAAGGAATCGTCAGACATCGCTCGTGAAAGCAAAGAGAAGTGAGAAACATTCTCTTCTCTCTCCCTTTCTTTTGCGAGATTCAGATTGGCTTCTGTTCTCTCTTCGGAGTACACATGCCCGTGTGGATATATTTATCGTCTGTGTTCACTAAAATCATTCCGCGAGACCTAACTTAAGTTGCGAGTGTTATCCAGCGCATTTGCTGCATATATACTCGGTTTCTCCGAACATCAGTGTGTCAAATGTTCTCACGTCCTATTCCCTTTTCTACTATACTAAAATAAAGATTGTTATTTTTATTTTTGGCAAGTTAAATTTTCACATTCCGTGTGTTTTTCCGAACGATATTTGGTTGAGCAAACCATGTGATTATGGGAGAATAATATTTGAACTTGTACATTTCAGGTTTGAATACCGTCAAAATATGTAAACATGTAACGAACTTGTCACGCGATTGCACTAAATTACGATACCATGTAGGTATCGTGAAAATCGTGTTGCAAAACTTCGTGAAAGTTTAAGGCCACTTTGTTAATTGATCGGGCTAATTATCGAATAAGAAATCCTCGTCACCGGCGCGCACGGACTAATTAGCAAATTAATAAGCGAGCGGAAGCCTGCGATCGCATCGGCGTAACAGCCATAAACGTCGGTCTCACCCACGCTTTCCTTGAGTTGTACGTTATATTCTTCAGTGCAATTTTCCTTCGCACGGTCGCGAAAGTAAGATATAATTTCATCGCACCTGAGCGCAAAATTTTTTATCTAACACGAGAGAGCTTTTTTATTCTTAATCACGAGACAAAATCTCGCTCTAATCAGTTTTCGTATACGAACTTTACGTCAATTAGAAAAATGTTTTTTCGCTCGTTTGCGATTTTCGTAAAACCATCTTTCCAAACGACTTCGACACGATAAATAAACTAGCCACTTTCTCACCAAATTTCGCACATTCACAGGTGAAGTAGATTCGAAAGATAACGAGATCGAAAGCTATTTATAATTAATTTTTATAAGCATTGTTTTACGTCCACAAAAAAACATTGAGCAAAAAGTTGTTTTATACATATATACGGTGGCTTTTGAAATAGTTTCCTTTATGTAACTCTGAAATTTTATATGTAAATTAGGAGCACGACAACTAATGAAACAATTATAACGTATTATATGTATTGCTGGCACGCGATCGCTCGGTTGTCAGTCAAACCCGCTTGAAAAGAAGAAAGCAAATAAATTATTAGCGTGAAAGACGTTTCCGCAATGATGCGGATGTTTTGCGTTCAATAAATAATGTTTGCTTAACTTAGTCATATTCGTGCAAATACAAGTAGGTGTTTAATTTATTTTATTAATCTTTCACGGTAAGATACAAACAAAAGGTGTTGTTAATTTTTTTATACAAAAATCGTACAAAAATCCTAGTTTTATTCACATTGTATATATAAAATATTGCAAACAATATTGCAACACGGCATACAACTGTACGTTTTATTGCGCTTTTCTCCATTTTCTGCATTCAACATAAAGTCTTGACTTTTTTCAAGAATCAATTGTTGTTTTCGTCTTTTGAAAACGACGCCAGAACTTTCACTCAATTTTTACTCTATCACAAGATAAATCAAAAATAGATCAACGTCGAAGCAACACTGGCGAGTATCTCTGTGATACTAAGGTTGAAGAAAATATACAGGATGTACTATCTAGTTATATTGAACATCAAAGACTCTATAAATATAAATTATCTTATTCTAATATTCTACGTTTACATGTTGCACGACGACAATTCTATGAGTTCAATTTGGATTTTACGATGATTTTGAAATGTCAGCGTTCTGTGTTAGTTTTTGATGACGTAAACGCGGTCATGACCGAAGTCATAACCTTCGGCAGAAGGGTGGATCTGTGTTCGCGTCAAGGGGAGTCCAAAACATACTCGAGGATCGATAGCACGAGAAAGAAGAGCGTGTTGCTTACCTTAAGCTCGCCGGTGTTTGCCAGAGCAAACTTCTCTAGATAGCTTATGTGACACCTATTCCGGAACGTGTGCAGTAGGAAATGAGCCTCTCGTTACAGTCCTTGTTCGTTGAAACTTACGAGTTCGATAAAAATGGACTGTGATTACACAAAGTGAGTCTCGTGTAACACATCCAGAAGCGAGCAGCGCTTCGATTTAGAATCGCAATTCGTTTAATCGCTTTCAGTGTGTACAACTAGTTTTTTACGCAATCGGAACACGCACGTATGAATTTCTGGATTCACCCAGAATTGCAGAGGAATTCAGGATGCTCCACTGGCCAGCTGCTGTTCCTGAGCAGTCCAAAACGACCCGAATGAGCAGTAATACACGACAAGCGGCGGAAGCAAGAATAACGTGAGATATTGTGGTAGTAGTGACAAGGAGGGAGACTTCTAGAGCGACAACTGGTAGCGAGAGGTAGCATCGACCCCTGTGTTGCATTCATAACGTAAAAGATATCTACTGCAGATAACGCCAACACCACTTTGAAAATATTCTCAAAAAATAGTTCAGAAAATCTTAAATTTGAAAATTTACATAATAGAGTTTTTTTCCAAAAGAATTTTATCATATTTGTTTTATATATAAGACATACAACTCTATGTGCATAAGAACCTTTTTAATTTTATTGTTAGATAGGAAAATTTCAAAATTATATTGTCTATTATATAAAAATTTTGTATATATATATATAACTTATAACAGATAAATGTTTAACACACAATTGCTGCGTTGTGTTATATTTAGTAAAAATCTGATATTTAAATTATTGTGAGTAAAAACTTACAATTTTTTTTATAAAAGCAATTGTTCTACAAACAATTTATGTCCACGAAGATGGAAACAATGTCACTTAAATTGACTCATAGCAGGTGTCAGAGTCATTAGAACAGTCTCCATTTCTTTTTTTTTATTATCTGTTTGCAATTTTGACCACATTTGTTCCAGCGCCTTTTCTTGGTGCTTCTAAAAAAATTCAAAATATGTCAAAAATAATAAAAAACCATTTTTCATATTTGTACAAAAATAAATAATAAGTTAAGTTTATATTCAAGTTGTCTAACAATATTTGTTTCGTCCTTACCCTGATAAAAAGAAAACAGTGTTTCATAGTTGCTCCAACATATAAAATAGTTGTTTTAACTAATTTATTATCTATATCATTTATTAAAGGAATAGCACGCAATAAAAATTTGTGAGGTCCATGTCTGACTCTTACTATCGCTATTTTGGTGCACGAGTTGCAATATTTAGCTGTAAACGAGACAAGTTCATATGAAACACTAGAATTGATTAAAATTTTAAGTCTATGAGAAAAGGTAGAATATCTATTTGAGAGATTGTATATTCTAAACATTATACCGTCAAAACCGTTTTTTATTGCCGCCAGTCCAAAATCACCGTATAATTGTCGCACTTTTTTCTGAACCGTGTCAACCAGAACTTTATGTTTTAACATCAATTGTTTATCACTCTGCATATGCGGTTTTATTTCAATGACAAAGTATCTGGACAGACGTAGTGAATAATTGCAAAATTTGTAAATTACACGTAAATATTATTTAGCTGTTTAAAAGCTTCGCATTATACAAATTATTATTACAAAAATTTCGAATACTCATGACTATACCTGTTCTTAAAACGAACCATGGTTTCAGGTTATGTTCACCGTTTGCACGTTGCAGTTAATTGACAATATTGACATAAAAGTCACGTGTATCTAAGAGTCAGATAGGGCTGGGTCGCGGTATCAAGCGTACGGCTTGGTACGGTCCACGTGCTCCTCGCATATACGTAAAAAATGGAACGGGTTTTGTGCAACGATCATGTGGCATATTTTTTGTTATGCATCGATTTTGCATATTTCCTTTCGCCGTCACAATATAAATGACATCGCAATGGTAAAGTACCGTCGTCATCGATAAATGTGAATGAATGATTCTTGATGAATATGTTAGAGAAATTTATTCTCTCTTATTTAAATATCGTGAGCAAACGTGAGTAAACGTGACGATATGTTGTGATAAAATTTTACGACATAATTATAAATCAAGGTAATTTGTTCACGAAAAAAAAAAATATATATATATATATATATAAGCTTTATTGATACATCTTGATGTATTTGTATTTTGGTTATTTTACAAATATTTGTTAAGCAATAAAATACCTTCTTTTAAATAAATCAGCGTATTTTATTATTTAAAATACAAACGTGCCATATGTTATATATATTTATACATAGATACATTTTATTGTAATAAAACTGTTATACATGTTAGAAGTGTTTTCAGCTGTTAGCAAATTGCAAAGATACCATATATAACTTATATTTACTAATCCGACACTTTTCTTTGTATGTGTGTGTATGTACACAAATGGTGAAGAAGCATTAGCTGATAATATTGCTTACACTGTTTGAAATCTCTTATATTCATCCTTTGTATACATATATCTCCTTCGCAATTAATGTTATCTTCAGGTCATGCCATCTTAGAACATATGATTAATGTACGTCTTACTGTTGGCTGATAATTGTGATTTACTCCCTCTTTATAGTTTCACGCTTCTGCTGAATGCAAGTGTTTAGTCGACTTTGTTTGACACGAGAGTGTGGATGTCTTCAGTGTTAACGCAGTCACAAGAATCATGGATTTTTTCGTTGGTGTAGACGTGGGAACGGGAAGTGTTCGAGCAGCTTTAATCACCTCGACTGGAAAAATAAAGGAGATAGCTACGTGCCCACTCGAAATATTCCATCCTGCTCCAAATTTCTACGAGCAATCTTCTGATAACATTTGGAGCGCCTTGTGCCACGTTGTCAAGGTAAAATGGAGAGGAAGAAATGCTGAAACAATATCAAAGAGATATGTAAAATTGAATTACAAATAACATAGTTTTTGTGCTGTTTGCAGTCAGTTGTTGCTGGCATTTCTGCAGAAGATGTTAAAGGTATTGGTTTTGACGCTACTTGTTCACTGGTGGCTCTTGATGAAACTGGTTCTCCTGTAACAGTCAGTCTCACAGGTACCGAGAAAAAATTGACAGATATCATTCTATCTTATCTTTGTATCAAAAAATTGATATAATAATATAATAATTAAAAAATATACCAATTATAAAAAACAAATTTACTAAAAGTGATGTGCCAATATTCAGGACAGGAAAAACAGAATGTTATACTGTGGATGGATCACAGAGCACAAGAAGAAGCTGATTTCATTAACTCCACAGGCCATGATATATTGCAGTATGTAGGTGGCAAAGTTTCCCTTGAAATGCAAACTCCGAAAATGCTGTGGCTTAAGAAAAATTTACCCACTTCTTGGAATTCTACAGCACTATTGTTCGATTTACCAGATTTTTTAACATGGAAAGCTACCGAATCGGAATCACGGTAAATTTTTGATTGATACATATTTAAATAAGGTAAGTTAAAAGATTATATAAGTTTTACTTATCTCACTTTTGTATTTTAGATCGTTATGTTCTTTAGTATGTAAGTGGAATTATAGCGCCAATCCTGATGGTAAAAACGGATGGAGCGAGGATTTTTTTGAGCAACTTAATCTACGCGACCTGAAAAAAGACAATTGGAAGAAAATAGGTACACATTTATTAATATTCTAGAAAAACAATACATATATGACCGAAATCTAATTTTGTCTTAAAAAATGATATTAAATGTTAAGGTAACGATGTAAGAGTACCTGGTGATGCGATCGAATCCGGATTGTCAATAAAAGCTGCGGCAGAATTGGGTTTATTGAAAGGTACACCAGTTGGAACGTCGTTGATCGATGCACACGCTGGTGGTCTCGGCATGATCGGATGTTACGCGCCTGATGTATCTTCGAATTTCTCAAATCGACTGGGTATGCAAACTATTGTTTAATACACGTTACTTATTAGAAAAAAGAATACAGTACATATATTCTCATTTTCAGCTTTGATATGCGGCACTTCTACTTGTCACATGATAGTAAACGAGAATAAGATTTTCGTGAATGGCGTTTGGGGTCCTTATTATAGCGCGATGGTACCCGGATTTTGGCTCAACGAGGGAGGTCAGAGTGCTACCGGCAAGCTACTCGATCACGTCATTGATACGCATCCTGCGACGCCAGGAATTCTGAAGAGTCTAGGTGGAAATAAGTAAGTTTATTGAGAGAAAAATTGCGTGATCAAATGTCGATAAAACATTTCGGCGCTATATTTTTACAGACATATTCAACAGTATCTATCTGAACTGTTGCACGTCATGGCTGAACAAAAAAATCTACAGAACGTGTCGTATTTGACGAAGGACTTGCACGTATGGCCGGATTTTCACGGTAACCGTTCGCCTCTGGCTGATCCGACTTTGAAGGGAATGGTATTGGCTTATATATATTACAACGTTTTTTATATATGTTACATTTTTTATGTGCATGAATTTTATCTACGTCTTAAAGATGTGGCTTTACACTGTTAATTTTTTTAGATATCCGGATTATCTTTATCTGTGGATAAGGAGAACTTAGCGCTATTATATCTTGCAACGGTGCAGGCATTAACGGTATGCCACAAATAAATAACTCTAATCCATTGACAACCATAAAATATATGAAGAACTCAAAGCATTAATAACTTTTACAACAGTACGGCACGAAGCATATAATTGAAACCTTAACGACTGCCGGCCATAATATCGAAACGGTATTAGTTTGCGGTGGACTCAGTCAAAATCCGCTGTTCATTCAAATACAAGCCGACGTGCTGGGATTACCGGTTCTTTGTCCTGTAGAACGAGAATCGGTTTTGGTAGGAGCGGCAATTCTTGGAGCGTGTGCTACAAAAAAATATTCTATGCACGACACCATCAGCAGAATGGCGGGTTCGGCGAATATAGTGAAACCGACAAGTGAATGTTACAAGTATGCATTACGATTTTTTATTTGAAAAATTTGCGATCTTTCTTTTCAGAAATAATTTATATTTAAGATTTATACATAATAATCTGTTATTTCAGATATCACTATCGGAAGTATCGCGTATTCAAGAAAATGGTGCAGGACCAACAAGACTACAGGGAATTAATGAATGAAGAATTGTAGCTTACTTTTTACTTTTCTACTTAGAATAAATGGGATATACTAAGAATGGGCTGTGCTCAGCATTTTTACATCTGAGAGTGAAGATAAATAGTATACAAATTTTTATTCGATAAAATGTATTTATAATAGATATCCTCAAAGTTTCAGTTAAAATGCAAATATTAAGGAATAATAGTCATAATTAATAATCATAAGCAACATAGTAAAGTAGCAATTTTCATTTTAAAAAAAATTATATTCTATCGTAAAAAATATGTGTATAGGTTTTTTTCTGTCTCTCCCAGTTTATTCTACTTTATCATGGAAGCATAAAAGATCTAGAAATAAAAAAATCATATAATCACGATACAATATATCATTTTGAGCAAATCAAAAATTATGATTCCCAAAATTGTTTTCTTGCAAAATTCTCGTCAACTATGTTAGAGACACATGATTTGACGGAAGTATATAACATCAACTGTAGTTTTAGATGGCGTGGAATTTAAAATATGCCTTTGTATATATCATAATTTTTAGAAAAGATTTATCGGGAAAACGTGTATCATACATCACCATATTATTATTATAAAATCAATATATCTTGATAAGAAAGATATTTTCTCAAAAAGTGTATTTTTTTTTAATTTCATTTATTTATTGTCTCTATAAAATGTCAGAAAAAGTTAGGACAATAAGATTTAAATACAGGTAAGAGGCGAATTAAATAATTATACTAACTAAAAAATTACTATATAGAATTTATATTACATTCGGTTCGATTTGTCTCAAACAATCATATATATTTAAAACATTATGAAATATTTTTATAATTGTATAGTTTTTACAGCCCTGTGATACAGTTTGAGCAAAAACACTGTCTTATTAGTTTTACGTTTATCGTTTGCATAATGTAGATTATATCTAATTATCATGTTTATTTTCACATGCTTATATATAACATACGTAGTAGATAAATATTATATTAAGTATTATTTATTCTTACATTTTTTTTCTTTCTCTTTCTGTTTCTTTTTCTTATTTTCTCTTTATTTTTTCTTCCTTTTTGTACAAAAAGTGATACAGAGTATACATATTTTATAATCTAATAAATTACAGAGAATACTCCTTCTCTATAATTTTTGCTTTCTTACTTCTAGATTATTATATAATCAAATTTAATTTACTATAATCAAATTTTTCGAATTCGTGTTTCTATAATTTATTGAATAAATTTCTTTTTTATGTGTGAATAAATGTAGCTTTATATTCAGGATATATCAACAACAAATGTAGGAATAAACTTATATGATTTTTCAAACCACATATCAAATACAAGTTTTAGATTTTGTTAAAATTATAAGTATATCTCTTTTAGAATAAATTTTGGAAGAGCATTAATAATTCCTTATATATTTTATACGCTATATCCTGCATAGAGATACAATAATTAATCATTGATTTATTAATTTATATATTTAGTTTATGCAGCTCATTATTAATTGTGTTGGAGATCTATTTTTTATTTTGCACTTATTGTTGTCTCTAATTAGATAAATATTGACTTAGATTTCAATGCTTAAAAGCTAACAAAAATTCTGTTCTTGTTTTACTGACATTATTTTTTACACTATATTGTTTATTGTATATTATATAAGTAATATAATAATTCACATTGTTGTATTGCACAAACATAACATCTAAATTCTAACAATACTGTCAAATATATAAATATAAAATAAAAGCTAAAATACATAACAAAAGTCAATAAAAATATTGACAATTTCACGAGCGAATTTTTGATTAATAAAAATATTCTCTTTAAATATTTGCATTCTACAGTATTATTCTAACTATAAAATATTTCAACTTTAAAATTTGTCAGATAATATATTATAAAGTTTATATAGATGAGTATATATATATATATATATATATATATATATATATATATATATTTATGATATTTTAGTTTATTCAACAAAAATAACAATGAATTGTATACATTGAGCTAAAGAAATACTAAATGCAATTCGCTTTATATATGTATATTAACACGTGTTATTGTACATATATTCGTACAGTCTTATATTTTCTCAATCTTCTTTATGTGCATAGAAATATTTCAAGATATGGTTCTCAGATATGATTATTACAGTAATATGATAACAAGTTTGATAAATATAGATATGTCGCGGACGGGAATCGTAAGCTTGTAATTTAAAAATAACTAATAAAAATATGTAACACTGAAATTTAAATACTATGTTTAACTCGAAATAAACGTCTTACAATAACAAAACAAGATTATGCATACAAAAGTTTTATAAATTATTTAAATAATAATATATAAATATTAAATATTAGTATATTAATATATTTATTAATATATTAGTAGGATAAATACGTGTTACATTTAAATAATTAAATATAAAAAAATATAATTTCTTCAGGACTTCGGGACTTTTCCTTTAAGATTAAAGAAGTTCTTTTCAAAAGTAAAATTTCCGAGAGAAACAAAAAGTTACAACACTGAACGTATATTTTTGAAAATTTTATGCAAATTCTATTGACTAATGGCTCGTTCTTATATATTATCTATTTATATTATATGTATTTCTCTATTCATAGAGATCGGCTTATACAAATATAGCAAATACATGATGTAAGATGAAAATTGACTCTGTTCCGTTTTTCTGTTTGCGATATGTATACAGTATATGTATAAATTTTAATTCCAGCCGAAATCCATACCTGCCAACTGGTAGAAGCGCTGATTGAACGGCCGATAGAAATCTCGCAGACGTTGAACAGCTGTGGGTTCGATATAAGGATGACTTCGGCCCTTATTTTTTCCTATAACAAATTGTCGAAGACCAATAAGATATTTGAGCAAACAAATATAATCTTGTAAGAAAGATTAATTATTATAGTAAGTGAAAAAACTAATTATTTGTTATATCTTACCGAGACAGTGCGGCGTCGCACGATCTTCCGACTTGAGCAAACAGGGGAAACCTTTGGTAGCATTGAAATAAAAGTGTTTCTCACATATCACCCGCTTCAGGCCCAGAAAATCCTGTACTCGAGTGATCTCCATCACCGGGTCGGCGATTAAACGCTCGCCCGATACAAACAGAAATTGTGACAATGAGAAATGCTGTAGCCATCTCTCAAGATGTCGTACGTAGACCCCGATTTTAAGTGGCACCCACGACGTGTTCACGATTTTCGATCTGTTGACAAAGGCCAGATCCTCGAAACGCGGCATTTTGCGCCGTTTACTCTTTACCTGTGTATAATCGGAAATCGCGCGGGTCACGGGATCTCTTACCACTACTATCAGCTTCATTCCCGGATTCATGTGCTTCACTCTCCTTGGTACCTCTCGCGTCACGAAGTACGACGGTGTCTTCTCCATGGTGATCTGTCCGTCTAGAGTTGGTGGCATTCTGCGTCTAATTATTGCGAGAAAATGACGAGTTCACATACCGCAGCATGTTCACATATATGCGCACGATATATTTTTTACGCACCTGTACCAACGAAAACCCTTCATATAATGATGATCAAAAAAATGAACCTCTGAGCCGGCGGCACGAATTGCCGGATGCAACCTTAGAAATTCCAAGAGCGCTCTTGTTCCACCTTTCTTCACGCCAATTATGAGAGCGGTCGGCAGTTGCCGACTCGGCATCAGACTTTCTTGTTTAAACGTCTGATATTTTAATAAGCTTTTTTTAAGCGTATCGCTCAAATTTCGAAGTGATGTGGTTTGCAATTGCTTCGAGTTCAAATCTGTCCGGCTGTCCGGAAATATTCCCTCGATCTTTGTCTGATCGAGATTTTCATACATAATGTTTTTCGCGTTCATGTAGATCCGTGTTTTCTGCCGAATGTTTTTCTGCGTTGTGTAGGCCATACGCAAATAATCAACATAAATACAAAAGAGCATAGATAAGTGCGCTAACGCACACACGATAGTTAAGATCTTCCGAGTGCCGTTGCGCAATTCCATCTTCGTGATTTTACGAGTCGTCGTACTTCATTGGCTTTCTGAGTGCCATTATACCACCGCGGCATTTGCTTCTTTCATCGATAGCCGTACGGTCTCATCGGCACCGATTCCTGAACAACCCTTCCTGAAATATATTCCGATATTTTACTCACTATACGCTAATACGAAAATCATTTGCTCAATAATTATACGTGGAAATGCAACTAATGTGTATAAAAACACTGTAAAACTAATATGAATCTCTTTTTAGTGATTTTTTATTGAAATTTTGAAAAGTCTTATTTTAAAATTACTCGAAAAAAAACGCATTTTAATAATTTGCTTATTTCAAAAACATATTTAAAAAAAGTATATAAATTTAAAAATTAAACTATAGATATGTAAAAAACTAATGATAAATCTTATAATTTATAAAATTTGTTATTTTATAGACACAATAGTAAGTCAATTTTTATTTTCTAAATTATTTTTGATAAATACTTTTAAAATATGCGATAAAATAAAATTTTCACGTTTTTGATGGTTTTCTTTTTACAAAAAATTAAATTTACATTTTCGAGGTGGTTAGAATGATAACCACACCAGAGGAAACATGAAATCCAGAAAACTCAGAAAGTTCAGTGATGCTGTTAGGTTGGCTGGAGCAGCACGTTTAGATTGTACATACTACTTACTCTGAAATAGCGTGCCCCCGTCGGACATATGTTAACTTTCACCCCGTGCGCGTCCGTCATCGGCCAACGTGCGACTGACGCATCCGGTGGAAGGTTGCGGATGCGGACACACTCTCTCGCGCGCGGAAACTGCACATTTAGCACGTTATCAAACGACACGGTCAGAGCCGTAACTGGTTTACGACGAACACATGCTCTCTGCTCTATAGCCGCCATTTCGATCAAGCACCGAGTCATGCGTATTGCAAATGTGAAAAGTAAATATATTAGTATATTGTTTACACTTTAATAATAATCTAGGGTTTCAGTTTTTCGTAATTTAATGTGAAAAAATTCATCTATAATCGTCGAAATGAATGCATTAAAAAATTATTCGCTTTAGGTACCATAATTCTCGATTACGTCTCTGGAAACGGTGTTCGTAACAATCGATAACGCGGCTGGCCGGGAGAAGGGAGACCATCGCCCTATATAATGCGGCGTGGATAAGATATATCAGTCTATGGACAATCGAGCTAATGAGGGCGCGAGAAAAACGGTTTTTCAATACCCTGGACCGATTCCGTCTATATGTATATGTATACGCTATATCGTACGTTGTATCGATATGGCGGCAAATGTTACGCTGTGATCACATAGAGGAAACCGGTCATGCAAAAAGAAAAACAAAGATAATTTTTTTTTTTTTTTCAAATTAGCAGATATTAAATATAAACTTACTTTTTAAACATTGCCATTTATTTAACAATATGTATTTTATTATAAAAAAACATAACAGTGTGAAAATTATTTATCATTGCAACTTATTGATGCAATGTGTTTTTACTTTTTTTTTTTTAAAGTAAATTTTAGTGACAATGAAAATTACAAAATGTACATTATAAAATTGTATATTGATGTATTCAGTGCGAACTTATAATAATAAACACATTTTTACATGTAAGTACTTCGTTCATTCGCAATCTATCTAGGACAACTTTTCTTTTTGACAACGCTAGACGAGAAGGCGTTATCAAAAAACTATTAAGATTTTATAAAAATTTTGTATAAAATTCCACAATTGTTTTATACCGTAACTATATGATTAATGGATTACAATCTTTGAAAAAAAAAAGATTTTAAATTATATGAAATCAACGATAAAGATAGATAGATAAATTATTTTACGTAAATAAATGTTGCTGAATAAGCGGTCAGTAAATTTAGAAGCCAGTAAGCACATTGAAAATGACTATTAGAAGTCCACGAGAACTATATAGATATTGTTTCTTCGAGTACAAGTTGTCACTTTTTGTCGGAAAAATATGTTCTATAAACTATTTCTGTTATAAACATTACTTATCGAGTTATCACAGTATTTCAAATTTAACATGCACAAATAATATGAAATAAAATCTTTACGCGCCTATCTTAAAGAATTTCTTATTGCGAACACTCTTAAAAGACTTAAACAGTAAATATATTGACATGAAAAAAATCATATTAATGTCTTCGCTTCGTTGTAAAGTTAAATAAATATGTAAATATAATAAGAGTGAGATATTATAAGAAGACATCTGTACATTCGAATCTTTCAAATGTTGAAGTGCACGCACATACATCGAGCTACGTTTAAAGTTTTAAACGTACGTATTAAATACTGTCATTAAGACCCGTATTTATTTGCGTCGTCGCAAAATTTAATAAACGCTTTGACGAAACTAGTCTAATTTCTATTGGATGTCACGTCGTCGAACAAGCGTTCTGTTGCTTCTTTTATTTGTTTTTTATCACTCTCGTTTCTTGTCACGTAAATAAGTATCTTGAAATACACGAGCTGTGATGAAAGCAACGTGATTGGGAAGAACATTTCCCAGTTTAGAACTAACTCTCGCGGTTCTAAACCGTTTCTACTGCTTCATGTAGCCTCTTTCATTTAGCAACTTGTCTAACGTTTCTTCGGTATAGTAGACGAAAAAATCCGTAGGTTCGACGCCCTCGAAGACGGAGTACACCGATGGTTTCACGTTGTAGAAAAAGAGCGGCTGACCTCTCGCGCGGAAGTCTTTTGTCAGGGTTTCGATTACCATAGCGGCCGTGAAATCCGCGCCGTAAATGTGCGTGCAGTCGATCACCACAGGTGTTGCTTTCTCTTCACGTCGACTGTACTTAGTCACCAAATTGCGTACGTAATCCACCGACGGGAAGATCAGGCAACGATCTGGCGTCAGCATTAAGTATTCGATCCCATGACGAGACTGTAGAGCAAGACAGTTAAATAATCAGTCAAAATCAACCAATCAACGATAAAGTAAAACAAAAAAAAAACAGAAATTAAAGGAAAAAAGATAATTATGAAATTATATATCAATTATATCAATATATATATAATTTGCCATATAGAAATATTATTATAATTTGTTATATAGAAATTATATATGTACGGTGAGAATGAAACTGTTTAAATCAGAAACATATAAAAGAGAATAATTACCTTGAGCTTCTCTACAGATATTTTTGGTCTAGCGGCGTGATACAGGATAAAGAGAATATTTATGCCGACTCCGCAGAGAATACCTATTTCCAGTGGCAGCACCAGACACGCGATAAACGTGCCTAAACCTGGGATGAGATCTGATTCTGTAACACAAAGAAAAATAATTCACTTATGACATATATCAAGATTAATGCTTTTTCTCACATTCATAAGAAATGCGTTATCTTACTTTTTGTTCTCCACATCGGTCGTACTACTTTGACTTCAACCATGAAGATGATCGCGGCTATAATGATCGCCGCTAGAGCGGCACGCGGAATGTAGCTAAAATATGGAGTGAGAAATAGTAGAGATAAAATCACCAACAGACCTGAAAACAAGAAATAAGACTTATTTTATTTTCTCTCTGTTTTTTCGGTTGTTTTTAACTTTTAATTCGAGCGGAGACGAAGTAGGGTGATTTATGTGAGCCGCAAGCGAAACTTACCGGTATAAACCCCACCCAGAGGCGTTCTGACACCGGAAGCATTGTTTACCGCGCTCCTGCTGAGGGAGCCTGTACTCGGAAAAGCTTGCACAAAAGAATTTCCGATATTTGACATACCGATTGCTATCAGTTCCTGTGTAGCGTCTACGGATTTTCCATTAGCTGCAAAACACAATTTTATCTAACAATATCGGAATTATTTTTAGTTTCAAAAAAATTTAAGAAATTCTTTAGAAAATGAATATACTTATAACATATTAAATGTATTAAATTTACAAAGCAAGCGATTTACAACGTTTTTCTATAATAAACGTACCGAAGGCTTTACAAATAGCAATATCCTCCATCAGAGAGATGAGTGGAATAACGAAAATACCGCTGCCCAAATTCTTAACCATATCAATAAAAGTGACCGTCGTGTTTTCATCTTTAGTGAAACCAAACGGTGGGACTTGTAAAGCTGGCATGCCGTCCGGTATGTAACCTGCAACATAAATTCAGTTTTGATGTTTAAAATTGGTCGATCAAAATGTTGATCAATAATAAAAAACATCAATATGTTTTTTTTTATCTCTCGAATGATCTATTAGTTATTTAAAAGTTAATGTGTATTTTAATACAGCAAATTTTGTATATTACATACCGATAAGTCTGAGGGGTAGTTTGTCCTGCAAACCCCAACCCAATAAGCCGCAAACTACCACTAAAAGTGCATTTCGTGAAGTACCGGTCAGCCAAATTAATTTATTTACAATTCGATGCCTTGTAGTAAGTTCTTCCTCTTTCGAACCAATTTTCCATGAGGATAGTAACTGTAATAATAGAATGCGTATATGCATTTCCTTAAAACTCATTCTATTTTATATATTAACTTTTTTTATTGCTCTCGCACTATAGTATCGAATACTTACTCTCAAACCTAACAACAGTGCTATGCAGGATACTCCAAAAGCGGCGTCCCAGACCGATGTCTCGTGTATATGATCGCCGATGCTATGCCACATTTCTATGAATTGTGAGCCCTTGGCAGAAATGCCAAGGATGTCTTTAACTTGCGATGTAACGATTATCAAAGCCACCGCCGATGTAAAGCCGGAACTTACCGGACCGGACACGAAATCTATTAAAAATCCTAACAAAGAGACAAAGAGATCGTTATTTCTTTTTTTACTTTTGTTTTTCAAAATCTCGTTGAATTATCGAGCGAAGTCAACTTACCGAGTCCAAACATGCCCATTATTAACTCTACAATTCCGACCAAAAAGGTCAACAGAACCGCGTGTTCTACCGGGTAGTTTAAGTGAGATACTGTTTGATAAGTCAACAAAGAAATTATGGCAGTGGGTCCCATGGGTATGTCCTTGCAGGATCCAAAAAGTACGTAAATAAAGCAACCCAGGAAACTGCCATACAGGCCGTACTGAAATTATACGAAATTTAAATACTTTTTGACAAAAAAAGGCTAACTATAAGTGATTACCTAATTGGTTTTAAATGTGAATAGTTAATCATTGAGCGAACACTAATAAGAATGCAGAGTTTATGCACCTGCGGTGGTAAACCGGCAACTCTTGAGTATGCCAACGACTGAGGAATGACGGTAAGGCCCACGGTAATTCCGGCAACGAGATCGCCGACTGCATCTTGACCATTATATCTTGGTAGCCACTTCAAAACCGGCAGCCTCTTATAAAGGGTTTTCTTCGTGCATATAGCCTTGGCACGTCGCCTTGCATATTGCAACGTCGGCTCCAAAAGGCCTTTCTTCGGTCTGACCTCGTCATGCCCTGGCTCTTCAATTACTGTGAACATAGCAAACATATAATATAGTTAAACGCAATATATAACGTTACTCATAATATTAAGTAAACGAAAACAAGCTTTAAAAATCGTTCTTGCCAGCTGGTCAAACTTTATCCTAATTTTCATTTACTTTTACCGGAGAAATTTACATCATATCGGCCTGTGCCGCGTTAATCCATAAATAAATTCGCAAAAACCTGGTGTGACAAGGACGAGAGCAGTCATATGTGTCATGTGTACAATGCGCTGAATTTATTACTGAATGGAAGTATTGGAAAAAAAATATAACTTGGCGCATGCAGGCACGTGCCGCGACGGATCTTTTTTCTAACAGTTAACATTTATTTTTCAAAGGGTGATTTTGCGCATGTCGCGTCAAAGAAGGCGAACCAGTTGTTCTGCGGAATAAAATTATTAACTACGTGCATAAGTTATAAGCACGTATGCTTGCCAACGTCACCGAATGTGCGTTGCAAACTTTAGACATATTTTATTAATAATTTGTCTCATTTTCGCAACATATACGAAACAAAAAAGTAAACAAAAAATAGTTTAGTAATTTTTTCTATTTAATTTCTTTTTATCTTTGTGCGTTGATCTTCAATTTCGTATCGAGAATACTTGAGATAATTTATCAGGAATAAAAAAGTTTTTTTATCATTTGAAGAACTTGGGGAAGAGATAATAAATAAAATTCTTTTCTCTCTTTCTCTCTCTCTCTCTCTCTCAAATTGTTTTATCAATAAGAATTAAATATGATATAATCGACGAGTACCATGTCGATGAGTACACTTTGTGTTGCACTCTGTAATAAGAATTCACAAGAGATCATATGATGAAATAAAAACTCAAAATTTTTAAATGCTAAAAATAAACTTTTGTCTAAAGATATCAATCAAAAAACGGTTTTTTCGAGACTTACAAATAAAATCCGAAGAACCTTGATGATTTTCGTGCGAATTGTGAAATGATCCGTACGAGTGACTGAGGTCCACATTGGATCTGCTCATGCCATGATTCACGTATCCTTCCAAACCGTTCTGATTATCCGACGAGGCATCGTTTTTCATTCTGAAAAAATGCATTAAAAACTATTTAGAACAAATGCGAAAATATTTATATTTATTCATAAGCAGTGAGAAAATTTTTTAACAACAGTCCAAATATTTCTTTCGCGCTAATATTGAAAAATAATAATGTCTATGCATTTAAAACTCGTATTGTAATACGCGGCGATATAATCACAATACTCCGATCGTTAGTTAAAAATGATTGGAAATAACATTTGTAAATGGAAGACCGCACGAATCTATTAAATTGGGCCGTGAACGTACTAATTGCAGTCAAGGCAATGCTATTGTTGCAAAATTGTTTTTCGGCCTCTTGTTACAAAAATAATACACTTAAAAAAATATTGTTATTATATCGTAAATAGGGCAAATAATCTCGTTACGATTAATAGTATTTATTATTTCGACACTTATGAAGCAAGTTTGATCTACCACGATAAGATGCGACTTTTTTTTACAGAAAAATACCTATTTAGATACAAATAAGATATAGAGACTAATTTTATCCGATTAAGATTATTAATTTATTTGAGGAACAGGTTTTTATTCATGCATATTTTCTGTTTTAAAAAATGTTAAAAGTTACCAGTCCTCCTTCGCTAAAAGCATCAATTGATAAAGCAAATACGTTATGTGAGCGCAGTTAACTCTGGAATTCCTCCATTTTATGTGTAAGAGATGCGCAATTTTTATAACTTTGTTTTAAATCTTGTACTTCTTCTCTTCAAGCGCGTCTCACAGATCGATATTACTGTTTTGCGTCACGACAAATTTCCGTGCGTATTCTCATGCAGTTTTATATACATAATTGTCTTTCTTTTCTTTTATTAACATTTTAAATAATATTTATCACATATGTGCAGATTCTATTGTTTTTGTTTGCTCTTAGTAAAGGAATTTCTAAAGAATTTCGAAGAATATGGATTATATTAGATTAAAAAGATAATCTATACTTTGAATTTTCACTCAAGTGAGAATTTGCTAGACGTTGTTAACAACAACGTAAGCATACAATTATGTTTTAATCATTGCATTTACAGACATCTGCAATAAACATAATCAGTCCATTAATCTTATCTTTTAATATGCTTTTCCGTTGCAGTCCGGTTTGTTGTCAGAGAGGAGGATTTTCAGACGAATCAACATCTTTGCTCTCATTTCTGCAACTCATTGATATTTGTGTTTGATTTTATTAATCAATCGTTCGTGAGTAATTATTAAACAACATGAAAACGATCTGTTTTTGTTGTTTACCGAGACTGGCATCATGCCGTGATTGTTCCATAAAACTCACGTGTTTGCAAACGTTTACAAAAAACAAGTTCCTTTTATGGTTGTGCAACGCTGTAACGCTCGTATATTTTTTAACAGTAATATTGATTTCGAGAAACTCGCGTTTTGTCTCCATATCGGAGAATTGTGAGAGACAGGGGAAACAGTTTGCTCTCACACATGTCGTAAATATTGAGCAACATTCTAAGTAATCTTGTAATTTCTGCGAGAGCACGATGCACATATAAGTCATATACCACGTGCACGCGTTTTATATCGATCATCTTTAAGAAATGTCAGCGATCTTAAGAGAAAATAGTAAAGAAAAAAGTAAAGAAAATCATGTGTGCTGAATTATTTTATATTGTCACGAACTATTCGCGTTTTCGCGCTCCATATTATGAGATTATTTTGACTAATTGTAAAACGAGAGAAATTCAACAAAGCTCGTTAATGCAAAGAAAATTAATAATTTTCTAATTAAAAATTAATTTAGTTTTTATGTTTTTTGATAAGTTGAAATATATTTTTTATTACTCAGAAAAAAAACAAATAAAATAACAACAACAAAACACAAATATAATATTATATACGTATGTACACAAATAGAAAAACTATAGTTTACCTAAAATTGTAGTTTTTAAATTATATATACATATATATATATATATATATATTTTTTTTTTTTTTTTTTTTTTAAATGAGTTTGCACCTTTTCCACCATTGCTTAAAACGATATAATATGTGTAATCGTATGAAATTGCTTTATTTATGTATTTTACGTGTGCAATTAGAAGATGATTAACGACTTCGAATACCGCTTATCAATACTAGAAAAAAGGAAAACATTTGTAGCGCTGAAACATCGTGCTTCGTTTGTTTCGCTTTGTGTAGCATATTTACGATCGTTTACGGTTTAAAGGCTGTTACATCAGTTGATGCAAACATTCTTTAATATCCAAGCATTTACGTGGACGAGTGATTGAAAATTACAGAGAATAATGATTGCTATTTAAATGGATGTTTTTTCCAATGTTAATTGCTTTACGATAGTTTTAGTTTTTTTGTAAAACAAAAGTAGAAAAGAAAGAAAAATTTTTTCTGCAAACATTTCTTTTTCACATATGTATAAATTTGTTTTATGTTTGTACACTTAGATAATATTAATTTCATTGTATGCACGCGATTTCGATCCGACTATTGATTATAACGAATATATACGTATATATATACATATCAATAATTATTATATGTGTATAAAATATTGTGGTGAATCACGAGACAATGAAACACGCCACGCAATTTGCGCGAATCACGTGTGTCGAAGTTCGTTTTATAAACACGCGTCGCTCGATGATGACATGTCGCGTCGTGCATATCTGCATAACTCTTGTTGCATTAGCAAGAATTACACAAGTCGACACACTTGCAGGGGAAAAGATCATTAATTGATAAAAGCTAAATATGCGCTAGATTCTTATCGCATTGACAATGACATTCTCCTGCAAGATCTAGCGTGAATCTAACGTACACCAAAACAATCACATCGTGACACGCGAAACTGAAAAGGTTGGATAATGGCACGTACCGACATCAGATTTCGTCAGAAATCGGTCATTATTAAAGACACGTAAATTCTTGGATTTTTCCTGTTGATTAAAGATTAGATAAAAATAATAATTACAAAAACGGCATCTTGAAATATAATATAAATTTTCAGTAACGACTTTGTCGCAAAGCAAGCATCGTAAACAGACGAACAATTGCCAATAAAGTCAGTGAAGAAATTTATTGCGAACGATCAAGCAAAGATACAGATAAAAGAGCATTAGAAAGAGTTTGCACGTGGTATTAGTCAGAGTCGGAGATTAGACGGGCGACAAAAAGTTTATCTACTATTTAACTAAGATTCGCGTGTGCAGCCTTTGTAATTATTACAATCGGATGATTAATCTAATCAAACGCTACTAAGTACTTGGTTGTCCCGAATAATTACGGTTTTTCATTGTTAATAATTTGCACGTGATTATAATATAAAATATGCGAATATTATTAATTCTCTAAATAAATATTGTAATCACAATAAATAAAAATTTAAAAGTGTCATAAAAAACATAAAAAATAAATCGTTAAAATAAAAAAAAATTTACAACATGGTTAGTGCGACGATTTTGTTTAAAAACTTTTATCTCAATATATGTTTTCTGAGTATATTTCAAAGTATAGACAAAGTTATATGCAGATTTGTGTATGTAAAAGAATTACACTTACTTATAGATGTTTGTTAAGTACACGACTTAAAGAAGACCCGTGTTTGTTTGATTCTGTGAGATCGTCTCCTTAAGAAGAAGAAGCAGCACGATGATCTCTTTCCTTCTCGAATCTGGATTTTACATTCAATCGTAAGAACGCTTCTCTCTGCTACCTCGAAACATCACCGTTTCGCGCGGTGATATTAAATCTTACTAAAGCCCCCGTCTTGGCAAAGAGTATACGTCAAGGAAAAAGATAAACCGCGTTATATGTAGAATGGTCTTTGCAAAAAACTTCTTCCTAAAATTTCCAGTCTCTCTTCTTTACTTTGTTTGATATTACAAAATGGTTCTCTAATCACTAATTGAATTGAAAACGCGAAAATGAAAAAAACCTGAATATCTACAATAAATATATATGTACATATGTAAAAATATATCTGTGTATCTCTCAGATATGTCAGATTTTAAATCGATGTTCGTGGCGCAATGGAAAAACTGAGTTCGCTGTGATGTGCGGCCGGCCATTTAAACGCGTAGCGGTTCACGAACTCCCTCTCTCTTTGGCGACCTCAGCCGGTCGCCTCCTCCGCCGACGGTGACGTCAAGAGAATACACTAATCGTCACGTGTGGCGATTCGACTTCGATTCTGCCGACGTGATTTCGATCAGATCGTCGGTCACGCGCGCCGATCACAAAGTATAATGCCCTCCATCGAGAATACTCCAATATACAAACGTTGTGTGTGCGAATCGGTTAAACAGCTTCTCGAACGTATCTGAAATCTGCTGTCGCTAAAACTCGGCTAAACTTTTACTAAACAATCTTTGTATCTATAAAAAAGATGATAACGACGATTCAAGTAATATCGTTTACGCAACATTTAATTGTCAGAGACTTTGTTGTGATAAAACAGAGTTCCAATATGAAACATTAAAGTGTGATTCTTACTTCCGGTTTGCATTCGACAATTGTACGCAATCGGTGTCCTCGGGTTTAATTGTCGCATAATGTTAACACGCGACTTATCGCTCGCAAGTCTCTTCTTTTGGCAGGTGAGATGCTGTAATCTCTACGACAAATTGGAACTGATATTTTTATTAATAATTGATCGAAGTTTTTCATGTTTTTTGAGAGAATACTATCAGCGCTTCGCTGATAGTGTTAATGAATTCCGTTATATGAAGACAGCGTACTTCAAGATTGATAAAGAAAATAGTATCGCTGCAATAATGTATATTGTCGTCATATCATTGTAGATTTTCGATGTAAAATCTACAATTGTGCGGATAAACAATAATTTATCCTATTCCATATTTTTTGTTTGTAAAATAAATAAAACTTATTATAAAAAGAAAACCATATCATCTAAATCACTTATTTACTCGATCTCGATTAATTATCTCTGTATTAGTCGGATGAGATAACGATTCACACACTTATGAAATCCGGTAAGATGAAAATATGTTTGTTCAACAAATTCTTCTTTATAAAGTCGAAATACACATGTAAAAAAGTCCTTTGTTAAATTGAGATTTTACTGTTTACACAACACACGCGTTCTTATGCTATCTTGTGATATTGATATGTAGCTGTGCTACGTATTGTAGTAACAAACAATTTTAACAAAGATAAATAATAAAAAATAGACAACTTGGATAAAATGTACCAACTTAAACAACGTTAAGCTGATGCAAAAAACAAAAGATAAATTTACTTGTTACAAAATAGACGGTATTAGTACTATAAAACTTAAATATTCGAATACTTAGATAAAACAATTGTATTTAGATATTCGCGCAATGATCATCAGTATTAAAGAGTTGCATAATTCTTGATGAGAAAGCTCTATACGAATCATCGAATAATGTCATAAAATAATTGTTAAAAGAAAGTTATCTCGTCCTTTTTGGAGGCTAACAGTTTTTTAGATTTCATGTGCAATAAAAGAGAAATATAAACTTTGTATAATTCTTAATCATATTACTTCTATGTTATCTCACTAATTTCTGTATTATGCAATTTGTTAAAAAAAAAGATCTTCTAAAATCAATCCAAAAAATGTTTTAGCGTATCTTTTCTGATAATATCAAATACTATATTTAATAGTAATACGTTTATATAGTTTTAATAATTTTACGGATTAACGTGTCACATTAACATATATTAAAAATATATTAAAAATATTTTAATAAAAATTGCGAATCTCTCTGATGTACAATATCTCACAGTATATTGTTTTAGCGAAATGATTAATCGCTCCGTTAGCGTTTTCCGTGTCACTAATCAACGGTTCATTACGACAAATATTGATCATGCGCTCGTAAGTCACGGGTTTCGCACAGTTAAATGCTCGCGTACTAACTGTTTTAAATGTTGTGTGTGATTCAATTAAAATGCCGTTTATAATTTATTTTACGGTTCGTTGATTCGCGATTACATCTTATCGAATTTAAAGTCATCGCAAATTCTCATTACCGGTGCAAACTCGAAAAATCTTAATCAGTGACATCACAACTTTTTCTATATTAAAAAGATATATTAAAACTCTTTCTTAGCTTTGTGCAAAATTGTTGAAGAAAACAAAACATTACTATATAGAATAATATTTTATACAAAACTTCATTAGACGTTTGTTAGACGTCACATGAAGATATATGGATTATTATTAGACATCTAATAGACATTATGCCTGTGTGAATATGTATAACAAGTATTATAATTAATATATTGTCAAATACAGATAAAATCAAATTCATAAAAATGAAAGAAAAGCCAAATTTCACAAGACTAAAATTAAAACAAGAAGTTAATTGGTAATTGCTATGTTACCGTACAGTATACGAGAGTGTAAGCTCAATTTCAACAAATATTTACACCGTATTATGCAATTGTACAAATGTGCCGGCAAAATTCCGTCTGGTCTGTGTCAGAACAGACGTACCATTTTCGCACGCATAGCGGCAACGAGAATCCAAGGTAATCTCGTTGTTTTGCGACATTTTAATCGGTCACGTGCTTTCAGTTGATCTACCAATCTGATAACACACACGTTGGTGTTAGAGAGCTTTGCGATTCGACAACAAATCCATAATTGAGCCGACTCGCTTACAGAGATATGAGAAATGTTAGACAGGCCTGAATTAAGATTTAAAGAGAGATTTGACAATATTAATCATAACATCTCGCTTCTGATTTTTTATTTTGATTTTTTTGTGCTTAAGATTGCATTTCGTGTACGAATATATTTGATTTTAATATATATATATATATATATATATAAATTGTAATTTGTCGAGTTTTTTTATTTCGCCGTAAAAAAACATTTTTATGCAACACTCCCGAATCAATTTAAGCAATTATAAGTCTGTCGATCATTCTAATTCGTCGAACTTTATGACGCGCCCTTGTTATCTCTTGCTATCGTCTAGCACGAGAAAATTGATATGTGATAAACGAAAGCACGTGCTCCGAATTTTACGCATGAACACCGATTAATAAATCAAGTCGCCTTGAGAGGACCTAATGCTTCGAACAATATGTGTATGAATTCCTCAACAAATTGAGCCAATTTTACAATTTACATAATGAAGAAATAAAGAAAAGTTTCTCTGACATATTAAATGGATTTTAGTTGCGTAAATTTGATTTTCCATTTTTTGTCAAAAAATATTTTCTCAAATATCTTAAAAAAAAGATAGATACTTGTATGTTACTTCTGTTGCAAAATATTGTAACAAACAAACAAGATTGAATATTTTATGTAATAAAATGAAACCTTTCTAATATATACACACACTGGAAATTTGTCTTATAATTGACATTGTGTGTGACGTTCAAGTCACAATTTCCTGCGGTACAGACACTTATCATAACGAGCGCACAGTTCAAATATACATATATGTGTGCATATACGTATATATTCACATTACACACCGATTTTTACATTTTTTTCTTGATAGTTTTTACATATAATTATTATGTTTATTTTGATCTAAAATATTAATTTTTATATAATTTCCCACTGTTTCGTACATAATACAAGATCTTACCTGTCGGCGGTGTCAAAAAGCTACGTCCTTTTGAAGTTAGCGAACCTTTATTTTGGATGTTCTCTCTTTTCTTTTGTCATGCAGAATATACACCTTGAGATACACTTGTGTCAAATCGCGCGAATTCTGTCAAACTCTCGTTCTACGTACATATACACACGAAACTATCTTTTGAGCAGAAATGAAACGTGTATTCGCCTGCAAATCTTGTCGAACACTGAATGTGTTTGTTTACATATATTACATATATTACATTGGTGTTATTGTTCCGTAACAATACTTCTTTACACGCGTTTGACCGTTCTTGTTACTTCTAAATGACATTAATAGCATAAGCAATAATACTATTTCAAATATATAACATGAACACACATTATTTCACCTGTTATGTGCGAATGAAAATTAAATTACTAATATTGCTAAATAAATGTAAAATTATATAATAAATTTTTACTGTTTATCCATCTTGTTTAGAATTACATAACACAAATTTCTCTTTGAAAAATTAAGTATGTGCAATTCATAAAAGCTCTTATCTCATTTTGCACGTGCTTCGATGCGGAAAGTTTCAAGAATAGCGGATTTCGCAAACAAAATAAATTAAGAAAATAAAAAAACAACGCGTAAATATTTCCATTTCTGCTTACTACAGACGTGTTTTCTCTACCTATTTCTCACGGTTCGGATTTTTCCATGATAAATTCGTTTTACGATTGTGGTTAGTAGCTTTTCAGAATTATTCGTGGAAATACCAACAATGGATTGGGAAAGGTTCGATAAGGAATACTTCCAACAACAACGTAATATTCCACCTTTCTCTAAATATATTATAGGATAAAGGTCTGACTTTCCTCATGCGCTAAATAATCGTTTGCTTTAAGAGGAATGTGTCGACGTCATAGATAGAATGGAGGAAATACCACGTGCGTAACACCTGTGGAAAGTAAACCTGTATGACCTGTCATTCATAGAACGCACATCATGAAATGAGAAACTAGTACGACAATATTTATACAAAAACTGTGAATTGTCTGATAAATTAGAAAATACTTTTTATGGGAAAATATAACATGTATTTTTTATGTTACTACCTATATTACAATATGTATAAATAACTTAATAATAGTTCTCTTACATATCTATTAATAACTCATTATTGTTTTGTATATTACATATTATTATTATTATTATTAGTATTGTTGTTGTTGTTGTTGTTATTATTATTATTATTATATCAGACCTTTCTTAAGATGAGCCAATTTTGATTTAAAGTTTTTTTTTAATTACTGGTTTTATTAATTGGTCTTTTGTTATATTGCTGTTTACTATTGCTTACAATTAATAACTGAGCTTATGTATACGTTATGCGCTTTTTTTACGCACAACAATAAAATAATTTTGATATCATAATGTAATTTATCGCGCATCCGAGTTCTTAATTTCGCAAACGCATATTTTCTAACAGTAAAATCAGAACTGTTTAATATACATCTGACATGCTGTTTTTCATCTTTATACATGTTTCATCTGTACAGTTCAAGATTTCTGAAAAAATTTAATAATAAAAGTTTCGAAAAATCTTATTATTTACAAATTTCAAGACATTTTTAAAATTTTTCACTGCTTTTTTCTAAAACACAAATTACGAGGAAGATTGTTGATATTATTTTTTCATTATGTTATTGTTCTTATCCTTAATAGTTGTGAAACGCAATCAAGAACTGTTGAAATAAATGCTAAATTTAAATCTTTTGCAAACAAATGCAAATATATAAGTGAAACGAAATTCTACATTTGAATCATTATATAATTAAACTCTTTTTCATACATATAAAACTTAGTAAAAGAGTATCTAGATGAAAAGGTTTTTTGGTATGTAAAATCCACAGCGAGAAATGGAACAGCTATAGTTTTTTGGAGCTTTTTAAAGCGTTTTTTAAGAGATCGCGCAGGTGCTTTGCTGCGAGTTGACGTCCTCAGTGACGTTGAGATTATTATTGTAACTTCCGTGAAAAACAGATTCCTCCACGATCAAAGGTGATTCGGGCAAACGCTCCTCTTCGAGCTGAACTGTGTTGGAATTGTGACTAATCGACGAATGCCGCGAACGAGAAAGGGTACCACGTTGATTACTTCCAGCTGACGGTGCCGGACTGGGAGAAGAGCTTTCCGGTATTTGTTCTTGTTCTTGCTGTTGCTTGGTTATCACTAGTCTGTTCAAAAGGGATATCTGACCTTGAATATTAGACATAAAAGGACGGTATCCCAAACTGAAATGAAAGTTATATAAAAGCTAGATTAAAGATTAAAGATTTTTTTTTTAATTACCGATTTTCAACATACCATTCCGAATGAGACCATTTGGTCAGTGAAAGCAATCCATCTCTTAGATTGATTATAGAATCAAAAGTTTGCATTGGCGCGTGTGCTGTTCTAACAGTTCTAGCCATAGCAGCTGCATCTCGTAAAACGGTAGCGACTACTGCAGCCCAACCTAGACAGCTGCCTTCAAGAAACAGTTGCAATAAATACCTGCAAGAAATTGAAATATAAGGCATACGTAAAATTGTATTTAAACAAAAAAACATTTTGAACAATGTTGGAATATGTTTAATGTTGGTAAAAAAAATACATGTTATTAAATTAATACCTCAATTGTACTTCCGCTCGGCCGATTGGCGCAGAGATTGAGGAAACTGGATGTTCTGTAGATCCTACCGATTCCGGCGAAACCCAACATACAGAGCCAACAATGGATTCTGTGTCATCCCTCCAAATTGTACTAGTATCACTAAGAACACTGTTGGCATCTAAAATTGTAATTAATCTATATAGAACAACATTATTGTTACTCAAAACAATAAAATTTTGTCTTATGAGAAAATGCTTATTTTCATGAAATAAAAATTATTTAATTTGCTAACAACTACAACTTGCCATTTATTAGATTCGGTGCTAATTTGGCTTCCGCAGTTGGAAACTGTGTCTCTAAACTAGCGACAGGTGAGATCAGAGTCGTATACGGAGGCCTACCACTTGGAAGACTAGTATATCCGCTGTCAGGTAGATCGATAATCAAATTCGGCGACAAGGTTTCGTCATCGGACATTACAGAATGTAAAGAAGTGAGGCTGGATCTCCGAAACTTTTGCAACGTTGGTAACGAAAGTGTTGGATATGGAAACGCAAAATCTTCGTGAACCGCTTTCAAAGTGCCAACATAATCATCGATCTTCGCTGCTCTATCACGCTCCCGTGCAAACCATGTTACTAAATGAAAGTCAAGACGTGCAGCAAATCTACCTAAATCGATCAAGCGACGGGCTGAAAGCAAGCGCCGAGCATGACGCTGCAATATGACATCAATGAAGAACTCTTCCGCTGACCCCTCTCTTAGAAAGAAAAATTTAATTTTATTAATAAAACAAATTATTATTAAAAAAAAAACTTACATTATATCAAATAAGTGTGGAAAATATTACAGAAATTATATTTACTTGTTCTCAGTTTTCTCGTTAGATTTTACTGTTGGAACTGATTTTTTTCGCCTCATAACAACATTTCGAGTTTTCTCAAGCATAGAAGACGGTGCGACTTCTTTCTCGGATTGCACTTTGGGTGTAACTGTAGTACTGTAGCTGCGACTTCTCGAAACTTGCATAGTGCCCAAGACCAAAGATAAATCATCCTCGTGTGGAGAAAGAGGAGGCGTCTGAGGAGGACCACCCAGTTTCGTACTGCCGGCCCATGATGTACGTGGTGACTCCACATCATTTGGATCTAAATTGCATAAAATATAAAAGATTAATATATAGAAGATTCTTTCTGTTAAAAAACATTTATAAGTGTACAAAACTAATATTCACCAATCGCTCGAAGAAACCTTACGAGATCTCTTGATAGTTCCCATCTGCCTTGCTCTAACGCGGCGTCCAATAACAACGTAGCGTGCTGTCTGCTGACCGAAGACGGCTCTAAGTTTTGCAGAATAATCAAGTAGCTGGCAGCGGTATCGAGCTCTTGTCGTTGCAAACAGTCTTGCAGCAATTTTTTTGGAGAGCCAGCGACGGAAAATAAATACGGCCAAAGTGCGATTTCAGTCTTGCGAGCGCATTGCACGACAGCTCTGGCCCAAACGCCAGGAAATTCGCGAATAAACTCCACGACAGACGGCAACTGAGCATCCGGAATAGGATCTTTACTCGTTGCTTCTTCTTCGAGGACTTCGTGAAGCAATAACTCCAACGAATGTGGGAAATACGGCAACGCGGAGCATGAACGCGCTATCTCCCACGCATGGTAGCCCAAGTTTCGATGTATCAACTGACGTAAGATCTGATGTAGATACACTTGACTCTAGAAAATAAAAAAATAAAAAAATAAAAAAATAGAAAAATAAAAAATTAATGGCGGTGAGCGCAATAAGTTTGAGAATAAGAAATAAAGAAACAAAATTTTACCGTGAGTTCCAACAAATTAAAAGGCAATGAAAAGGGCGAGTTAGTATCTGACGTGAACAGCACAGTGTCGTTTTCAGCTCCCAATAGAATCGCGTCTTCAAACAGTATCGCCAGTGGATAAATCCGCAAGTGGAAAGGTAACATTATTCGTTTGCTCATGAAAGCATGAGCCTTCTCTTGATGGTTACGAAACAGCGGCAGCCACACTCGCATGCCGTGAGCACCGCAAAACAACCACAAAGCCTCAGTTAAGTGCGGTTTATCTCTCCTCGAACGCGACGGCACCCAAACGTTCTCGACGTATGACGCTAATACCGTCGGGGCGCTGCATGTGAAAACTTCTGGATTATCGATGCGTTCACGTTGGACCATAAGAAGACGTCCAGAAATGTTCAGCAAGAGACTTTCGGGATGAGGATGACTGCCGGCGGTTTCTGCTCGTATCGTAGTTAACGTTGCACTGACCACGCAGGCGGGATGTACGCACAGCCAGCTGATATCCACCGTTTGTACTTTTGTGAGCTCGATACCGCTAGCTTCTACAAGCACAACAGCACAGCCAATTTAGATTTTCATTCGGTCAACAACTTCTTAAGAGAAATGTTTACACTTACCAGTAAAATGTTGTATCTTCATGTTGTAAATAATAATCTGAGCATTAGCGCAAAACGTTAAGAGTCTATCTTTCATTGTATTCAACAAAAGCACTTGCGAGGGCATTTTAACGGTCTTAACATAATTATTATCTAGCCGAGTATCGCGCGGATAAATTCTAATCTCATCTTTGTCGTCCAGGCTGGAATAACTGCTGGCAATAAGATATCCTTTATGCCAGAGAAGTCCACCAGTTACTATAAAATCTCGTTCCTGACTCTCATTGCCAAACAATTTCCATTTTCTCGAAGGTAGAGAATAGTGCGCCAATCCTGTTCGACCGGCCACCGCAAGACTCAAACCTTCGCTGTCTATTGCAGTATACTGTAACACAAAAAAAAAATCGTCAATTTGCATTTTATATGTTTTGTTTCTCAAACATTCTATTTTTATATTATAATTTACTCGAATTGGCCAATTGGAACCACTGTATGCGATCGGAATGGGAACGACGAGCCACTGTTTGCAGCCGGCAAATGTCTGAAGCATGCTGTCGTTAGGCATTTCAGTAGCCACATGAAAACCCGAAACCGTGGAAGATAAGCCTGCGCCTAAATTTAAATACAGTCTATCTTCGCCTTGAAGATACAGGTGTCCGTGATGTCCCATGCACGGGTTGACAGTCAGAGGGCTTTTAGCAAAATCCAATTGGATAAGAGAGCGATTTAAGCTGGACGTTTCGTTGCCGTTTTCCTCGGTAACCGAAGGTCCTGGAGATTCTCGCAACATCCACAACTGATAACCCTCTGCCGACCATTCCATCGTGTGGATGTGAAGAGGATTATCATGCGTCAAATCCACTCGTAGGCCATAATCCCATTTTAAGCTGCAGAGCAAGAGAGCACCGAAGGTGCTCCATAGCGCTAAGCCACCGCCTTTCCAGGCGAGAGCGATAGCGCAACTATCGGGCGTCCATCTGAGACACTTGACACTACCTGGTCGACCTGGATAATCTTTAGAAGATAGGCTAAGAGTATGCGACATCTCTAATCCTCCTGTTGTATCATCGACGTAATAAACAATGCCTTCGGAGCTGTAAATTAAAAATGTGAAAAAATTATTTTATTACTTGTTAATATGTGCGGAATTACATCTTGATCGTAAACGTTGTGACTAAGATAAACACTTACTTTTGCCTACCAATAGCAATCAGTCTATATTTGTGATTGACAGCAGCGCAAGTAGCATCATCTAAATCTCGAGCCCAAATTCCCTGCACTTGATTAGGATCAAACTTCAATGATTGAGCAGTAAGAAATGCGGCTTTGCCATTGTTAAGCACAATAGCAAAACCTCCAACAAGAGGTGAATATTCGATATCAGTAACATAAATATTGTCTTCTGTGAGTGGCACAGCTACAGTAGAAATTTGTTGATCAATACTGAACGGTATACGTCTCAAGTCCAAAGAATAGTCGCGATTCATGGTGCCATCCCACTTGTGGCGCACCACATGACTAGTTTTAGTCGCTACCATAAGCTCATCTCGTATACAAACTAATGAACTAATACCACCATCAATCCAAGCTGACTTTTCCTATAAAATTAACAAATAAACGAAAGTGCAGTCTTTTCATATTTGGCAATAATATTTTCACATTCGATAATAATATAACAAAAACCTTACAAAAGTCAAAACAAGAGATGGAATAACTTCTTTAATAAATAATTCTGCACTATCTCGTTTCAAGCTGGTAACTGGTGAATCTCGTTGTTCATAGAGTCCTCGGCCTTCTGGACTGTTATCCGAGAGCTGATAAAACAACAGATAACTGTCCGATGTTGCAATAACCAGCATACTCGAGTCGGGTCTCCATTGTACCAAAACATTCTCACCGTGCTTTTGCAATGAAACTGCAGATCGTCTGCTAAATACAATTGGCACACAAGGCTACAACAAATTATACTTAATCGAAAATTGCAGAACATACATAACAATGTAATGTGCATACATGCAGAATATAGAAATATATATATGTGTATATTGTTTACATGTTTGTTTATAAAAAAATATAAAAATTAATGTATCAATTACATATATTTATCTCAGTATAATAATAAATACGAATTTTTAAAAAATATTTTTGATGTTGAAGGAGTCCAATCTTATTTATGGAAAAAAAATAACAAGAACTGTTATTTCAATTTACTTTTAACAGAAATATCTCAAATTAGTTCTTCGTAATTGTTATCAGTAAAGAGATCTAATAATTGTAAAGTTATAAAAAATCTTTTTTATAAAAAAAAAAGATGTTTTGACCTAAATTACCCACATACATACCTTGCAATACCAGATGGTGAGAGCATCCGTTGTAAGAACAGCAAATAGGATTTTGTCTCTGTTGCATACTACAGCGTTTATTTTATTCGCCTCGCTAAAATTCAGAACTCGCGGCCATCCTACCGGGAAAAACATGATTTTAGCAAGGGAGTCTTATTACTCCTCTTTTCAGATCTCTTTCATGTTTTGTCTACGTTTTTTCCCCCCGACACTCAGATTTTGACAAGTAAACAGTTTCTAACCTCCACATAGCGTAATTAAATTTTTTTGAATGGCAACTACATAGAGTGAGATATCGGAAAGCACACATACATAGACTGCGTTCTGATATTCACAGCCAGGAATTCTATAGCACATGTGACGTAAAGTATAGATTTTTAGTACTATCAGTGAATCTGAACACAGCCAATAGAAAAGTCGCTCTCGGTTTCTCTGATACGTATTAAAGGCCGAAGCACAGACTTTTGCATAACGCATAAGACATAAGAAAATCAACCAATCAAAACTTTCTAGAACAAGAAGTAGGGATGAAAACAAAAAGCTGGATTGGTTGATTTTCTTATGTTTTCATATACGTTATGCAAAAGTCTGTGCTTCGGCCTTTATGTTCAAACGTGGACATGGTTTTATTCCATGCTATGTCCACAACCGTGCGGTTCTATTCCGTGCTATGTGCACAAGCCAAGTGTTGAGGTGAGAAAGATCGAGCAACCGGATCGAGTAACAGTGATGAAAGATCGAGCCCCCACCGCTTCGATACTCTCGCTGCTGCGGGCTCGATCTTTCATCACTGTCGAGTAACACTCACGAACATTGTGAACGGCAAGTGAAACTTACCTTTAGGCACTATTAATCTCCATTACTACAGTACAAAAACATATACAGGGTGTCTGACAACGAACTATAAAGCCGCCGTGTGTAGGTAGATCGGGTCATTCTGAACAGAAAAGTTATTTACCATTTTGCAAAATTGGCAATATTTATTGAGATATGAATTATTAAATGTAAGCCAATAAGGGCGCGGGGAGCGATGATCGGACTCTATAGGCGTGCACGATTATCAGCTGGAAAGAAAAATGGTTTCTCTCATGTCATGTCTTAGCAACGAGAGGCGGAGTAAACAAATAAGCGCGGCGCGACTCAGATTCTTGCGATCGGGCGCTATTCGGCAGTACGCAGCAAGCAACGGCGAGCGAGGGGTACCGGTGCGATACTCCTCGCTCGCCGCTGTATACTAGAAGTTTATCATTATGTAATTAAACTTCTCTACAATAAAAAGAAATATGGCAAAAGTATAGTAATAAACACTTCACTAACATCACATATATATGGCATTTTGTTTCTGTACAAATTAACTACAAAATATTATAATAATTTAATGTTGGAGTACGTATTACGTAGTAGTTTGGATAGATTTAATGTGCATCTTTTGCAGATACAATTTCCAAAACCTTGGTTCATACTGACTTAGAAATGCTTGTAATTGTCTAATTGTAGTCGGTCTTAAAGATCTATTTGGTGTCCATTTTATCACAGACGATGCAACAAGATCAAATCTGTGTCTGGAAAGACTGAGTAATGCAGATACAACACCTTCTTGTTGATCATCGGAACCTATGTAAAAATAAATGATAAAATTATGTTAAAAGCACATGTGACATACAATATGACATGCCGCACAGAGAGACTAGGTTTTTGTTGATGCAAGATCATTATTAATATTACTTTTACCAGATTCAATAATGTCACGAAGTTGTTCACTAATTTCATGCACTAATTTCTTGTCATCTTTTAATGGAAATGCATGTAAGAGTCTTCCTATAAATATAAAAAAACAAAGTTAACAATATACAATAATGCTGTTCAAAATATAAAAGCATATATAAAGAGAAGTGTAAAAGAAAAAAAGCATGTGTACCGAGTAAAGAAAACGCGCTATATATACAAGGATGTCTAGAACCTATGATCATTGGCAATAAATCACATTGAATAATATTTTTGTATGCCCAAAATGACCCTTGTCTTTTCGCAACGAGTATAATGGCTGTGTCCAAGTCCTCCGTACGTTTATCTACGACAAAAATATTATTGTTACACACAAACAAAACACAAAACAAGCGTATAAAAAATATACTTACTTTGAAGAATGGTTATAAGTTCTTTAACAAAATTGTTTACTTCCAAATGATTATATTCATAATATTTCGATATTAATGCTTTTAATTTCTTCACAGTTGTAGTCCGAGGATCCGTATTACTTGTAATATTAGACGCATTGATAAGAAAGGCTATGCACTTAGGTAAAATTTCTGCGAACATTTTCGATAACATATAGTTGTCATCATACATTTATATATTTTACATTACAAGTGATTTTATACATGTGATTAGTGTTGCAATTATATATTGTACAGTATGTTGGTTGCATTGTAACGTGAACAAACTGACAAAAGTGAATAAAAAAGTTCTATCTGTATATGTATATATATATATATGTGGCGTATATCGGTATATTATCAGAATATATACCTTTGTTAGTTTCAGCTTTCGGAAGAACTTCTGACCAGCACGTTAATATCGTGTACAAAATAGTCATTGACTTGATACTCAAGATGCAGTAGAGAGAATCACAGCACATCATGCGTACTTTTTCTCTATCTTTTTGGATAAGTGCGAGAACAACATATATTCGCGTGAGCGACTCAATTGCTGGCATCTACACATTACGTGGAATACATTAGAATCAATATTATTTTCAATATTTTATAGTAATTATTTATATAATTTCAATTTTTATTTTATTACACTTTTTGTTATATAAGTAAATAATATATTACAAACCTTTTCATCACTATTATGTTTAAACAGTGCATATTCAATAGCCATTTGTACAAAATAAATGACTGTGGGTTTCAACACCTTCAAATCGTTCAATAACGTTATAATCTTCTGTTCAAATGGCATCATTAATGGTGCTGGAGGAGTGAACGATTTATCCGGAACTTCATTATGAAATTCAGTGTATTTTGATACAAATGTAACTACACCTCTAAAGAATAATTATAATAGTTATATATTTTTCTTAATTTACATGCTAATACACATGCATAATAGGGTTTTATTAATTTATAATTCATGCAAATAATTTTTTTATCTTAACTACATCGTATATTCAAAAGACTGTAAAATATACTAACTTGGCTATAATACGAGGTCCGCATGTGGTATTCAATTTGTCTGTTACTTCAAAATGTACAGAATCATCCCAATCGCTATTTATAAGTCTCTGCAACTGTTTCTGTACAAACTTATCTAAAATGTATAATATATCGATTATAGGACTAATTTTGTCTGATTCAATTCAATGTCATAATTTACTACGTCAAATACCTGCTATTGTATGAATATGTGTTATTTTCTTCAAAGACCCTCTTGTGTTTCGCATTTCACGTTTGGTAGATTTCTGATCGATATATCTAATTAATTGAGACATTGGTGTATGAGATTCTTCGACATCATTGCGAAAAAACTGCATGAATGTTGATTCTTTGTTCTGTTGATTCAAATCTGTTTCAATTTCGATATCTTCATTAATGGATGAATCAGCTTGGCTAAGTTTGCTCTTTAAGCTTGTGATATTTTTCACCAAGGCATTGTCAATCACATCTTCTCTTTCTTTCTCTATTTTCGGTTTTTTCGTTGATATACAATGTTCGGTGACGATCAGCTTCCTCTTCAAACCCGTAATATTATTAGCTGACAAGCCCTCCTCATTTTTGTCCTCGTCTTCGATTCGTAATTCCGATTGTACAGAATTATAATCAGAGCACATTTCAACGTTTTTTTGCGTCCTTACGCACGTATTTTCCCGTGTCTTTTTTTTTAAGTTCCGAATTTTTTTAAATAAACGATTACTTTTATTTTGAACTTCTCCGCTTTTCTTTCTTCTTTTTGTTGCTTCCGCGGTATCAACGATATCGCGATCAAAGTTTTCTTCTTCAAGTGATAATACCTCCGTCGTTGTTAAATTATTCTCTCGCGTATCGATAGATTGTACGTTATTATCGTTAAATAAATTATCGCTGGTATGCAGTTCGTCATTACGTAAGTGTGATAGCTTATGATCTAAATGTGATGTTATCAATATATCTTCAACAAATGCTTCGCCAGCTTCTGCTGAATGAAAAGAAATACCTTTAGGAAGAAGCTCGTTATTTATTGCTTTCTCTTCTGTTTTATAAGTGTCAGTAGCACGACTGGATATATTTTTATCCGGTATTGAATTATTTGTATTTACGTGTAATGGAAACTCGGACTGTGCAATGTTTTTCCCTTCCGTAGCGTTATTGGTCTTGTCGTAAAGTGAATCTACTATATCCTCTTCGTTAATATTCTCAACTTGATAACAAACATTTTCAGAATTATCTTCATTACACGTGTCCATTTTGAATAACTTTTTTATCTTTTCCTTCATTTTCTTTCTTTTGATGTTCGATCGCTCTTTCGTGTCAACATTATGCACATTTTTCAGGTTTTCCATTGCCGATACTATTGCACCGCTTTTCTCATTGTAATATTCCGCTATGCCTTTGCAAATTGCGGTAACTAGATGAGAATTGAGCATAGAATCATTATTACAATTCATAACGTGACGATGACTACAAAGACTCGTATTTAATCTTTTCTTTGTTTTTCGCAATTTCTTCACTTCTTCCTCTAACGTTTCAATTCGGTTTTTTACATTTTTAAAAGCCAAAGAGTCTTCAGTCACTAAATCATCGGGGAAATCTTTTTTCGTAAAATTTATATATTCAGATGCAGCAAGTATCGCGGGGTTCGAGTTGTACTTATCAGATAAATTGGTAGCTGGCAAACGTACAGTACCACATGTATTATTCAATTTGACATTTTCGGAAGTTGACATTGCCGTAGACGGATATCCTGACTGAAATGTTTTTACATTTTCTGAATCAAATGAATTTAGGCACGGCATAGATATTTTGAAACGAGTATTCTCAATTTTATTTGTAGAATTTGAATCTGAAAATTAACGAACGCTTTAATTGTTCATAAAACACAACATAAAAGGTGATAACAATGTATAATAAAAAAGAATATTTGTGTAAAACATTGATATTCTGTTATCGTAATTCATCTGGCAATTAATTTATTGATATGTTACTTACTGAGTAAATAAGATGGCCGATACGCTTTTATTGGTGAAAAAAGAAAATTATTTTCAATTAATTGCGGATGTGTGCTCATTGTTTTGCATATTTTTTCAGGAAGTAGAGTTGGAGACAAACGAGCTTCACACTTGCTGCAAAATAATGGATACGGATCATCCTTCATACTGTAAAATTCATCGGTCATAATACTTTTATTTTGCAACTCAGGTTTTACATCAATAGCACTTTCACGCATTTGTATCGGTGTTACGTTGATACCAACATCTGAAGTTGACTTCGTTTCTATCAAAGAGATAATAAATTAAAAATAATAAGTGTATAATAAAATTTAATTTTTGTCATCAGCGTATTCGATACTTACTTATATTCAGTTCAGCAGTATCGGTGCAAATGATTTCTTTTTCTCTTCTCATAGATTTCATTTTAAGCTTTTTCAATTCATGTTCTAAACTTCTAATTTTTTCTACCAAAAAAAAGAAAAATGTTTTATTGTTAAAAGTGTACATCAAATAAGTTAATAAGATTAGAAGTCGTATAAAAAAAAAAAAAAAACTATACAGAAATGTTTGAATCGCTAACCTTTTAGAGAAGAATTTTGCAAGTTATATTCCATAATTTTAATTGAATGTTCTTCTTCCATTGACTTTATTTTACAGTGTAGTTGTCGTATAGTTTGTTTACTGGCAGCTACATCTACCTTATATTCATTTATGTTCTTAGTCAACTCTTCAGTTTTCTGTTTATTTTCTGCGATTTCCTATAAAATTGTAGTATATCAATCATTTTATAAGTTATGTGATTTTTCTATAAAAATTAATTATTATATTTACTAGTTATTATTCAATAAAAGTGATATTAACCGTTCAAGCCAAAAAATTTGTGTCTCTTTGATGTAAAACAAATAAAAAAACTATTTTATCAGCATTAAAATGTTAAAAATGTTTCTACAAAAGTTACTCAAAAACTGGTAGCTTTTGTATACACTTATTATCAGCATTCCACAATAATATTTTGTTAAATTTCTTTTACAGAACATTCACTTAAAAATGTTCAGCTTGAAAGATTATAAGTTTACTTATATCCTACAAAATTTACCAAAAAAAAATAAAGATAACAGAAATATAAAAATAATCTACCAATTAAACAGTTAATTAAAAAAAAACCAAAACTTATATACATATATATTTACTTACAAGTTCTAATTCCTTTGTTTTATCCTTAGCAGATTTATAATTAGATATTATATTCTTAGTTTCTTTCTTAGCAAGTTCCAAATCTGCTTTTAAATTATCATTTTCTCTCACTTTCTCAGTATATTGCTTAATTAAATCACTAAAATAAAAAAAATATCTATGACAAAAATGTTTACATATTATGTACTAAAGATGTGCTTAAATAAATTATAAAATAATATGCTTTTTAGTATCTAAATACTTATAATCAGTATACTTACTGAGTCTTACACATTTTTTGTTTCAATAATACAATTGTTTCCTTTATTTTTTCTGTCTTTAAGTTGTATTCCTAAAATTAAGACAAAATTTTTGATTATAGTTTTGCACTTATATTTTTTTATAAGTAATAAAAACAAATATAAGACTTATAAAAAAAAAACTTTTATATTTAAACTTACACATATGCAAAAATAAATGTAATAACAAATTAGCAGAAAATATCAAAATCTCAACTTATTATAACATAAAAAATATAGAAAAACTATAGAAATACTATTATATCAAACATAGTGCCATTAATAATTTTTCAACCATGTGACTATTTTTTTACAGAATATAATGCGGTGAGTGTGAAAGTATGTGTATAATATACAAACATATATTTATAAGCTCTGTGTATATACAACATTAAAAAATGTCTTGAAAATTACATTAATTTCTTTTTCTGTATATCCCAGATATTAACTTAAATGAGTAAATTAAAAATAAGCACGAGATACTTACCAGAACGTCTACGACGTCGTTCAAATTTTTGCTGTTGTTATCCATTTCTGCTACATAACAACACGTAGTATTCACTTCAGATTGTTCACGCATTGTTCGTAAGAATTGTACATTTGTGTTTACATATTTATTTGCTGGTAATTTATGAAAAAGGTGCAAACACTACACACACACACTGGAAGACTCTGTCAGTCAATATCTGTGAGCTGTGAAAGAAAACAGAAACAGAAGAGGTTATGTTCTTTTTTTCGGCTTAGTTTGGTGCGAATGTGCTACAATACGCAAATACGCCGAGACGATTTGATTGGCTGACGCAAATTACGCTCTATAGGTTTGTTCGCGTCGCATGCCCCAACATACTCCTACTCGCCCCAACGCGCCCTAACAGCGAATTCGGTAGCCTGCATTACTGCGCACTAAGTGCGACTTTTTTTATTGAAAGAGTTTATTAAAAAAGTTTTGAAGTTTCATTAAAGTTTCATTGAAAAAAGCACGTTGGAGCGAATAGGACCATGCGACGCGAACAAACCTTAGGTTTGTTTTTTTTCCCTAAACTGGCTGCACTAGTTCACAGTCTATCTTTTTTTATCCATATCAGAAAGAAAAAGATAGACTGTGAACTAGTGTATCCAGTTCAGGGAAAAAAAACAAACCTCTTATGTAAAAGCAGCTTCAGAGAATCGATTGAGGTTGAGTCCATACGCCATGATACTCTTTTTTTTCACATTTATTGGGTGTGTTTAGCCGAAGTTAGCGCTACGTAGCGCTACGTAGCGGCTTCATGTAGCAGTTGCACCTGCTGCGTTACTTCTGCTGGACAGTATTGCTACGCGCAGCGCTTTTTGTAAGCGCAAATATGTTTGTATACAAATCGCCGTTGTATTCTTCGGTTGCTAAACTGTGTTTTTTAATTATTTATAAAAATGGCAAAAAAGTGTCAAAGTATTATAATTGGGACGGTATTATTGTAAATGGCGGCCACTACTTAGAACATGCTGCGCGTAGCAATACTGTCCAGCAGAAGAAACGCAGCAGGTGCAACTGCTACATGAAGCCGCTACGTAGCGCTACGTAGCGCTAACTTCGGCTAAACACACCCATTGTCCGAGATCTTTCAGATTATCGCCTTTAAGGTCGAAGCACAGACTTTTACATAACGCATAAAGGTACCTTTTCATACAGCAGCACGCTGCGGCAGCAATACGTCACGTGACTCATATTTTCTAGGACTGCTTCCGCTGCTGTATGAAAAGGTACCTTAAGCCTAATATTACATTTGTTGTACAACAAAGATTTTAAGTATGTTGAGTGGCTATCAGATAGAGTTTTATAAAGAACTCTATTTGATAGCCAATCAATATATTTAAAATCTTTGTCGTACGACAAATGTAATACTAGCTTAACGCGTTGTACATAACGCATTGCCGCGTCCTGTCTGCGAGCAGCCCTCTGATCTGAGATTTTTGGACTACAAAGATAAATAGTAGATTTCGCGCATGCGTTTACAACTTTACATCAAAGCTTGTTTCCCGCCAAACATTACTTACAAAGATCAGCTAAGTGATACTTATGTCTTTTCATTGACAAACGACATTTGCAGGAAAGATATGGACGATTCACAATGTAAGTAAATGTTTTAGCGTTATGTGAGATAGCAATGCAATTCTAACCAAGTTGTAGTACGAGAAATAGATTTGTTGAATATACATGTAGATAGTACATTTTCATTTTGATATGAATTTCTTCGATATTCTGCAACTTATTTGTTACACTGGTAACATAGAAATTGTTGATTTTATTCTAAAATCATGTTTTAGCATCCTTGTCTAGCAGAACTAAACGTCAAAAAACCGATAAGACCTCCAGATTTGCAGCTTTGGAAAAATTGAAGGAAGCTCGAAGTAGTGGTAAACGCAAGTATGAGGTTGAGGAGCTAAAAAACATATATGATCAAGTGGATGAGAAGGAGTACAGTAATACTGTACTTAAACGTCAACGTGATGATTGGATAGTTGATGATGGTATAAGAATTTATATATACACATTATTATAATAAAGTTAAAAATTTACATATTAAGCAATATAGTTGTTTGAAAAATTTTTCAAGCAAAGAACCTTTAAGAAATTTAGCACAAAATTTTGCTTCCTAGAATTTGCTTTATAAAAACATATATATACATGTATAACACTAATAGATATAAGTTGAGTTTAAATATAAATAAAAATATTAAATTAAAGGAGAAAGTGGATATATTGAAGATGGAAGGGAAATTTTTGATGATGATTTGGATGAGGAAAGCATTTTTGAAGCAAGAAAACAGAGAAATAATATGGCTGGCCCCAGAAAAAAAAGGAAAGAAGAAAGTAAAAAGAAAGGAGATATTCAAAGTATGATTAGAAACATGCCATCTAAGAAAATCAATTCAGCAGCAGTTAAAGATGATGATATTTTGGGAGAGTTGCTCAGTGAGATAGGTTGCACCAGCAAGAACATAGAGAATAAACTTTCATCATCAGCAAACAATGTAAAGACACAAACAAACAGCACTAAAACAGATATACAAAACACTACATACAAAATAAGTGAATGTGAAAACATTGCAAGTAAGACTAGTGTAGATGAAACCACCGCATGTGAAACTTTCTTTAAAGACACAGAAAATAACGGTATAATGGATTTGATGGAAGTACCTTCAGAATTAATGGAAGAAGATAATTTTTCTTTGTCACCAAACGACATAAAATCTGAGAATAATGGGAAAAATGTAGAAAACTCTGAATGTAAAACTCTATCAAAAGATATAAAAGTAAATAATGATGTTGATTTAACAGAAGTAGTGCCGCAGCAATTAATTAAGACAAATGAAGTTTCATCGCCAGCAAGTAGTAAACTTCAGAGTCGTAAAACAGATGTGCAGAATGCTTTGTGCAAAACTTCTGTTAAAGATATTAAAGTTGGTAATGCCATTGATTTGACAAAAGTAACACCGCAATTGATCAAGACAAAAGATGAAGAAGTTTTCAGATTCTACTATTTAGATGCGTACGAAAATCCTCTCAAAAATCCCGGAACTGTATATTTCTTTGGAAAAACTTACATCGCAAGTCATGATACTTATGCCTCGTGTTGTGTTATGGTACACTGTATACCGAGGAGAATATACCTTTTACCGAGAAAATACGTATGTATAGTTGTACAAGTTGTATCCTACTTTCTTTTTTAATGAGCCAATAATTTTATTATTTATTAATTTAAATGTAACATTTTTTGTTATGTAAATTTTAGCTGAAGACTTCTAAAACAGAAGAACCACAACTTACTACGATGGAGGATGTGTATAAAGAATTCGATAAGCACGCCAATAATCTGCATATAATGGAATTTAGTTGCAAAGAAGTGAAGAAGCATTATTCCTTTGAAAAAGAAGGTACACCAAAAACTTCCGATTACTTGGAAGTCAGATATAGCGCGCGTTATCCAGCGATCGATGCTGATTACTCGGGACCGGCGATCGAGCGCGTCTTCGGTACAACGGTGAACGCATTAGAACTGTTACTTATAGAACGAAGAATCAAGGGACCTTGCTGGTTGGATGTTAAGAATATATCACCAACTCCAGGACGGTTTTCTTGGTGTCCGCAGATAGTAAGTGAATATATGTATCATATATATATATATCAGAGATTAATAGAAGAAACGATAGAAATTCGCGTTTTTATTTTTGCAATGTGCAACAGATCGTTACTTCCGACATGAACAATGTATCACTGTGTCCTCAAGACAACTCCAAGCCTCCAATGGTGATAGCGACTTTGAATGTGAGGATGTCCTTAAACACGAAGTTGGTGAACGAAGTTGTGATGGTTGTTGTATTAATTCATCACAAATACAATGTTGATAAGGAACCACCAAAGCCGCTTTACGATCATCAAATTTGTTGTACGTCTACTTTTCGCGTAGTATTATTGTATTTTTATTATCATCTGATTGATTTGTTATGTTTTGCAGTTATCACACGTCCCCGAGATACTCAATGGCCGCGACAAATACGAGATGCTTTTTCGAGAGTCTCAAATATCGAAGTAATAAAATGCGAAACCGAAAGCGAGTTGCTTGAAGAGCTTTTAGCTCTAATGCAGAAAACAGATCCGGACTTAATAATAGGCTATGACTGCGCGTTTCAATTTGATGTTCTGATGCAGAGAATGTTTACATTAAAAGTGTCAAATTGGACCAGAATAGGAAGATTAAAATCAACGAATCCTCCTTTGCTTAGGGGGAAGATAATTCTTAATCAAGCATTTGTTGGTCGTCCAATTTGCGACATACAGATTTCGGCAAAAGAATTAAATTTAAAAGTAAGAAGTTACGATTTGCAGTCACTCTGTTGTGCGGTATTAAAAACGAAAGAACACGAGTGTAAAGAGATAACACCAGCGGAGACTTCGTCGTTCTACAATACAACGGACAAAGTGTTAAATTTAATAAATACGACGTTAAAAGAAACAAGATATATCATGACCATGGTTATGGACCTGAATGTTATACCGCTCGCGTTTCAAATCACCTGTTTAGCTGGTAATATTTTATCGAGAACTCTGTTAGGCGGAAGAGCCGAGAGAAATGAATATTTGTTGCTACATGCTTTCCATCTGAAAGATTATATAACACCGGACAAAAAAATTGAAAAGAAACGACGAAATGATGACGGTCCGCGTAGAAAAGCCGCAGCATATACCGGAGGTTTAGTGCTCGAACCAAAAAAAGGCTTCTACGACAAATTAGTTCTTCTAATGGACTTCAATTCCTTATATCCGAGTATTATACAAGAATATAACTTGTGTTTTACTACTGTACTTGGTGCTGGATATGCTGATTTTGAACATTTAAGTATTCCCGAGTCAAATCTGGATCCCGGTGTAATTCCAACTGAGATTCACAAGTTGGTCAAAAGCAGGCAGCAAGTTAAACAACTAATGAAAACACCGAATTTAACGCCGGAACAGAAAATGGATTACCATATCAGACAAATGGCGTTAAAACTCACTGCCAATTCTATGTATGGATGTTTAGGAGCGACGCATTGCAGATTTTATGCTAAAGGCTTGGCCGCTTTGATAACAGCCAAGGGTCGAGAGATTCTGGAGAATACTAAACATCTGGTCGAGAAATTGCAGTACGATGTGATTTATGGTGATACAGATTCTTTGATGATAAATACTAACATTCTTGAATACGATGACGTTTTCTCTATCGGTAGAAAAATTATGCGAGAAGTCAACAACCGGTACAAGAAAGTCGAATTGGATATCGACGGAGTGTTTCGATATTTATTGCTTCTACAGAAAAAAAAATACGCCGCCGTTACAATGACAAAATTGCCAAATGGTCAGATACAATTGGCACAGGAACACAAGGGTCTGGATATCGTGAGAAGAGATTGGTGTCCGTTGGCTTGTGACACTGGAAAAAAAGTTTTGGATATACTTCTTTGCAATCAAGCAGGCAAAACTCGCATTGAACAAATTGAGCAAGTTCTGCAAAATGTTACTAAAAGTGTGAAAGAAGCAACGGCGCCGTTATCGTCATTCGTTATTACTAAACAATTATCGAAGAATCCAGATGCATATCCAGATAAAAAGCAATTGTCTCATGTAATAGTAGCGCTGAGATTGAACAAAGCAGGCGGTCGGATGTGGAAAGCCGGAGATACTCTACCCTATGTTATATGCGAGGATGGAACTAACGCTAGTGCGACAGAGAGAGCTTATCACATAGACGAAGTGAAAAATAATGAGAAATTAAAGATCGACGTTACTTACTATTTACTGAGTCAAATATTTCCTGTAGTGTTGCGAATTTGCGAACCGATAGAAGGCATTGACGACGTCTTTCTAGCCAACAATTTAGGTTTAGAATACGTTTACAAGCCTAAGACGATAGCTTGTGAAGCAACACTGGATTTGCCACTGGCCATCGTTGATGAGAGGTTCAACAATTGCCTTCCTTTAACATTTAAATGTAGAAATGAAAAATGTAATACAGAAATAGTAATTAAAGATACCATAACAGAATTTCATTCTGGCCGGCAATTGTCACTAAGCATGTGTCTCAATCCAGATTGCAAATTGCCACCGTGGAAATATGCAAACGTGATACAAAATGTAGCTCAACTTGCAATGAGAAAGGCGATTACCAAGTACTATAATGGTTGGTTAGAATGCGAAAATCCACTCTGTTCCAACAGAACAAGAAAACTGCCGTTGGATTTTGCGAAGAAATTTCCGGATTGTTCAGTATGCAAGGACGTTTTCATGAACAGAGTTTATTCCGGGACCGATCTCTACAATCAATTATACTACTATTATAAAATATTTGATATCAATCAACCAGCTTATAAACATCTGCTGTCCCAATGTTCGCGGGATATGATAGCTGCATACAATACACTAAAAGAGACGATTGATAGACAATTGAAGCGAAACAAGTTCTCGTGTGTCAATTTTACAGGAATATTCGGTAACATTAATACCAACGATCCTTTGGGAAGTGTCGGCTCGAAGGAAGATTTCGACGAATTAGGCGATCTGTCCGATGATACGGATAAAGAAGTTTAGGAAAGAGAAACACATCTCGAGTAATTATTAAATAACATTTTAAATATTTCATGTTGGTTTTTTTTTAATAATCCGTACATGCAATATATAAACTGCTGATTGCAGAGAATATATTATAAATATTGGTGATATATATGTATATATCACAAAACGTGTTAATAAAACAAAAGAGACTGCAAATAGAAACATTTAAAAAATAAGTTACCTTTATTTTTATATAAGATAAAAAAATTACTTCTGAATTCCGTGTTGTACGTGATAAATTGAAAAGTAGACGTACTATGTTACATACGGCGGAAGCCCGAATTTTTCTGGTTGAAAATTCTCGAGACTGTCTAGTACAAGGGTAGCTTGCTTCGTGTAACGTTTAGGAAGCATTGAGTCTGGTATCATAACGACTTGCATTCCGGCGTTTAGTGCCGCTTGCACGCCGTTTGGTGCATCTTCGAAGACCAAACACTGAAACAGTTCTCAGTTTCTCTTGAATACACAGATGCAGGTAATTTAATATTTGCAATTAATCTTCGGGAATATATAAAGTTTCAATCGTATTTGGTAAATACAACTTCATTATTCGAGAATTAAACGGTATCCGAAGATGTTACCTTTGAAGGATCTGGATTGTCGGGAAAACGCTTGGCGGCTATGAGAAATACATCAGGTTCCGGCTTTCCGTGAGCGACTTCAGGATCTGAGCCGCCAAGCACTCTGTGGTGAAAGAGTCCGAAGAGATCGTGCCAATGTCTAGTTTTTAGCTCATAGTTCTCACGATCCGAAGATGTAGCTAATGCAATTGGAATGTCGTTTTCTTTCAAGTGCTTTAGGAGACGTACGGCACCTGTTAATTGTGCGCAGGGTATATTACATATTATGAATCAAAAGTACTTTATTATCAGCCAAAAATGCAGATTGTGGATTGTTACCTGGCATAGGACTAGTGTGTGGAAACAACTCCCGATAAATTCCGGTGATCTCTTCTTTAAATTCGTCCACTGTTAATGGTAGCTCTAACGTTTTTACTACGTAACCGGCGACGTCTTTGGTCTTGAAACCCATTGTTTGCGCCTTATGCTCCCATGTGAATTCCTTGCCGTAGCGATTTGTGATACGGTTAAAAGCCTCAGTGTACAAGTATTCTGTATCTAAAAAAAAAAGAAACATTGTGACATATATATGTGACTTGCGATCAAAGAAATTTCTGAGCTATACTATACTTCCAAGATACTTACTAAGCAACAAACCGTCCATGTCAAAAATACAATGTGTCACTTTGTTGTATGTGTCAGTCGACATTTTGCAAATTAAATTGCAGATTTAATTTGAATCACGGGTCAGAATTAAGAAACGTAGTATCTCAGGAGCGTGTCTTTGCGACATTGAAACGCTGATAGCAAACGAAAAAAACTGCTATAAAGATTGTGATGTTAACATCAGCTGTTTTATCTGTTGTCTTTTATATAACACCACTTATTTCTTCTTTATCACATTATGTTAAAATTGCAGAAATTGATATCTTGTATTAATGTATGAAATAATTATTTATAATCTTAGATAAGTTTTATAATTATAGAAGCAAGTTTGTAAACTTTTAGCAACACACTTTTTGATATATATAAATCTTTATTACATTGTTTTTAGAAAAATAGAAAAGTGTTTTTTTGCTTTATGTTGAGATTATTCTTAATATATATGCAAATGCGTATAGATTAATAGTTTTTTTTTTAAATAAAATTGCTGCAAGAAAAACACACACACACACACATTTTTACGATTTCAGAATTATGTATAAGAGAATTGTAAAAAATATACTGTGTGACAATTAAAGAAAAAAAATTTATTTTTAGAAGATTTTCTTGAAAATATTCTTTTTAACACTTATGGACATACAGAAAGCATAAAAACATTTAAGATTTTCTGTTCAGTATGTGTTAAAAATGTGCGGACGGCCCTTGGGGCCACACAAAACACACAAAATAGCATAATAATTGCATAACATAAGACTGGTTTAAAAAACTCAACGGTTGAGAGATCGTCACTTATGATAGGACTATTCTTCAAAACCTGCTACGATTCCAAAAGTATGATCCAATCATAAGTGATTATCTCTCAACTGTTGTGCAACTGTTGAGTTGTCTGAACGCACCCACTGTCTCGCGATCAATGAGCATCTGTAGTTTAAAATCTTTATATTGATTTACAGAGCACAAAACTGTGTTCTACTGAGGCTTCTCTCTATCATGAGCTATCCATTTTGTAACGATATGCTTATATCGGGAGCTTTCCAGCTACGTACACAGGCGACACTGTGTAACACAATGTCCATTAGTGTGAGAAAGAGCGTATCAGTGTGTCTCATTCACACTAGTGGACACTGTGTTGCACAGTGTCGCCTGTGTACGTAGCTGAAAAACTCCCATCGCATGTATGTACGTGCATACATACATACATACATACGTCGTATTTGTTGCACAGCATCGTCGCCTTGTGGAACAAAATCTCCCTATCTTCCCAGTACTTAAGATTTATCATGACGAGGTCCAAGAATCATTGGACATTTAACGAGTGACAGTGCTCGACAAAAACAGATCAACGATCATGGATCAGCTGATTATTCTTATATCAGCAGTGCATCTGTTATATTGTCCATTCACGAAAGTCGAGGAAAGTTTCAATTTACAGGCTATGCACGATATTCTTTATCACGGTTTCAATCTATCCGAGGTAATGATTGAAAATTCAAATAAAATAGTTTAGCATTATTCGGTGAAAAGTCGAGTTTGAAAGCTCAGGTAGAACGGTGATTGTGTTGTCTATCAAGCTGCCGAGCATGCAAAACAAAGAGTATAATATTAAATTTAGCAGCAGATGCGCATATTTATAAACCTGTGATCAACTGATGTATCTAATTGTTCAAGAGATGCAATAAACCGCAATTTTTTTTTTTTTTTTAAATTTGTTTTTGAGAAAGAGAAAAAGAATTATTACATTTAAACACATTGTCTTTGTTTTCAATAGTATGATCATCATGAATTTCCTGGAGTTGTGCCACGTTCTTTTCTGGGACCTATTATAGTATCTGGTATTGCCTCACCACTAGTGGCAGGCATTAATTATCTGAAGCTCAATAAATTTTTTGCTCAGTATATAGGTAAATATACTTTTAAATATTTCTAACTATTTTCACAATAATTAAAGCTATATTATCTTGCAGTAAGAGCAATATTAGGATTACTAGTAATAATTACTCTCAAGTTGTACAGACATGCTTTACAAAATATTTTTGGACTGCAATTTACAAAATGGTTTGTTGCTGTAACTGTGACACAGTATCATTTCATGTACTATCTTAGTCGTCCACTACCAAACATAATGGTTATGCCCTTAGGTAATACTTTTATCTATGTATAAAAATACTCTTATAATTTTTATTATAAGATTATTGGAGAATAATTATAAATATTTCTACATTCAAAGCTGCAAATATGGTCAAGATATTTGCATTATTAGTTGTGACATTTTGCAATTGATTTTTTTGTTTAATTGACATAATGATACATTTTTTAGTGTTACTGGCTTTATTTGGATGGCTGAAACAAAATCATATAATGTTTATTTGGTCGTCAGCTGCAGCAATAATAATATTCAGAGCGGAACTCGCTATACTCTTAGGATTGTTCCTTTTATATGATATAGCCTACCAGAAACTTTCTGTATCAAGGTATTTACATACAAATTCATGGACCACATTGATTCGTAATATGGCTGTAAGATTACAAACAGAAGTGATTAAAATCATCAAGAGGCCTTCTGCAAAACTGCACAAATTTTGTAAGCTTTGTTACGCTATCAACTAACTTGATTTATAGTTCTGCATCAACAGAAAAATTTCTCTATTATATAAACATAACATTTTTCTATTGCATTGAGTTTACGCAACGTATTTTCTAATTATAATCATTTTAGATTACTTAAAATTGCGATACCAGCCGGTATATTGTTCCTAGCGCTTACGGTTGCTACAGATTCAATATTTTGGAAACGCTTGGTATGGCCGGAAGGAGAAGTATTCTACTTCAATACTATTCTCAATAAAAGCAGTGAATGGGGCGTATCCTTTCCAGAGATAATAAAATATTTCTGATTGTTTTTATAAGTATATAAGTAAACTTAACACATGTAAATAGACATCACCATTTTTATGGTATTTTTATTCAGCTTTACCGAGAGGATTGGCATTTTCGTACTTTTTGATTCCTTTGGGAATATTCTGGGACGCGAGAGTTCGTGTGCTCACTGTTCCAGCTATTACTTTTGTTGCGTTGTTTTCGTTTTTGCCGCACAAAGAATTGAGATTTATTATATATGTGTTTCCACTGCTGAATGTTGGCGCGGCCGCCGCTTGCCATAGAATGTAGGTACTCCTGAATTTTAAATTTTTGTGATTCTTTTACTTACTATAAAAATTTCTTGCTAAAATTTAGATGGGAAAACAGAGCAAAAACAACATGGAATGGTTTTTTAGCAGTAATAATCTTAAGTCATCTTGCATTAAATATCGTGTTCTCCATGTTTCTTCTATGCGTGGCTGGCTCTAATTATCCCGGAGGTCTGGCAATTGCCAGATTACACAGACTTGAGAAACACTCTGTTGAACCAGTGCACGTACATATTGACGTGTTGACCGCGCAAACTGGAGTGTCAAGATTTACACAGACCAATTCTTCTTGGATGTAAGTGTCTTTTACCTCATCATTATTTCAATAAATATATTGTGAAATATATTTATTGTAGTAAATATATTGTGAAAGACTTGTTTAACTCTGTTTCTCTCATGATACTTTTGATAAAATATTACAGTTACTCGAAACAAGAGAACTTGACTATTGATGATCCTGAAATGCTACAGTTTACTCATCTTTTGGTGGAAGCGGGAAGTAAATACTCTCCGAATTTAAAGCCCTACCTTGAAACTCACGATATTATAGATTCTATCGACGGATTCTCACATATAACTTTAAATTATAACATGTTACCGCCAGTCAGAATCAAAACAAAACCCACAATATTTATTATGAAAAGAAAACCGAATATCAAATATGATTTTGACAAAACAAGATCAGGAGTATCTACAAAAGATTTACCGAAAAAAGCGGGTAATATGAAAAATATAGGATTAAACATATCACATGAAATCACAAAGACAATAGAACCACTATTTAACGACATTATGGAGTCATTGGAAGAATTTGCAAAACCGGGAGAAACTGACAAACAAAATTTTTCAAATATTGGTCTTGAAGAGTTTAAAAAATCGAATAATTACACTGTAGAGAAAGCAGAAAAGCTTAATGGCTTGATAGATTACAACGTAACATTTATGGAAAATATTACTCAAAAGGAGGATTTGAATAACTTATTGACAGAACTAAAAGATAGCAAGACAAGTTTTCAGGACAACCTTGATGATATTTCTGACATAAACAAAGCCAAATCTGAAAACATAAAATCAAAAAATGAAGAAGAAAAAATTATTAATGAAAAGTCTAAGGTTGATCTGAATATACGTCAACAAAGTTCTAGCGTTAAAGAAACACTTAAAAAACTTATTCAAGAAAAGATATTGGAAGTTAAACAGAGAAAAGAGAACAATAATGAACAAAAAACTACAGAACTTCCAATGAAGTCACTGAAGAAAAAAGGGATTGCAATACAATTGCCAAAAAGAATGAAAGTATTAAAACAAGAATTGAAAGATCAAACAATTGCAGATAAATCTGCGACATCGGAACAAAAATTTGAGAGTGTAAAGGAGCAAGCATACGATGAAAATAAAACTACCAAACAAATTGCACGTAAAGTAGACAAAACTGCGGCATCCAAGTTAAATATTAGTCTGGAACAAATCGTGCAGAATGAAGATATTACTATAAAAAAAGAAAATGAAACAGATGCAAAGAAAGCAGACTCACAGACTTTCGATGAGTCTAATGCACAAAAAGAGTTATCTATATCTGAAAGAAAAACTGAAGATAAAGATAAAGAAAAAAACATAAAAGTATCACAATCAATTAATGCACGAGAAAGTATACGAAATATAATAAATCAATTTAGAGAATTTGAAAAAGAATTTATATATGATGATACTAATTCGATAGTTCCAACGACGAATGACATGAATAATGCAAATGTTGATGGTGATTCTTATAGAACACAAAAAGACATTGATTCTTTTCCAGAGAGTAAAACTCAACTAATGACAAAAGATGCTAGAGAAAGTCTGAAAGAGATAATAGATCAATTTAAGTACATTAAGCATGAATTAACTTTGGAAGAGGACGATCGGTTTGATGAAATTGCGGCAAAGTATATGGAACAACCAATTGACGAAACATTGATGCAGTTTAATGAAGCTCTGAAAACTTTGATGCAACGAAGAAAACAAACTGTGCCACAAAAACACGCATCTAATCTAAACTACGATAATAATTACACATCAGAAAAACAAAGAAAATTAGAGATGGAAAAAAACACACAAGAAGCAATAGAACAAAGAAAGAAAATAAAAACTGTTAAAAACAGTCACAAGAATGATCATCCAAAAATTGTAAAAGTAAAGCTGAAAGAAAGAGATAGTGATGTAAACAGACCAAAACAAGATCCTATGATCACTATAGCAAATAAATACACCAATACATTAACAAAAACTGAAGATACAAATAATCAGAGACATAGAGAGGATACTTCAAATAATGTACATAAAGTTGACAGCGAGAGAAAGAAAATATAGAAAAATATCGAAAGTAATTATAAAGTGGCTAATTAGAATGCTTTACAAGATTATAAACTTTATCAAATCGAAATAGCTGTGCAATGTATATATATATATATGTACACATATATTTAGACACTTGTTTCTGTGATATATTAAAACAATACTTTCGAAATAATACGAATAATATAAATACTTTTATCATATTTTAAAATATTTGCAAGAGTAAATTGTCTTATTTAAATCTTTCCCAAAATTTAAAATAGTGTTAACTATTTTGTATACATACATGTACATAAAGAAATGTAGTTTTGTATGTATGTGTGTGCATAATGTATCAATGTTTTGCATAAAATAAAACTGTTTTAATTTTAAACCTGTTTTAATTTTTTAGCTTGTAGACAAGTTTTGATTTTTGTTGTTTTTTTTTGCAACTTCTAATTACTCATTCATGTATTTCAGATCATGGGTGTGATTACTGGAATATTATTTCATTGAGATTAAAATAGTTACCACATCTTTGTGATAGTATAAACTGACATCAGTGTGTTACATAAAAACCATGCTATTGTAATCCTAAATAATAGTCTATCTCGTGTCCCTTTTAGATAGACAGGAAGTCCGTCGTCGCACTAGAAAAATAAATACTGTATTAAATGTATATAGTTTATTCACACAAATTGTCAAAATGTTCTCAAGTCATATTTACCTGCATTTTTGCTTGCTTCAATTTGAATTTTTGAAACTTTATATCATTTATTAGAAGTCGACGATTTATACTGAATGATCTCCGTGACAATACATCGTAACCACGTTGAATCTAAATTTACATCAATACGTATCTAGTTTTTAAATCGATCTTTATACGATGGAACTGTTTGATGCGTTACCTTCCACACGTTATTCATAAACATATTTGAAATTCCTAATGTACATTTATTATAACAATTCTAATCAATCTGCCTTAAACTCTTTATTAATTCTAATCAATTTTATATTGTTAATAACATGCAATACTTATTTTGTTTTTTTATTACAAATTGGTTGCTAGGAAATAAAATATTTCAGTGGCTGCTTCGAGAAGCGCGCGTCATTCTATCTTTGTTTTAATATTTAATGATTTTTTAATGAGCGAACGCTAGTGTCAGCAAATTCAATTAAGGGCTATCGTACACAAAATAACATAGCCTTTAACTATATAAAAACATAGCTGCGTATGCATAGCATAGCGTAAGACCATTTTAACCAATGAGAGTTTAGCATAAAGTAACCATATATTGATTTACATAAAACTATGCTAGATGCTCATTGGTCCAGATAGTCCTATGCTATGCATATGCACTCTATGGGTAAGTTTCACTTACCGTTTGCAACGCTCATTAGCATTACCCTATCTTTGTTTCACTTTCTCTGAAAAACAAGGATAAAATGATTTCATGAGCGTTGCAAACACCAAGTGGAACTTACTCATGATGATGACTGAGATGGTCAGCTGATCGTTTTCTTTACTGCGCATACACCAAATTTGTCCTACTCCAGAACTTTCCTCTCAATTCCATGTTTATACCATGTTTCTCCATATCTGCGCAAGAAAATATTACACCGCGGCACAGCTGCGCGCAAGAGTGTCGAGTCGAGAGACGATTGACGCATGCGCACTCATTAGCCGAATATATAGTCAGTAAACAAGATTTTTTCTGGTTCGATCGCGCGGATTACGCACCTACGAGGTGGACAGGTATATCGCAAGAGTGCATCGCGATTCTGCCGCGTTTCCGCGCGAGCCCACGCGGAGTAAGATGATACCGACGACGTCGCTCGGAGTCTCGTGATACACAAATATTCACGGTCTGTTGGTATGCGGTGACGTTATCCAAGATCGTTCTAGAAGAATTTCGCAAGACAATAATGGCGGGTGCGTATTTTATATGGCGTTGGAGGAGAACGTTGACGATGACGATGACGATGACGACGACGACGACGACGACGATAACGACAACGCCGCCGTCGCCGTCGCCGTCGCCACCGCCACCGCTACCGCTACCGCCACCGCCACGCCCCTTTTTGCGGTCACGTTCGTCGATCAATTATCTTTCATGTATTCGCATCGTATTTCTTGTTTTTCGTTTCAGATTTGTACGCTAAGTACAACTGCACCTATTGTCAAGAAGACATCGTGGGTCTGCGTGTCAAATGCATTGTGTGCCCCGAATTTGACCTTTGCTTGCAGGTGAGTCGGCCATTTGAATTTCTGAAATATCTGTTACAGATCACGTGACCACGCCCTCTTCTTCATGCCACATTTTTTGTCCTTTCCTTGCTTTTTCTCTAGTTCGTTTCTCCCATTTGTTCCTTCTCATTTTTATCTGTTTTGTGATTCTTGCAATAGGTTTGTAGTAATGTTGACTTTTATTTTTTATGATTTTGTATATATTTTCCTTTGCCACAATCTCATCGCCTTTTCTCTTTCCCCTTTTATTTCATTCTTATCCAAATCTGTGAATGAGGAGGTTATTGCCTAATAAAAGTGCACGTGGCAATTTGGCGGATATTTTAAAGTGTAATGCTTTTATGTAATAAAGTTTTAATAGTTTTTGATGTGTTACAATTTGGAGATATTTAGAAGAATCACAGATTTCTAAGATGCAACATAATTTTTTAACTCTGCTATCAATCTTATTATTAAAGTTGTTCAATTTGTTTATATTCTGTACTTTGCTTGGCTATTGAGATAAATATAATTAATAAGAAATAAACAAGATGCATGAGATGTCTAAGCATTCAAAATATTTATAAAAATTTTAAAACTGGTTGTATATTGGTATATTTTTATAAGTAATATATGTATGTTAATGTTTACATGAATATATATATCTTATATTTTGCACTAACATCTACATTTGACTCTAAAATCTTTGATATGATGTACATATGAAGAGACACTAAAAGAAATACTTAATTTTATCAATTCTTTGTAGTGTTTTTCTGCTGGTGCTGAAATTGGTCAGCACAAAAATGATCATGCTTATCAGTTTATGGTAAGTATGAATATGAAGAAATTACAATAATACTGTGCTATCTGTATAAGTACTAATTAATAGATGTATGAACGTATCATCTCAGGACTCTGGTACCATCAGTATATTTAATGGCCGTGGTAATTGGACAGCTAGGGAACAACTTAGACTTCTGGATGCTATCGAACAATTTGGATTTGGAAATTGGGAGGACATTAGTAAACATATTGAAACACGTACACCAGAAGGTAAGTTTGAAATAGCTTTTTATACAAATGTCATAACTTTTTAAAAGATAAAAAGTTTATATCTCAGATTGTTATCAAACAATTTATATTTTGTGCAATTATAGAGGCAAAAGAAGAGTACATTGCCAGATATCTCAATGGTAACATAGGGAAGCATACGTGGCCACCTACGGAGAGTTATATACCAAATCTCACGGATCAAACCAAGTCCGATAATGGTCCTCTATCGCCTGATCTCACATCCAGATTACCACCGTTGGATATTACTCGTGAAGAGGCCGATCAATTGGGTTACATGCCTCAACGAGATGACTTTGAGAGAGTAAATAATTGGATGTTTTTATTTGATATAATTGATTTCTCTCGAAACTATTAAAATAATTGTGGTGCTTTTAGGATTACAACCATGAGGCCGAATCTCTTGTTTCTTCATTATTCTTGAATCCTGCCGATGAAGATGATGATCTCGATATCGCACTTAAACTGGCACAAGTTGATATGTACACTAATAATTTGAGAGAGCGGGCCAGACGAAAACGCGTCGTTAGAGATTATCAACTTGTGTCGGCTTTCTTCTCGTCATCGAGGAAAGATAAAGGAATAAAAAAGAAACGGACGAAAGAAGAAAAGTACGGCTTTTACGATTGTACTTTTTTCTTTTACGTTTCGCTCTCGCCTGATATTTAAAAAAATGTATTTCGTTTATTCGGTGCAGAGAATTTAGGGACAGAATGCGAGTATTCGCACAGTTTTACACAGCACAAGAGCACGAACAGTTCCTAACAAATCTCGAGAGAGAGAGAGAATTGCGCTTACGACTCTCGGAGCTCTACCGGTATCGTGAGAACGGCATCACGAGACACGAGGAATGCGCCCACTTCGAGCAAGTTCTCGCACAAACTCAAAAACCAAACGACACGGTAGATCATTGGGCCGAGAAAAAATCTGTAAGTATATATTTCTATTTGTAGAAAATGTTTTTGTACTTAAGTGTTATAATGTTGTTTATAGAATGGGAGATAATATGAATTAATAAAACCTGTTAAAAATTATTATTTATTTATTTATTTATTTTTTTTTTATGTATACACTCGTAAAAGCTAGTAAGGCTCTTAAAAAAACATCCAAAGTGTTACATTATAACTTATTATGTTTTTTATTAAATGTTAATGCATGCTGGTTATATATCATTGTATATATAATGTTATGAGAAGCATATAAAAAGTTCGTAGCTTTTCATATAAAAGAGAATAACTTTTTTGTCTTTAATTGTGCAATTATAGTTTTTGTTTATATCTCGTATATGTAAAATTTTTGTACATTTAAATTTTGTATGAATTTATGTAGATATCTTTATTTTTATTGTCTAAACAAATATTTGAATGTAACAAGAAATTAAAAATATAGATGAATAGTCTTATGAATTTAATATTTTTCTTCTATATATTACAGTACTATTCTCTCTGTATGTATTTTTTATATTAACGTTTTTGTTATTTTATGACTTCAAATTAGGCTTGATATAACACTGCATGTATAACGAAATATAATTAATAGTTATGATATATATAGTTATGATGTATAAACATTTATATTTTTGAGAGAACAAGTAAGAAATTTATACATGAAGATAATTATGTAAAACAATTGTTTTTCATATTTGACTGTTTGTATATTTATATGTACAGTAGAATTCTCAGAGCCTTAACTATATCGTATACACTAGCTTTTGCTTCTTTTTAACTAATTCTATTGTTTGTGGTGCGTGTTGCCAGGCATTTGTGAACAGATTGTATCAGTTTGCATTTCACTTAGGGCAGCAGTGGGCCGTCCACACTAATACACCGTCACACCTCAAAAAGAAGGTGAGAGAAATATATATTTCTTATCTCAGAAAACAATTATATGCGTTTACGTTTAAAATTAAAGCCAGGAGAAATTGAGCTCGCGTTTTTTGCTTACAGAGAAGAAGAAAAAAGTTACTCTTCCATCGACCGAAAATACACTATAAAGCAAGACTTGCCCAGCAACTTCACTGTAAGTCAAACCAATCACAATCGGACGACGACTCCAGCCAGTCAGTGGGTGGAGCCGGATAGCAATCCAAACGCTCAGCCAGGTTCCAGTCCCAGTTCCTCGCAAGACAAGGGTTGCACCGGTAGTGTGATACAGGAGCGAGACATAGAATTGGAGGCTGCATCACATCTTTTAACGAAACAAGAAAAATCCTTGTGTATTCAACTTGATTTAAAACCGACACAGTATTTAACACAAAAGACATTATTGTTACAAGTACGTAGTGACCGTTAAGTTCAAGTGTTTTCATATAGTATTGTAAACTACTTATTAATTTTTTTTTTAATATTGTAGGAATATTTAAACGGTAATAGACGATCAAGTATCATACCTCAGTCAGAACCAGAGAGCAGAATTCTTCACTATTTAGTAGCCAACGGTTGGATCGCAGCTAACTGAAAGTACAGAATTTACGATCACTTCACTCTAAGTCATCTTTAATCTTGTCCTAGGTATAACTGGAGTTCCAGTCTAATAGAAATAATACGTAGAATAAATAGATAAAGAGAAAGAGCGTGAACGAACGAGGAAGAAAAAAAACGGAAAATGACATATGTGCGAGAGAGAGTGGATTGTATGATTAGTTCTTTTTTTTTTTATGTAATGATTTAGGAATTGATGCGTTCTGATGTACTTTTTGTTTGGCGTAGGAGTTGGCAAACTTGTAAGCAGAAGCAATTTGCGATGTTATTTAACATCGGTGTCTAAATTTGACATTTATCATTCGTATCACGGTTCTTATTGTTTAATTGATTTCTAGTTTATAATTTTCTTTTGTAGACCGCAGGTTTTTGTTATGATACAGAGATAAAATAAAGAAACCTCAAATATAAAAAAGAGTGGTAACAGAGAGAAACATTGTTAGAATTGGCTTTACACCATGTTATGTTTCAGTTATCGTTTGTTCTAACGCTTTTTAAGGAATCTCTTAACACACTGCCTACGTAGAAAAATGTTATATAAGCAAATTTATATTGCTCAATTAAATTGCTTAATTCTTCCTGTATATACATCGCATTAATTCTATTCTTGTAGAAAATTCTCCGTTTTATCTGTTTTAAATGTTTTGACATTTTAGTCGTAACGACAAAGAAATAACATTATTGAAACATGTATTCTTAAAATCTTTTTATGCCAATGCTTGAAGCTCATTTAACGTCAAAAATCATATGATCAATATTGACACTGGATATTCAAAAACTTGGATTAAAAACCCTGAAAAGAACACAATGTTGAATTGTGAACGTCGAAACCACCAATAGCAATTTGATACTTGAAATTGAGCTAATCAAGTTCATTTCGTTCTCATATTGACGCTAGTATCCTAGCGATGTCACGTGACACGCTCGTGACACAGCGTAACATACGACTTGGCGTCTTTGTTTCAAACCTCGAAGTTGTGATTTATACAGTAACGTTTCTTTTTATAAACTAATTGCACGAACAAAAATTGAAAAGTATATTTTTATGTAGATTGATATATATGCATCTATATAAACTATATCTGACGATCCCAAGATTTTTTTCAATATCTTAACTAAAATAAAAAAATTCTTTATTAACAAAAAACGTACAAATATCATTAAATGTGTATAACATTGATAGAATGTGTGAGATGTATGATAAAAGATAATTTATGTATGTTATTTGTATAAAATTTGTACATACTATGATAAAACACGCGATACCTTCTTAATGATAATATATTCTAAAGCACAAGAATTATAAGTTTTTCACATGTACATATAGGGAGTTGAGGGGCTAATCGTCTATATCATTATTAATGATGCTTTAAGAGCAATCTCTTGCAAAGGACATGTTTATAAAATAAATCTGCTGTAAAAAATTATTTTTCACCTTGTATATAGAGACCAAAGTCTGAAAAATGCCTAAAAATATATGTAATATATTGTTAAGAAGTATAGAAGCGCGTAGTTATTTTAATTTTTGCGATAGTAAATTTGTCTCTATAAAAAGTCATCCATCGAAATATTATATGTTTTATATACAGTTTTTTTTGTAAAATATGGTGTAAATGAAATGTTTTGTGATAACTAGAGCAAAATCCTTTTACTGATAGATTCTTCTAAACATTTTGAGATCACAATCTTAATTAAAAAATTCAAAGAGTTTTGAAAATAAAAAGCGAGATTGTTTTTATCGATTTAATATTTGCTTGTGAATTCGTAAACATGTCCTAAAAATGTTAAAAAGGTTTGTTTGAATATTTATTTATTTGAGGGAACTTTTTATCTTATGAATTGTTAAATATAAGACACATGAAAGCTGTTTTTTTATTACATACCTTTTAAGTATGACATAAATAAGAATATTACATACACATATATATAAAAAATGATAACATAATGTAATTTTTATCCACCTTTCTCAAATTTTTTGGCGTGTATTAAGATTTATATATATATAAATGTTGAAGATACAATGAAATCTATAAGTCACACACACAAGAGATCCTATTCATTTATCTGTGTACATATGATAACGCGAGTAAAAAAAATCTACTCAGGTTTAAGTACATAAAAAAAATTCTATATCTCTAGATATTTCAGAAACTAGCACTTTACGATAAAACGATATCATGATACATACATATTTGTAATGATATTTTGTATAAACTATAAATAAATACCTCTCCTTCATTTATTCGATTTTATGCTCGGTGATAATGATAATAATAATTACTTATATTATTGGTGGCTTCTCTTGTGCATGTAAAAAAACACCCGAGATCATAAGAATCTCGTTTCCGCGATATGTATATACATATATTATTGATTGACATTTTAGATATGGTATTAACACATCGAAGTTTCGAACTGTAATTCATATATGAAACTGTTATAGTCTAATATAAAGAACGAGAAAAAGTACAGAGAGAGAGAGAGAGAGTTTCAATTAGAATAAAGTATCTGTATAACATTTGACATTTGTAGTATACTATACTGCATTATTTTCTCAAGAAGAACAAAGAAATAACGTACAGATTATAAATGTACTCCAATAATGTCGATTGTGAGAAATATAATATAAAATATTTTTGTTTACAAACGTGTATAATTTGTGTAAGATTGTTTATTCTTTCATGTATCTCCTTCGAACAAAGATATATGTCGAACATGGTTTAATAATTGTTACCGATTTCAAGAAAAAATTTCAAGACAATTTTGCGCGAAATAATTTGTATTCGAATCACTTCGACAAATGCTTGTGTGTTTCTAAATGTCGAAAGATCAATAAGATTGAATTACAACTAATCAATAGTTAGACTCAAGACGTGTTATAATTTCGCAATTTTTTATAATCCTGATGAGTTATACTTTTTTCCATTCAATTCCACACAGTACTTTTTCTTGATTCAGCATGTCAATTACATTTTTAAAATCTAACTTTTCTTTTTGGAAATATAATTTCGAGTTACGTTAAACTCGGTTTGTTAATACGACAAAATGTTATATTGTTTGAAAATTTATGCAAATAAACTAACATCAATATCTTGAAAAGAATTATTTTATATCTGCTTATGTTCTTAACTATGACTTTACAAAAAGTAAAACATTAAAAACTGATATATAAAAGAGTTTCATTATTGCTGTGTTATCTAACAAATTTAAGCAACAAGTTATGTACATGAAAAATCCAAGAAACAAATGTAAAAAATGTTGGTTGTTCTCCACGCATATCGTAAGATTCGTAGATGAGAAATTTATGTACATAAGTTAGAAAACATTATGCACACACATGTTTATCTTAAAACTGATGATTAGCTTCTTCCTCATAGAGAAATATAGTGTTAGACGTCATTTAACATTTATTGGAAATCCAATTTGTATTTCTGAATTTTATCTTCAACAAGAGAGAACGTGATAATTGATGTAAATAAGAAACGACGTAAAGAAGCGACGACGTAAATGGATAGCAACAGGTGCAAAGGTGAAGGTATCATGCAATGATGAATCAAACTTCGTAGAATGAATCGATATCATTCCCACTCTGTTGCATTAGTACAGAATATATAAAGTCATGGCTTCGTATAGAATATATAAAGTCAGTGTCGCCGATGTACTCGTAAGATAGCAGTCTGACTACAAGAAATAAACGTTTAGGTAAGCGATTGTTATATGTAATAGCGATGTAACTTGGTCTTTTCTATCGGATGTAATTATTTTATTTTTCCAATTTATGTGACTTTTATTTTTTTATTTTATTGTACGTACGTAGGTGATGTTTTTTTGCGTCTTGTCCAACAAGTGTTAAGTCTAAAATTTCAACAGATAGTATTTACGTAACATTTACTATAATAGATATCTAATAGGAGTTTGCATACAAGATGTTGTTCCGCGTGTGGATAGAGAGATATATATTAGTAGATTTTAGTTTAAATATTTGTGTAAATAATTGTTTTATATATAGTGTTATTTCTTTTTAAAACTTTACTTTTTGGTAATTTTTTAGAGTTTTATAAACAATTTTGCAACACACATACATAAGAGTGTTAGTGATTGTTGCCTGTAATATAGCTGTCTATTTTGAAACTATTTATAGATCTAAATAGATCTAAAAGAGTAGATATATATCAATCACAGGAAATAAACTCTTTACTAAACATTGAAAGAAAGACTTTTACTGAACGCAGCCGATGTATCTTCTTATCTGTAAATATTTGTTTACGTGTTTCTTAGATATTTAACAATAAAACAAGCACTTTTATCATTAGCTCTTACTCTCGCTGTTTTATAATATATCTTTTAATAAATTCTTTTCAAGTTTTGTCTCTCTCGATATTTTTAGTCTACGTTGCAATTTTATCATCTCGAGAATTGTTTAATCTTTCTTGTTATTTATATAGATGAACTTAATATTTTGTAGCCATGAAATTCGCAGTGGTGTGTTTGTTCGCTGTTTGCGCAATCGTATTTGCACGACCGGATGGATATACTAATAAATATGATAACATCGATGTAGATCAAATTCTTCACAATGACCGATTGTTAAAACGATACACTGATTGTTTGCTAGAAAAGAATAACGTTAGATGCCCGCCTGAAGCTACCGAATTAAAGAGTGAGTATTCGTTCACAATAAATAATTGCAATTAAAAAAATGTAAGAAATTTTAAATTGTAACGAAACGTGGTTTTGTTATTCGCATTAAGAGGAAAAAGCGCAAACTCTCGTTTAAATGAAATACGTGATTTTTTGTACTTAATTTTCCGTTACAGAAGTCTTGAGCGAAGTCCTGGAAACTGCGTGCGAGAAATGCTCGGAACATCAGAAAGAAGTTGGGAAGAAAGTGGTAAAATACTTGACATCTAACAAGAAAGACATATGGAACGAATTGAAAGCGAAGTATGATCCAGAAGGAAAGTATGAACAAAAGTACGAAGATACGGCTAAAAAAGAAGGCGTCCAAGTTTAATTAATAATCGAGACAGACAAAAAAAAAACACAAATGTATACCTTGTACAGTGTTGTTATAACGAGATGTTAATTGTTTTAATTGCCTTATACCGTCCTTCTAACTTGCAATTTGACGCGATTAGAATGTAATATGCACACACACACGTGCGCGCGCGCATATAAATGCGTAAATAAAAACACTTTCATTGATATGCGTACGTGTCATTATATATGTATTCCGCGCGCGTTTATCGCGTCGTGTGTATTTACGATCCAGCGTACAAAAAATTCCCTGGCACGGTCTCTTCATTTGAATCTTGATTGTGCGACATAACTTAGTAAAAACTTCACTTTGTCAGTGGAAGATTACCGCTTATGTCACGTTGCAGTAAAAAGAAAAGAACACGGCATAGAACGCGGAATAAATATAAGTAACAAAGTAACATTTTAAATTTCACGATTAGTCTACGATTTCATATCGCCAAGTTTTGTTATGAAAAAAAAATCATTTTAATTATTATACCAGTAAACAAATGCGTGGTTTTTCGTAAATAGCCGCGCGTTTCTTTAGCCATAAAACACACATTTATTTCCATTTATCTAAAAGTAATTTAAATTCGCTTCGGGATCGTCTCAATCATTTAAAAATCGTATTCTTCTGTGTCGTCGTCCGTTTCACCAATGTCCGCGCAAGCGTGGCAAATCTCACCAACGTCCTCCCAGCAGTCGGGACAATGGACAAAAGGACATCCGGGCGTCGTGCATCTACGAAATAGCGGGCCTTTTCTTGGCTCCACCTCGCTGCAAACGAGACATTTGTGACGCGCCCAGGCAAATAATATCAGCCAACCGCAAAGCACCGGCCAGCGAAGCCTCAAAGCAAGCCACGGATCTATCTCGTACTCCAGTCGACGAGTTCTAATCAGAGTTCTGATCTTGGCTCGCATGAATCTGACAGTCAGAGCTCGTTTTAATACATATCTACATATTATAAAGATTATCTCGATATTCCAAGGTTTTCCTGATCTTGCGTTCAATCATATTTTTACCTGGCGTATCCGAGTCTGCGTCGCAAACTCTCGTTGTAGAGATAGAGTACGCGTCTTTTCTCGCGCTTTCTGTAGAAAAACGAGCAGATTACGCGACGCAATCGCTGAGTGTAAGCAGCGGTAAACAGTAACAACCAGATGCCTAAATAGGTCGAATAGATTTTGAAGATCACACGATTCGATATTCTACTGGGTCTCGGTAAACACGCGCTGTTAGACACTACGGTCTTCACTCGTCTTTTCACATTGAAACCGCGAACAACGCTACGTATCAAAGTGGCTATTACTCCGATTCCGCGAACTTCTAGAGTCAAATCGTGATGACCCGCCTGAACAGAATAAATGTCGGAGTTAACCAGAACGAGAAAAATATCAGAAAGTCGAGAATTTCGTACCTGAATATATTCCATGTGAGCGTGTCTTCTAACCAAGTCGAGCGCCTCGAAGAACAGTCTGTCCAGCAGTATAAACGTAGTTACGCTAATCATTTCGAGAAATAGCTTCACCGTTTGACTGGTTAGATGCACTCGCTCGAGTTTGCTTGGCCGCAGACTGTACGGATCCACAAACTTTGATCTCTCGATTTTCTTGAGCGGCAGAAGGGTTAGACTACCACGAGTCTTGCGTCTAGCATCAATCTTTCGGAAATACGAAGTTACGTACACGTTGTCGTGCTCGATATCAGTTAGATATTTGTCGTGATACGTTTGAGCATTCAGAATTACTCTCAAGAAAATAAATGACAGACATCTGTACATAGAATTATATAAAAACTTATATAGAATTAATCTAAAACATACACATAAAGTGCTCCTTTTTGTTTTACACACGTGTTTTCTCGATTTTGTTTTAAGAGGTAAGAGTTTTAGCATATTCGTGTTTCCGAACGTATCATTCTAATTCACCTTTTGATAATCATCATCACAGACTCGAAAATCTTCTTACGCGCAATGAACGTATGCATAACGTCCTTGGCGACGTCCGTGGCATCGCGGAGATCAAGAATCACCGGCATTTTTTTCACCTTGAATTGCAGTTTTGCGTCTTTGAGACTTTGACCAAATGTATCTCTGGCTCCTTCATGAAGAAAAACCAATACTTGAGGAAATCCATTACGAGAAGATAAAAATTTTTTACTTTATACGAATTAGAGATTGAGAGAGTTATCACTTAACTTTTCAAAGCAGCATAACCCTCGCCGATGCCGGAATCTACTTTCCCCTCGGGATCGCAGATGTTGGCGCCACCGAGAGCCTGCACCAAGTTGCAAACAAAAGTAAGCTTCATCGGCCAACACAACAGCCAGGCTGCGAAGACCGTTACCGTGTCGTAACACTTGTCGTAGGCCTCGCTGAACATGTCCCTGAAAAGTGTCACATTAACGTTTTCTCACAAAAAAGCTAAGCGGAAACAATAAAAGTGTAAAGAAGTATACGAAGCTGACGTCCGATTACGAAAAGTCTCGTCTGATGCTATTGAGATTAATTCCGTATGCTGTCTTGCCTGCACCGTTCAGCGCCACGGCTAAGCTGCTCTTCGCAGCGCGCCTCGATCTTCTCCTTGTACTTCGCTTCGTAAACATCCGCATCGGACTTCGCTTTCGCGATCTCTTTCTCATGTTTCTCCTCGATCTCGTCGCTTCGCTTCGTATCGTCCTGAAGCTCGTCCAAATAGTCGTTCTCCTCTTTCAGCCGTCTCATCTCTTCTTCGCCTTCAATTTCCTCAACTATCGGACTCATCAAATCTCTCACCGAGGATAAAGTATCCTTCATCTCGTTTGCATCCTCTCTCATGGCGAACACCGCCTATCGTTGGAAAGACTCGGTAATCAGACACGCGATAGTTTTGCATAAAGTTACGTTACGTTAAATCTTGTGAAATTTTACAGAACTTGTACTTAAATATTTTAATATCAACAAACGCCTAAAACTTGACACCTGCTGAAAGGGCTTGAACATGAGATCGTAGCGCGTCTTGGTGAGATTTTGCGTTAGTTGCGTCGTACAAGCAAAAGTTCTTACTACTTCTTTAGCGTTGTACGTTAAATTAAATATTGGTCCCGCTATGATATATCCTATGATGAGCGCTCTTAAAACGTTGCGTCCCGAACGACCAAGAAAGGTTGGTATTGTCAACAGACAGATGCATCTTACCTATTCAGAGCAACAAAAATAGACTTCTCTCTCTCTCTTAAACAAGTATCTACAAAAAAAGTTGATGAGCTTTGAATGATATTGGAAAAGAGATTACTTGTATCGACAATGCACATCCTATTGACAATATTGCGGCAAGAATGGATCCTAGAAGGATACTAGTATATGCGTCGAATTGTAGCTCAACAATTATGCCCTTGTACAGTGCGATAGCTGCGACAAGTCCGAAGAGAAATCCGATGAAGGCTCTCGCTTTTCGATGAGTTCCAATCGGATCGTAACAGATGTGAAACAGGGTCGGACATTTTTTCAGATAATATTTCAGGAAATCTTCGCGTATCTCTTTGATCAGACGACCACAGCGATTAATCCGCTCCAAACCCGGCATTGCTTTTTCTTTTTTTGCGATATCAAAAGTCTTCACTGATAAGCTACTTTGCCGTGGATTATGAAACGCGACACTTTTTTGGCTGATCTCTGAAATGAGGCGAGTGTCAGTCGAGTGAAGTCGATTTTTCTTGATTGCAACAGTTTTTTCTGAATATTTCAGAGAATTTTTTTTGTTCGGGCTGTTCTAACGCGCGAATTTTTGTTTTGCGTCCTCGAAAAAAACAAAACAAAACAAAACAAAATACGACATTTATTTCAGTTTCTAGTAATTTATACGCAAGAGCGAAATTTCTCGAAAAATTAAAATTTACAAATTAAAGAAATTTTCCAGAAATGCATAACGAGACAGACTTGTGAAACAGTCATTTTTTATGCAAGTTCTCTTAATATCGAGGTCGCGTAATCTGTATTGCTCGTAGAATAAGAAAAAAGAGTGAAGCACGAGAATTCCGTTCACGTATAGCGCGTAAATTCTTCGTTGACTATGTAATTCCTATATTTTTGAATGTGAACGAAGACCTTCAATAAGTCGCTTTGCAAGGAAAGAAGGAACTTGATACGTACTACACTTTTTTACTGCCGCGGCTAACTTTCCCTTTTGCAAAGTGATAAATTAATGAAGGCTTATATTTTTACATACATACTATTTGACATATGTATATAACAATTGTAAAATTATTTTCCAAGATAGTCAATCAAACACATTTAAATATTGAATATGTGTATGTGTGTAATTATATTAATAAATATGATATATATTAAAAAACATAAATATAAATTACAATATAAATTGTATTGAAAAAAATAGTCTTAACTTATTTTTCTTTCTAGTATTATTCATATACTTAAGAAAAAATATTATTGCAGATAAAGAACTAGCTTTTTAAAAACAATATAACAAATATAATAAAATAATATCAATAAGAATTTCTGCGTCGCAAAAGAACAAACGTCGACACAGGAAATGGCTTCATCGCGTATATTTTTCTTGATAAATTATAGTGAAGACGCACGAGAATGATTTCGTGCAACTAACGAACCGTGTCCAGTCCTTTATAAGACATTCGAACTAATGAGCTTCGCAACCAGTGTGAATCGGGAGCAGCGCATCAATCTCGTCAGGTACATGATGGAGCATCTAGTCGTTGCTACGCTCCTTATCGTGTGCACCCTTTCGTTCTTCGTTCACGCCGAGGAAATGCAGTATTCTACCAAGTTTGATAACGTAGACGTGGACAAGATTATAAACAACGAAAGACTGCTGAACGGATATGTGGGTTGTCTGCTCGATCGAAATCCTTGCACGCCGGACGCGGCGGAACTCAAAAGTAAATAATTTACCATAACGATAAGTCCAATCTTTAAACTGCAAATATGACTACTAAATACAATTGTTATTCTATTTTGAACAAATATATTGAGGCACAAATATATAATATATTTTCAATAAAAACGAATAAAAAAACAATTTTTTTTTTAATTGCGCAAATAAATGTAAATTTAAAACTTTTTTGTTATTAAACTTATAAAAACATCAATATTATTAAATATAAATTAATAAGTTCTGTGTAAAATTAAGATTCTTGTAATTTTTGATTGTTTTTTAACCACATTATAACAAACATAATATACATTTGTTTCAGAAAATTTGCCTGATGCTTTGGAGCACGATTGCGCCGGATGCAGTGAGGCACAAAAGAACGCAGCCGACAAGATCTCTCATCATTTGATCGACAACAAACCGGACGATTGGCGACTACTGGAAGACAAGTATGATCCTACCGGCGCGTACCGACGTCGTTACTTGGAGAATAAATCAAGAGAAGGTGGAAGATTCGATTAAAAGAAAAACCATTACTTTCACAATGTCGATTTCGACTCTGACCATGGCCATCTTTCGGATTTGATAGCTCACCGTAATCTTTATCACACGGCGATTTCACTTTACATAACGATTGCGTAACCGAAAACTCTGTACCATTCGTCCTTCATCTTGAAGGCTTCTTTTATGTGTATTGAAAAAACCGACTTAAATGTTTGAGTTTTTCATATAACATTTTTGCAGTAATGCACAATATATTTTTTTTACGATAGAATGAGAACTTATACATATATGTGTATCTACTTGATTAATTATACATATATGTATGTTTTAAAAGAAAAAAGAACGTATACAAATATTTTAATTTAAAAATTGTATTTATTAAATATTTTAAATTTAATACATATATATTTTTCACATAACAAATTTTTAAATTTACTATATATATATATATATATATATATTTAATAACGAGTAAATATGGCTTGTATTTAGGGAAGATAAATGTCTTTTTATAAGATAATTTTCACGTATCTTATATGTACGATAATATTTGAATATTGATAATCATATGTCTTACTATCAGACAATTCAATCATTCTTCACAACAATTTAATTAAAAATGTTAATTAAGTATTAATTAGTAGCGTTAAATTTACTACATTTATATTATGGTGTTAAATTTACTATGTACAATTATAAAGTTTGCACGTAGAAATAGGCGAGACGATTTACACTTGCATAACAAAAAATAATATATAATTCTGAAGTATGAAACAGAATATATATAAATTTTGTCTTTAAGATACAAATCTCTTTAATGTGTTTGTTTTACAGTTTATTTAATTCCATTTTCAATTGGCGGTGTTTCACATTCTAAGTGGTATGATTGCGGTCAACAACGTTCCAAGAATAATAACATTAATTATAATTTTTATTTCTTGTCTCGACTTTTTGCGATCGAACATTTACGTATAATGATATGTAAAACAATTCTAAACTTATGAACAAATAATACTTTGCTAGTCATTATAGATGCATATACATTTGTCAACACACACACACACACACACGACCAAACTTGTTATTTCAACTATTTTCTCAGTTCATAAACCACACGCAATCAAAACAACTTGTCTCGCAATTTTTATGAATTTACTTATCAATACACATCTTGTGCGCAATTTTTTTAGTGTTTTCAAATTATATAAATATTTATCTTTTTCTCTCTTATTGTCTTTTATCTTAACATTTTGACAACAACTTTGAGAGAGAGAGAATCGAGGAAATCTTTCACTATCATACCAAAATTATCATCTCTTTTTCTAATCTCTTCTTTATCGATAGCTCGATACGTGTGCAAGTACCCGCAATCATCGGTAGGTTCCGCACCGTGATCGTTGCGCGCGTGCATGATGCCGTACCTATAGTTGCGCTTTTTTCAGATACCAATCGATTTTACGTGATTTTACGTGCTGAGAACTGAGAAAACTCTTCGGTTTATCTTTTAAATTTTGATCACTAGTTTTTTCATCTCTCTCTCTTCTTTTTGATAAATAGAAAAAACTTCTTCGTTGCTACCAAAAGAGACGAAGTTCGAAAGCGAAATCTCGCGGGCAATCTTTTCAGAAGTTTCGAATTATTAAAAATATCTCGAGAATAGATAGTTTTGGCACTTGACACGGGTGGTCATCACTTTGAGGACAATTTCTCGTGCAATTCTCTGAAAAGCTTTGAAATAAAAGAACAAAGAACCAAAGATGCCTTCGTAAAGTCGACTATCTAAAGTGAGAGAAAAAAGAGAGAGGGAGGGAGGGAAAGAGAGAGAGAGAGAGAGAGAGAGAGAGAGAGAGAGAGCGAATCTCCGTGCATGTGTGTAAAATCAAGAGTTATCTGCAAGAGAGAAAAAGAAAAATGTATAACCGAGTTTTTCGGGCACGTCGAAGACACGACGAAATACAGACCAAGAGCCACCAGTTGTTAGATCTGTGACGTGCGCTCAAAAAAAGAATTGTTAGAAATTTACGAAGGACGAGATGAACAATTGCCGCGCAATTTATCAAGATTCTCGGCAAGTCGCGTCGTTTCCTCTTTGGCCGAAGAACTCGAAAAGGAATTATTGATCGGAGAACGACTCAACAATTACCGGAAATTACACACCGATCACAGATAGAGATGACGTCATCCTTCAAAAGTTCGAAAACGATTTTGAATTGAAAAAGATGCAGGCGAGCAGTTCTTGTGATTTGATCCATCTATGTATATACATGTATACAATATATATATGTATATACGTATATGTATATGTGCCGTACATGTACACGCACGGATATGTACGTATATATATATGTGCATACACGAATACATTTGCGTCCGCGAATAAGGAGCGCTTGCACACCTTCTCGCACGGTAACAGGCAGGCTATCATGGTTATTAAGGAAACAGACGAAGGAACGAAACGAAGGAACAAGCGTGTTGGGTGGTCTCGCCCCGCTGTTTATGGGGCACTGCATCTGCTGGCCCCGTATAACCCTCCGCAAGCAAGCGCGCGACCTGTGTGGTCCCCACCTTACGTCCGACTTTACATTCGATTCACTACTTGCTAATGGTAGCCGCATTAGCATTAGGTGCCCGCCTGTCTCTCCCATATGATATGCCGCGACGAACGAAACCTGCTGTTGTGCAATTTTTCGTCACCGGCCCTGACGAGAGCATGTGCCAGAGATTGGCTGATCGGCCGGCCGCGGCTGCTGCTGCGCGATTGAGATCAGGATCGAGGTCGGACCGCGGCTTTCCACGCGCTATTCGGCACATTTCAGAACGCTGTCCTCTCTCGAGAGATTCGCGAGATAAAACATTAGTCAATTGATCCGTAATTATAACGTTGTCAAAGTGTGACATACATGCAGCATCGACATCGATCAGATAGCACAGTTCTTTGTTTTTCTACATGCAGTTTATATTGCAATAAATATTGTAATATAAATATATTGTAGTTTGACGTTTTGTGAGAACAATTTCTCTTTCCGTATATTTATGTTGAAAAGAAAAATAAAATACCGTAAACTCCTCCTCCACTTACCTCTACCGCAAATAATTACTGATAATAAAAGAAAAAAAAGGATCAAGTCGCTAGCAATCTTTTTCAAGTCCCGGAAAGTCGGCTTAATTATACGAGATAATTGATCTCAACGATAATTACATGGCTGTTTAGTATGGAATATCGTATAAACAGAGATTTCTTTCAATATCTTCATTCGAGGAATGTAAATGAGCGTTTTAAGCGAGGTTCCGCGTAACACATACACGCGCGCGCGCGCGCGCAAACGTGTGTATGTAAACGCGTGCGTCAGTGAATGCGTGCAACGTGCTTAGCGTGGTGGTAAACGAGGGGCCTCGATATGACCGTGTTAGCGATTGGTCACGGATGTGGGTGCGCCATATGTGCAACCGTTTCAAGCAGGCTACCTGTCTTTAGGGTGGTAATGGCAGATCGCGGCTTTTGACGAGCGATAATGATTTTGAGAATCGAGCACCCTTGTTATACGAACGAAGAAAGGCAAATCGGTTCTTATAATGCACACGTTTCCTCCAGTCGAAAGTGCGCATCTAAATTGAACCGCAACCAACGGTACAAATGTTTACATGCGCATCTCTTTATTAATTTGAATACATCGTCTATCAAATTATTTTACAAATGTCTTGAAAATTGTTAATTTTATACGAATAATCACATGAAGAAAAACATTTACACGCTATTTGTAACAAAATGTAGGTACATAAATAATACATATAATTTTTAATATACATTAAATTAAATATAAATATATATACACAACATTTAGCTATATAGATGTTGCTCGATAATAACAATGACGACGATCGTACTAACGATCGTTCGAAGAAGAAGCTTGCTCTCGATCGGTCTCGCACAAAACCATTGATTCAGAAGGTCGAATCTATCCGCTAAATCCGGCCGTGCGGCGTCATCGTTGGTACCGCCTGCGGGGTGAAAAATACTTGCGCGGCCAAGCATGCCCGAGTATACCCCGATCGGTCGGCCCGACCGAGAAAGAAGGCATCGATCTCGCCATTGATCGATCGGTCAGCCAGAGAGCCCTGGATAAGATACTGTCGTCATTCTCGTCCTGTCCTACTCATCGTTCGGGGTCCGGCAGACCACACGCGTCTTGTCGCCTTTCTCTCGTCCTTTCGCAATAGATCCGTTCTCTCGGACCGCGTCTACCTATCCTTGATAGCGATACTTGAACGTTGCATTAATCAAAGATCATCGTATATCTGTAATTTTTTTCTAAAAAGAGTTCTTGCTACATTCCTTTTTTAACGTGTAAAAGTGTCAGGAATTAAGTGAATAAAAATTATTTTCTTATAGACGCGCGGACTGGTTTTTATGATTAATTAATTTATATTTTACTTTTTCTCCAAACAATATCATCGATCCGCGCTAGGTGTCGCGTAACATTGATGCTGCAAGATTTTTTATTGCGGATGTATATTTATTGTCTTGCAAGGTCGAAGCACGTGCGCGATTCCTGTTTCTCATCATCGTGTTTGCGGAATCGGTTCTCGGAATATGAAGCGTTTGCGTCGCGTTGAAGATGAAAATTTCGGTCGGCACCGCGCGCGAGCGAGCACTATCTTCAAGGAACGAGGACAAGAGACAACTTGTGACTTCTTCGGAGGATAAGACGGGTGGGAGCGGAGGGGATATTCCCCTCTGCCAGCAGCGAGAGAGGGCCACCCACGTTGAGGGCGCAAAGGCGATATTTAGCGGAAGGCAAATCTCTTGTGGACCACCCACGTCGGCTCCTTGTCGCTAGAGTCTGGGCTACCTTATTTCAGGGTGCGCAACGTGTTGTTCCATGTGTGTGGGTTCCGCAACACGAAATCGAGCGGACTTCTAGCGTATACATCGATCCTCTCAAATGTCAGCACGATTTGCAGGCAATTTCCGATTAGCTTGCTCCGCGATATTCTCGTTCGTTTTCTGTTCGTGGGATATTTATTTGTTGTATAGGTGTGTCTCGATATATATTGAGCAAATAATCTCTCGTCGGATCATTTATATCGAAAATCGCATCGTTTCTACATTTATACCAATTTTGTAATAATTTGCGTCTGATTTTAATTGAGATATATATATACACTCGATATTGCGATATATTTTTTGACGTCGCCGTTGGATTTTACATCAATCTTACTAAGTGTTCTATAAGAAAGAGAGACGAACTGTCTTAGAGATTCTGAGTACA